TAAAATTTCTTTATTTTTGTATATATTTTCCCCTTTTAGATAGGGTATTTTTTCCCTATTTTCCCATCACTGAATCTCACTCCTCAAAGGACCAAGCAGGACCAGCAGGCGACAAGTGAAATGTGCAGGAACACGCGACATTTGCGATTTGCATTTGGCCCTATGACCCTCGAAGGCGTCGCCAGCTGTTTTCATTATGCCAATTTGTCTTGGCCCTCCCCACGCCCCCAGCTCCTCGGGGCTCCTTCCAGCTTCTGGCTCCCTTTTCCCTGCTCCCTGCTCTCCCTGATCTCTCCCTAAAGTCCTGGAATCCTGGAATCCACATAATTATGTAAGCAGCTGCTGGCAGGGTTGCCCACGTTGCTCTGCTGCCGGCCATTTCGGATGGTTTATGCGTTTGCTTTTATGGCCAAAAGTCCTCAGTTTGGGCCAGGTAAGTGTGTGTATGTGTGTGTGTGTGTTATGACCACCAATAAACTGGCCAAAATAACCGCAGAAATCGGTGCCTGCAACAATGTCCTGCAGGATGCTAACTGCAGGCAGCATTTCAGCCTTCAGCCGTCAGCCTTCATCCATGATTGATTCGATTTTAATGCATATCGAAATTTATTTTTATTTTGATTTTGATTTTATTTATTTTTTACGCCTTGGCTTTGGCTCAGAGGACAGTAATTAGTTGTAGTCACTGGCTGCCAACTGGGCTGAGGCGGATATCCTGGTTATTGTCTTGGCCAGGTTCGGTTTCAGTTTCAGTTTATGACGGCTCCTTCCGCCACAAGCGAAATTTGGCCAACAGCCAGGATTCCGTCCAAATGCGATTACAAATGCGGTAAATGGCGCGATTTGTTTTGGCTCCGCGTAGTTTTTATTCCTAATCTTATTTTTTAAGCAGCTTAAATTTGGCGAAAATAAATTATGTGTGCTTAAATAAAATGTTAACTTTGAAGAGTTAATTACTTTAATGTTTAAAAAAGCACTTTTAGGCCTGGAAATATTTCGGAAATCTTTGTTAAATATTTATAATGAATATTCAACAAGAGAGCATACATTTTTTGCTGAAGAAAAATGAACTAGAGAGAAAAAATGAACATAGAACAAGAAATGAACACCTAAATAAATAGGAGTAGAAAGAAAATTAAAAAAACCAATCGCGGAACAAGAAAATGTAAAAAATAAATAATAAAATAGCAAATAAAATCATATTTATAATTTAACAAAAGATAAATATGATAAGAAAATGAGAATAAACAACTGAATAAAAAAGACCAAGACATCTAAAATGAACCACGGATAAAACAATACGAAACCGTAATAAAAACCTTAAGAGATTAAGGTAAACATCTAAAAATCAAATTAAAAAAGATAACAGAGGGAAAACAAATGAACAACTAAATAAAAGAAGCCAAAGTCAGCCGGAGAGAGAAAGCCAAAATGAACAAATGAACAAAATGGAGCAAGCCAGCAAAAATGAATAACATATCAAATAATACAAGACCGAAATGAAAAACCTCAAAAAGACACTTAAAGTAAACAATAATAAACTCAAGAGAAAACATTATCAAGAACTATAAGAAAAAATGAACAAAATGAACAACTATAGAGGAACCAATAAGTAAAAAAAAAAAACCCACAGATCAAAAATGAACAACCCAACAAACTACCAGCAATTTTTATCCCATTTTCGAGTAACACTTAAGACAATTGCCAGGGACCTCTTGTTCCTTTTAAATATAGATACATAACACATATATGAAAAGCAAGCGGAAGCAAAGGCAGTGCCCAAAGGCATGTTCTTCGGGTGATTTTGAGAGGAAGCAGGAAGGCACTCGAGTGTGAGGGAAATCTCATTTGGCGCTTCCTTGGCAGATGCCAGTCAATCGTTTCAATATTATTCAATAACACGCCTCCAGCCCTTTTTGGTTGGAGTTGCCTTTCCCAGTGGCCAGATGTCAGAGGCGTCTCATATTCGTAAACAAGTTGATTTCGCTCGGCAGCTTGTGTGTGTGTTTCTGAGTGTGTGTCCTCATGTCATTTATTTCAGCTCATTTATTGATTCATATATATTTTTTGCGGCTGGCAGGACCAGAAGGAGACACGTGTTCGCCGCCAGATATATGCCAGGATCTGGCAGATATAACAAAAGGAATCAGGACGTGCAGGACTAAAAGCCAGAGACCAAGTGGCCATTTGCTTTTTGACTTTTACAGGGAAATAAATTATAGATAATATATCTTGAAAATATATTAAATATATGCTATAATGTTGTTCCAGTCAAAGTAGAATATACATATATATTTTTGTTAATTTTTATATTTTTAAGTCAGCTTAAGGCCACCTTTGGTATTCTCAAAGGAAGTTCTTTTAAGACTTTCTTTTAATCGGAAAAAATCTTGAAAAAATGTATATATAAATCTAGATTAAAATATATAATTATATAAATTATAACCCAGAAGTAATATAATTTTCTTTCTTGTTTATTTTGTATGTATTTATTTTTAATATTTTTTAGGGCAGTTTTAGGGAATATTTTGTATTCCAAAAGGACATGCCTTAAGCTCTTGTAAGACTTTCTTTTAATCAGAAAAATCTTGAAAAATTTATATTAAAATCTATAATTACATAAATCATAAATTAAACAACTTGTAGTATTTTTAATACCCCAAATCAATACAGTTTTCCTTCCCGTTTATTTTTTATGTGTTTTTTCATATTTTTAGGGCAGTTTAAGGGAACCTTTTTGTGTTCCAAAAGGACATACCTTAAAGCTCTCCTAAGCCTTTCCTTAACTCAGAAATATTTTGAATTCTAGACATTTTTTAAAATCCTAACTTAAGCAGCTTGTAATTTTCTTGATATCCCAAATTATTAGATTTTTCTTTCAGTGCCTTTTGCAACTATCAATTTGCTGACAGCGTATTTTCATCACGTGTCCGAGTTGGTATCCAGCGAGTCGGAAGTAAACTCATTAGGTCCAGCCAGGTGCCGCAAAATCGGAGAAAGTATGCCCAAAATTAAATGGTAAATTTCCCTCATATATATATATATATATTCCATATATATACATATGTTTATATATAGAGAAAGAGAGCTACATGTGTAGCCCGGAAATGGCAGATTTATTTGACTTCAAAAAAGAGAGAAAAAAAAAGAAAACCAGTCACGTCACGGGATTTCGAGGACTGGCCGCAAAAGTTGAACATAATATTTTATGAGGACTTCATGGCCAAATCTCCGCCAGAGTCACATGTGTGTGTTGTGTGTGTGTGTGTATGCACTGATTGCAGCAGCATCCGGAATCTGAGCATCCCCTATGATAAATGGCCCCAACATGCAGCCAAAAATCTGATGCTGCAGTAGCATCCACTGCCAGACGAAGGTCTCTGGGCATGATGTATCAAATTATGAAGAAATAATAATAAAATGTTGCACAAAAGACATGCCCACAACTGTTGATGATAAATGAAGCCAAGGGCAAGTCCTCCATTTTGGGTCATGGATGCTGCAAGCTCAAGATTTGTGAATTATATCTGCCGTTTTTGTTGGTTTTTTATACCCTTACGAGGTATTCTAATTTTAGTTAGAAGCCTAAAACTATGTGAAGAAATCATTTCCGACCCCATAAATCATATATATTCTTGATCAGCATGAACAGCCGAGTCGATATAGCCATCTCAAACAAAAAAATACAATTTTTAATTTTTTCATATTTTTTTAAGGGGTTTTATCGTTAAAAATTCAGATAAAATTTATAAAAATTTTAAATTCTTTTAAAATTCAATTTGAGTATGCAGATTTATAAACCTAAGAAAAACTAACATAAGACCGCTTTCCAAATTAAAATTAATGCATTTTTAGCTGAGTTATGATTATTTTAAAATTAAATTTTTGCATTAAATTGTCATGTAAAAATATAAATAAATATTGATTCAAAAATGGTATTCTAAATTTAGTCAGGAGCTTAAAACTAAGTGAAGGAGTCATTTCCGACCCTATAAGTCATATATATTCTTGATCAGCATGAACAGCCGAGTCGATCTAGCCATCTCAAACAGAAAATTAAAATTTTTAATTTTTATCAAAATTTTTTAAGGGATAACATCGTTAAATTTGAAGAAAAAATTTATGAAAATTTAAATTTTTTTATATTTTATATAGAGTATGCAGATTTGATAACCTAATAAAAACTAACACAGGAGCACTTTCCGATTTAAAATTAATGCTTTTTTGGCTTAGTTATGAATTTTTTAAAATTTGGTAAGTAAAAAAATGGCATATAGAAATATCGATAAATATTGATCCAAAAGTGCGAATATATTATATGATCAGTTTCCAATTCGATCCTATAATTCCGTACAAGGGCTGCAAGGGTATATAAATTTCGATTTACCGAAGATAATTTCCATTTTTGTTTTATTTTAGTATCAATATTAAAGTTTTTGTCTAAGAAAACATAAAGTTTTAAATGGTTTGCTTTGGATAAATAAATGAGGGAACTCTTGCAGTTTGTAAATTGTATGAATGATAAAGAATGTTTAAATAAGATTTAGGAAAAGAAATAAAAAAAACATGCATACTTATAATATAATTCAATTTTAAAAATGATTTTAAATCGCATAAAATAATATAATATAATAATAAAAACTTAAATTATAATATCCTCCCCTTACTACTAATAGTAAAATATAGTTGAAAAAGTCTTAAAAGTAAACAATTAAACAAGTAAACTTCCATTAAATTGCGCGCGCATTTCGTTCTTTCCTTTTTCACCCACAAAAAGAGATAAACAAAGGCAGCAGCTTTTCAACTGCCAAAATTAACCTTCACAAGAGAGGATCGAACTCTTTGAGCGACTCTCCCGCTCTTAGGTTCTGCTTTTAAGGGTGAGAACAAGCAGTGCATGTAACGGCACTTTCTAACTAACGAAAAAGGCGAAGCGAAATGCGCCCGCATCGCAAAAGAATGAGGAGGATAAAAGAAAGAAGAAAATAGCTATGACTCACCCGCTCCCTTGCATCGGTTATTATTTTCGGCAAATCTCAACGTCGAATTTGCGCATGAAACACACGCACAACAAATGATAGAGTTACAGTCAACAGTTTTAATGTTCTGGCACACACACTTTACACACTCTCACCATTTCACATAACCACCATTTCACATTTTTACCATTTCATTAACACACCACAAAAAAAAACAACAAAAAAGCGCACTGAAAATAAGACACCTGGGGCCGCTTTCCTTTTGGGGCAGATCCACGCTCTGCCCCCACTTCACAAACACTTTTCACTATACTTCACTACCACCTTTGCCACCTGCCAATGTTTTTCCGCCGTAAATTTGCCGCTTTTCACACTTTTAACCGATCTCCTTGCGCCGCGACGTTTTCACCATGAAAAAAACAACAAAAAAGCGCACTGATTTTGGGGTTATGTGAAATGAAATGAGACGCCGTCGCTGGATTTGCATTTGGGGCCTTGCCCCCACTTCACAAACACTTTAAACTATACTTCACTATCACCTGTACCACCAGCCAGTGTTTTCCAGCCGTAATTTTTAGGCTTTTCATTGTTTTAATTGTATTTCTGTGCAGCGTCTATTTTTTCATCCGCTTTGTCCGGCTGGTGGAAGTGATCTACCACGGCAAGCAAGAGAGGTGGCTTAGCGATAATGGTGAGTGAGAGAGGCTGTGGAGAGAGAGGTTTGGTAGAGAGAGGTTGGGCGGGGAGAGGTTGTGGAGGGAGAGACTAGACAGGGAGAAGCTGGATGGGTAGAGGCTGGGCAGGGAGAGCCTGGGCAGGGAGAGGCTGGCAGGTGAGGTTGGGCGGGGAGAGGCTCGGCAGAGGCTGTGCATAGGCTGGGCAGAGGCTGTGCATAGGCTGTGAATAGGCTGGACAGAGGCTGTGCATAGGCTGGGCAGAGGCTGGGAAGCTAGAGGCTTGAACACTGCAAGTGGGAGAGGTGAATTCGCGAGAATGGTGGGTGAGAGGGGCTTAAGAAGAGAGGCTGGACGAAAGAGACTGACCACCTGCAAAATTTGATGGGTAGTTCGCTAGCTTTTAATCTTTCTCTTCTAATTGTGTAAAATCAAAATAAGAAAATAATCAATAACTTTAAAGAAACTAACTTGGTTTAAAACGAATATCAAATTATTTTATTGCACCCTTGGGTACTTGGGTATTATAATTTTATTTTAATTAATTTTTAGAAGTTTGCTACTTAGTTAAGGTTAAATTTCCTACCCTATAAAGTATATATACTCATGATCAGCAACGGCAGCCGAGTCGATCTAGGTTATAATAATTCTTGGTATTTTCTAAAGTCCTGTGACACTTGGAGAAAAAGCTTTATAAGCTTTATTTTATTAATTGAAATATTAAAATCGTTTTACTTTGTTTTCTTTAAATTCTTAGATTAATAAATGAATTATTAATATTTATTTTTTATATTTATATTTATTTAATTTGTAATATTTATAAATATTTTTTATATATATTTTTATATATATTGTTATATGTATATTTTTATATATTTTTTTATATATATATTTCTTTCTCTTACCTTTTCCCCACCATTAACTCTAAAAAACTTTAATGAAAATAAACACCAATTGCATTGCTTAATATTTGTTGTTTCAATATTTATTTTCTCATTTTTTGACTAGGTAATGTTCCATCATAATGCTTTTGTTTGTTTGTTGTTTTGTTTTGGGGTTTGTTTTTGGTTTTCGGTTCATAATAATTCAATATATTGTATTTAGTTGATCGGTTAATATACCATTTAGCTTAACAACCAAATTCCGGCTGCAATTAAAACCCCTTTCTCCGGCACGGATCAGGGATATATATATTGCAGCGGTGGCTATCAATTTTGTATAATTAATTAATATATATATATATGTTTGTATATATATATATATAACATGTGAGTGTTTGTTTCGGCTTTTTTTCATTTTCTTTTTTTTTATTGTACATAGAATACATATGTTATAGACGATATATATAATATATGTAGAATTAAACGTAGGTAAATAATGTAACATACAATACATGAATGAGGGCTCTGGGGACTTCTTAGGGATACAATATACATATTCTCTATTATAATTCAATTCGTGAGTAGTTGTTTTTTCTTTCAGTGTGTGTGGAATGGCAATGGTTGGACTTGGGGGCTTTGGATTAACGTTTATCGATAGAATTTTTGGGTTATCGAACAGAGGCTGAGAGTGGAATATACATATATATATATATATATATATATTCATGTTTAACACTCAATTAACAAATCTATTTATATGCAATCTTGCTAGTTAACTCAATCAATCAATCAATCAAATACGTGTGGCATATAGTTTATGAATATCTTTGTTTTAGTTTAGCTTTCGTTTATTACATCTCCCATTTAATGTATTTACTTTTTTCTTTTAATTACTTTTGCTTCAACAAAGATGATTTGCCTATATGATTTTACTTTTTTTTTCTTTTATCGCTTTCTTTTAAAGTTTTTAATTTGAATATAATTTAAATTTGATTCACAACAATAACATTTGAATATGCTTTTCCATTTCCGTTTCCGCTTTTTCCATTTCTTCCCACGCTGGAGTTTTCTGAAGTTTCAGCTTTAAATTTATTGTTAAATCAATGGTATACGTAAAGCTTAAAGTGTATATCTGATGTGGCTATGGATAGTCGCAGTTCGCAATTCGCAATTTTTGCTATTTAGGTGCCTGTCCTCCAGTGTTGGTTAAAGCTGGCAGCTTGCGTTGTCAGTGTTGGTTAGACCCATGTGAAGCTGGGCACCTTATCCTGTTACGTCCAGTGTTGGTTAACCCTATGTGAAGCTGGGCAGCTCGTTTCCATCCTTGTCTCAGGCTAGATGTGTGTTTGTGTGTGTGTGCGTGTGCCCTCCAGTGTTGAGCTTTCGTTTGTTTTTTTTCCGAGTGTAGGAGGAGGGGAGTAGGCGTTAAAGGGGGCATTTACCAACACTCTTCTGCTTCCGCTCACTTAAACGTAGTTAAGAACGATGTATGGGTATGTATGGCGAAATTGCTTGTCACTTGTGGCTTAATCCCTACCTCAGATCAGATTACATCGGCGTATATAGAGTATATATGTATATATATATCGTTTAGTGTTGGTTTTAGTGTGTGATTATAACCATTATCCCTATGCATATGTATGGGTTGACTTTACGTACGATTTCTGGTCTGATATTGATTAACATTAACGTGATCGTATGGCTACAAGTAACGCAGTTTAGTTCAGTTTAAATTTAGGCTAGTTTAGGTGTTGTTGTGATTAGGGGTTCAGATCAGTGGATATATATATGTATATATATAAATATGTATGATGTTCTAGCTAACATATCCAGTTCCTCCAGTTGACGTTTTGTGTGCCGCCCATCAGCTCTCCACCTCCTTTTTGGCTTTTTACACAGTGTTCATCATCATTTAGCCTCTTCATTGATCGATTATCAGTTATCAGTATCGTTTATCGTTCATCGTTCATCATCGTATCTTCAGCCGCTGCTCTTAACATTATTGTCAACTAATCTTTACTTAACTTTGAAGCGATGAACACGCTGCACAAGCTAGAGGGAAAATATCGGCAGACGCACATGAAAATATATATATAAATTAATATATATATATATATATATAGTTAGGTAGGTAAATATTAAGGGGGGCCAGATATATCTATGCGTATATATAATATGTATATAACAAGAACGATTTTTGTTTTTTGCTTTTTTTGGGTAAACCATGCACGAGGAATATCTACAGAAAGCCGCTTAGGGTTGCCCTGCCATTCGGTTTTCGCCTGTTTTTTGGGGATTTGATTTTCCAGTTTCCGGTTTCCGGTTATCTTTTCTTTCTTTTGGCTTAGTTGGAATCTGTATCCGAATCGCTGGGCGGAACTGGAGAGGCAGTCGGCTTTTGGGCCGAACTGGTCGTCGTCTCCTCGCGAATGGGACGCGTTGCCGCCAGGTACGCGTTCGTGGACTCGCCGTGCGTGGTCTCGATGCCAACCCTTTAAGAAAATAAAGGTGAAAATTAATTAATTTAAATTAATAAATGTTTGAAATATTTTTAGGGGTTTTCTCAGGTTTTGTCACCAAAGTTCTGGCTAAGTAAATGTTAATTAAAACTCTTTTTAATTGCTTTCTGAAAGCTTAAAGCAAGAGGTTAACATATGTTCACTGATTAAGTGGTAAATTTTGAGTTATGGTTAAACCTTATGTTAAAAGTGCATCTGTTTGTTAAAGTAATCGTATAAATTATTATATTACAAACTGGAAGTTAGTTTAAACTGAACTAAAATCTATTATTTTGAAGATGTAAACATTAAATATTTTAGAAAGATTTTTTATCTAGAAGCAGAGTTCCGGTTAATCTGCAAGATACTTTTTTTTAGTACAGAAATTTGTTATTTATAAAACTCAAAAATATAATCAGGTTTCTCTTACTTTTACTTAATTTTTAAAAGTTTTAAATGGAAGTTTATCTCCCTTAAAATTTAAACTTTAAACTTGTCACAATTAAACATTAAACATTTAAGGTTAATAGGAGCTTTAATGTAAGGTTTAAAAATATAATGTAATAATAATTTCCAGACACTAAACTATATAACTTCAAAACAGCTTTTATATTTAAAGATAAAACAATGTTTACTTGAGTAATTTAATTTAACAAGGGCTTTGACTTCGGAAAAAGTTCTTATTTTAAGAGCTTTCAGTAGGTATTAAATTATATATCATATCATATCATATCATATCATAATCATATAATGAAATACAATATAATAACTAGCCAAACTTTAAAATTCGACTAAACTTCTTTAACTTATTTGCTTTTAACTCTGACTTTGGGCTTGAGAAAACCTTAAAAATTTGCGTGAGCTTCAGAGATATACTCACTTGTACTCGTGCCGTGCCAAATATCGGACATATTTCTCTGGCGGCTCATCGGCATCCGAATCCTGGACACTCACGGAGCGCACGGTGGTATGCGAGACCTGCGTGGCGGGCATAGTGAACTCCACGAATGCGTATGGCGCCAATTCGCTGGGTATTTGATCGTACGAGGTAAGAGCCATTCGGCAGACCAGCTGATGGGTGGTATAAGCACCTGTCGGAGGACGGGAGAGAGTTAGATTATATAATGATAGGATACAATCAAATTTAAGATCACTTCCTCAACCCGTTCCCCTCACTCACCCTGACCCTCTTTGGGCAAACGTGGACATCGCCAGACAATGGCTCGATGATGATGCTCATACTTGGCCTGACCGGAGGTCACCTCGATCAGTGACTCCTGCAGCGTGTCCACAGCTCCAAGGATACGTTCGATGCCCTTGATTTTCCCTGTACGCCGATGTGCTGACTTTACTGAACCATATCTGCTCCAGGATTAACCCCCAAAGAGAGAGAGAGGGAATAGTAATTATAAAGGATATAAGATTTCTCTAACAGCTTACTCACCTGAAATGCTTCTCCACACGGAACAGATAGATCCAACATTCGGGTATGGGAAAGCGCACAGAGACATCTTCGCAGGGTATTTGTCCCAGCTTCCGGGAGGTGAAACCAGGCACAAGGATATCGGCACGTAGCTCAACTTTATTGCCAGTTACACACCAGGTGGCCTTCAGTTGGAGCGGAAGTTCACGATTCTTGGGCGGACGAACGCGGAAGCGCAACAGTTCTATATAGTTGGCATCAGGCGGTTGGAATCTAAAGAAAAGTAATATATATATTAGATATATAAAGATTTATGAAGAGTGATCTAGATACACTTACTTAATAGTGCGCGTCCGTTCATATTCCTGCTGATTGACAACACTGTGAAATTCCACTGCCTCCAGTCGTATCCATTCCTCGGTGGCCACCGGTATAATATCATGACGACCCACTACTTCCTTACCCTGTCGCCACATATCATTCACGCCCAGCTCTATGGTCGGCATGCCGGTGAGGAAGGCCAAAAAGAATAGACGCACTCGTGCTATTTGTTTCAAGATCTTTCCCTCACTATCCTGCTCCACGGTTATCTCATCCACTGCCGTCACCTGTACCTCTTCCATTTTGTAGGTCAAGGCTCGTTCCCGCAAGGCGGGTAGCTTGAAGAGTGCCTCCTCTATGCATACGGAGAATTGTTTCATATCCTCGTAGGTCATGGAACCGATCTTGAAGAGTTGCGACGATTGTGGAGCATGCTCCACGGGCAGACCGAGCTTCTTGAGATCGCTGCCAAACTCCTTGACACCCTCGTAGTCGCCAGCGATGGCATATTGTGCGAATTTGGTTAGCTTATTGGTAATCCTTTCGGCTTTGGTCACCTGACCGGGCCTCACACCAGGTCGTTCCTTGTAGAAGATATATTGCAGCTTCATCGTGAAGATTTTCCCAAATTGATCGTATTGCTGGGCCCCAATCTCTGATACGGAATAGGAGGGTTGCAGGGGCAGCTCCTGGAAGGGTTGCTTGTCACCGGCCTGATTGAGCAATTGCACCACCGGCACATCATTTTGCACCACCAAACGGACAAAGATCTTCTTCCAGAATCGTTGTCCGGTGATTTTCTTCTTATTCGGTTGACGCAATTGCATTTCCCAGCCGGGACCGATGTAATGCAGGCGAGGGAATTCCTCCAGCGGCTGGGATACATCCTCATCGTAGAGCGGCGTCTGTGGTGTATCCTGAGAGTCGGTGCGTTTGATGCTCGTCACCGAACCCTCACCTGGCGGGGGACCACCTGGTGCTGGGAAACCGCTAACATCCTCGAAGGGATTCACCGTTGCCGAACCCGGTGGCGATGTGGAGGATGTGCCAGTGATTGTAGTCCTTGCCGGTGGCACTGGTGGCGGTGCCAGTTGAGGTGCCGCACCACCGGCACCCTCGGCCTTGGGTCGTATGACCACACTGAATTCCTTGTCCACCGATTCCACAGAATCGGCACGGGCAGGCGCCTGCATGGCATAGAAGTCATCGTCCTCGTTCCCGAAGCCATCGTCCGCCGAGGTGCCAGCATCACCAAAGGCGCTGGCCGAGATGGGAGCCGAGCCAAAGGCACTGTCGCCCCAAGCTGGAATTTATGTAAATATATGTATTTCATTAGGAAATTTATAAATTTAATGAATTGATAAAGAAACCAAGATAATCTACAAGGAAAAATATAAAATATAAGAAAGAAAACTAAGTTCAAGAAGACGTACCTAAGATACTTTTGCAATTTTCGATTTAATTATAAGTTCAAATCGGAAATCGATAAATATATTCATCGATATATTTATATGACATTTTTAATGACAAATCAAAGTTTAAAAAACTCATAACTAAGCTAAAAAGGCATTAATTTTCAATCGGAAAACTGTTCTATGTTAGTTTTTATAAGGTTAATAAATCTGCGTACTCTATTTAAAATTAAAATAAATTAAAAATTTTTGTAAATTTTTTTGACAGTTTTAACGATGAAATCCCTTATAAAATTATGAAAAAATTTTAAAAATTTATTTTTCTGCCTGAGATGGCTAGATCGACTCGGCTGTTGATGCTGATCAAGAATATATATGATTTATAGGGTCGGAAATGAGTCCTTCACTTAGTTTTAAGCTTCTGACTAAAATTAGAATACCATTTTTTAATCAATATTTATTTATATTTTTATATGACAATTTAATGGAAAAATTCAATTTTAAAATAATCATAACTCAGCTTAAAATGCATTAAATTTATTTCGGAAAGCGGTCCTATGTTAGTTTTTATTAGTTTAATAAAACAGCATACTCCATCTAAAATTTAAAAAAATTAAATTTTTTGTCAATTTTTTAATAAAATTTTAACGATGTAATCCCTTAAATTTTTTTTTTACATTTTCGAAAATTTTTTTTGCCGTATATGGCTAGATCGATTCGGCTTTTTATGCTGATCAAGAATATATATGCTTTATGGGATCGGAAATGACTTCTTCAATGTTTTTTAAACTTCTAACTGGTAATTAAAGTACTTTTGCAAGGGTATAAAAATTGAAAAATATTTAAATATCGATATATAAATCAATAACGTTGCGATATGTGTAGAATAAACATACATTCTGCGAAATATAATGATGCAATATATTCTTAAAAGGGATAAAGATAAATTATATATATTGCTTATTTTTATATCAAGTTTTGTATAAATTTTCTAAATTTTTAATTGAATATGAAATGCGATATTCAATAGTATTTAAAATATCGACATATTTGAATATATCGAAATATTTTCGATATGATATTAATAATAAATAAATAAAATAATAAATAAAGGAATAAATTCCTTTTGAACTAAAAACATATTTATAAAATCCTACAATTTCCCCACAAAATCGCAATAATAATAAATATAAATGTGCTGTAACTCACCATCTCCGCCCGTGGGCGTTATGGCTCCCGATCCGCCAAAACCATCCAGGATACTGATATTGTCCTTCTTCACCGAATCAAACTTGGCCGAGAAGGCATCGAACTCATCGGCAGGCTGCGGTTCCACGGCAAAAATGTTGCTCGCATACGAGGCCGCCACTGGCGGTGGCTCCACATCGGCCACCGGCTCCATTTCCGGTTCCGGATCCACCGAGAATATATTACCCACAACCGCAGGGACTGGTGCGAATGCGGGCTCCTCTTCCTCCTCGGGACTGGCAAAGGGATTGGCGGATAGTTGACCGCTGGCCATGGGGAAATCCAGTCCTGTGTCCATTTGCTCGGGTTCCGGTTGGATTTCCGATACCACTTCCGCTTCCGGTTCGAAAGCAGCCACTTCCGGTTCAGCTATAATCTCCGGCTCGGGCTCTGTCTCTGGTTCTGGCTCCGACACTAGTTCTGCCTTAACCTCCGGCTCATCCTCATCATCCGATCGTGGAAGATCCTCCACCGTGGTTATCTCTATATCCGGCGTTGGTGCTCGCTGTCTGCTGGCCGTTTCCGGTGGCGCTGTCATGTGATTTCCTTGTCTCTCCAATCCGGTGGCCGCCTGCGGTTGTGAGGTGATGTCGTGGGTGCTCTCATCCGGTCGTGTTAGCAGCGAAGTGAAGATGGGTTCATCCCTGGAACCAGTGCCATCGGGATTCTCCTCATCGATTGCTTCATCTGTGGCCGCCGCTTGTGATGGTTCCTTTTCCGGCGACATTTTAACCTCGGGCAGATCATCATGCAGTAGATCCGGCTTTGGGGCCGGCGGTGCCGCTGGCTGCTCAAAGAGACTGAGTATATCCTCCTTTGTTTTGGGTGGCGGTGGCTTGGCCGGCTTGCTGCTCGTGGTGCCAAACATGTCCAGCAGATCATCTGCTTCGGCAGCGGCAGCGGGAGCAGGAGCGGGTGCTGGTGCCACTGGATGTGGTGGCGGTGGTCGTTGTGGTGCCGCCTGTTGTCCCGGTGGCGAGGGACGTGGCGGTGCTGGCCGTGGCGGTGGCGGACGTGGTGGTTGCTTCACTGGCGATGCTGGCATTGGTGTTGCTGCCTGAATATTGGGCAAAGCCGTTGGCACCGCAAATGGGTTGTCCAGGGGTGTCACAATGCCATTGGCATTGCCACCCATTAGATCGGTTTCAACAACACCGCCACCCTGGGCACTGGAGCCACTATCCATGGAGACATCGAGTAGATCTGCCAGGCCAGAGTCCGGTGTGGGGCTGGGCGAATGTAAATCCCGCATGGAGACGGGACTGGGTGAACGTGTGGCTGGTATTCGTCCCAGCAGCTCTGAGCTGGTCTCCTCCAGTTGACTGGAAACCGTGCTAATTAGATCCTGGGTACTCTGGGGCGGCGCCTGTGGACGCGGCGGTGGTGGCGGGTGTGAATGAGCTTGGTTTTGGGTAGGATCTTCCTCTCCGGCTGCGGATTTCAGGCTAAGAGCATCATCTTCTGCCTCGATGGTGGTGCCAAAGAAACTCATTGCCGGATCGAGGTCATTGAGTGGTGCTGCCTCCGCTTCCGCGGCTTCGGGTTCCGCCTCCTGGTCAAGATCATCGCCACCAAAGGCAAAGGGATTCGAGGCGCCAGCTGCAGAAGCTCCGGCAGCTGAACCAAAGGGATTATCTGTGCTGGAATCATCGGGTTCGGATTGCATGAGAAAGGGATTGGCAGCCATATCGCCGCCATCCAGGTCGTCGTCCATGAGAAAGGGATTGGCCATGATGATGATTGATGTTCTACCTTCCTAACGTTCTATTAGTTCACTTTCCAGCAACTTGATCTCCGTCTCTCCTGGCCCTAGATTCTCTGCTATGGAGGTATCAAATGGATCGATATCCTCTTGGGCGGGCAACTGGGGACGTGTTTGCGTCGAAGGTGTTAGCACCTTGTCACCCAAACCCAACTCCTGGGCGTCACTCTGAACGTCTAGGACGTCGGTCACCGCCTGCCGTTGCGTCTCCGGCAACAATTCGTTCTCCAGCAGCTTTAGTTCCGTCTCTCCTGGCCTTAAATTGGCAGCTATTGAAGTATCAAATGGATCAATATCCTCTTCGTCGTTGGAATCACCACCACTGCGTTTGGTTAGTTGCTTGCGTTCCTGTGCTGGTGTCAAGACCTTGATGTTGATATTCTCCTCAACCGCAAGTAGAACCTCTGCGGGCACTGGTGTGGGCGGTGCTCGTGGATTGAAATCCGGATCGGAAAGACTATGCCTCAGACTCTGCTCCAAATCCTTTTCAATGTGCTTTAACTCGATGTCACTGAGCTTTGCCTCTGGCACGTAGGAGGTGTCAAAGGGATCTACTTCCTCCGATTCACGTTCCCGCTCCTCAATGGGTTTACTCGCTGGAGCGTAATAGGGCGTCAGTGGTTTCTTATTGGCACCCGGTTCGTTGCCAACGCCAAGGAGATCTGGTGCCGGTACCAGGAAACCTACACTCTTTGCCTGAATGTTTAAACTCAGCGAGGATTTGCGACGAGCGGCGTCAAAGGCACCAACGTCCTCGGGCTGTGGCAAGTGCTCCTTGGTCACCTGTACCTGTGGTTCGTCCTGACCTGCGCGTGGATCAAAATCCGGATCACTTAGGGAGTGTTTTAATGTACTTCCTCCTCCTCCTCCTCCTCCGCCTGCCTCGTTGAGTAGCTCTCGCTCTAGGAAACGCAACTCTGTGGCCTTGGGCTGCACCAAGGCCGACACCGCTGAGGTGTCAAAGGGATCAAAATCCTCCGGTTCCTGGTCAACACTTAGTGTTGGAGCCAATGGGGCGGGCACCACTTGACTAAGATCTGTGGCACTGCCGGCCAAGAGATCCCGCGAGGGAGCAGCTAGACCTCCAGCTGACTCTTCGGCACGCGGATCAAAGTCGTCGTCCTCCTCAAGGACAGTGGTCTTCTTGATCACCTGCTCGGCGTAGTTGGTATTGAAGGGATCGTCGTCGGGATTTAGATCCTCGTCGTCGTCGGAAACGTAAATGGCACCGGGTACAATATGAGGTCCTGTGGCGGGACGTACTGGTGGCGGTGGACGCTTGGGTTTACCTAAAGTGAGGAAAAGGATAAAGGATTAAGATTAAGGTTTCTAAAATAAAAAGTAAGAAAGTGGGGTTACTTCCTGCTCTAGGCCTCACCTGTTTCCGGTTCCGGTTCTGCCTCAAATTCCGCCCAACTTGCCTCGCTTGGTAACTCTGCGGCAGGCAAATGCACTTGACTTACAATGGTCACTTCCTCCTTTTTGGTCAACGATTCGGCAGCTAATTCAGCAAACTCGTCGTCCTCCTCGTCCTTGAGGGCATCGAATTCGGATAGATCCGGATGAAGTCCTAATCCACCTTCCCCCTGGTGCTCCTCCTCTCCTTCGTCGTCGTCCTCCTCCTCCTTGGGCTTGGGCTTTATCAAATGCAAATGCAGCGAAACACTGAGATCAATCGGGGCCGACGATTCTGGCAATTCCTCGTCAAGATCGTCTAGGAGATTGTGCTGCTGCGGCTCAACACCGGCAAGGAGATCCGCCTCCGGATCGGCTAGCTCAACACTTTCGCTGAGTAAAAGATTCTGGATACCCTTGCGAAGTTTCCGCTTGGGATTCGCTAAGGCGACGGCGTGTTCACGATCAACGCGTCCGGAAAGGACCTCAACGGCTGCCCCAAGACTCACAAGCTTCTTATTGCCCTTGGAACGATCCGCACCAACGATGACCTTTTCCGCATAGGCTGTATCAAAGGGATCCGGTCCGTCGTCCTGGGCAAATACTGGTGAATCGGGTACAACGGCTAATTGTAATTCACCGCTGGTAATGGCCTCGATATAATCGGTGGCAAAGATATCATCCGCCTCGTCGTCAATATGCTCGTCCTCGGATTCGGATAGTTGGACCACTGCCTCGGCTAATTTGTCACGCTGCGCTTCGATCTCGGCCAGACGCTGACGTTCACGCTCGAGACGCTCCTGGTCACGGCGGGCGGCCTCCTCCTCCTCCTGTTTCTTCTTTTCGGCGGCAGAGGGTAGACGCTGGTAGAAGGACTCCTTCTTAATCCGATCGAGCTCGTCCTGGGTCTTATGTAGGATGCTATCAACGCCGGAGGTTAGTGCCTTGAATTTGGCCCATTCCTCGTCGCCACCGGTGGCAGCAGCAGCAGCAGCGGCGGCGGCGCCAGAATGAGTGGGATGATGATGATGTGGATCCTCCTCTTGACCAGCAAATCCTGATCCCGAACTGCTGGCTACTTGGTGTGAGTGCTGCTGATGATGATGCTGATGATGATGTTGTTCGTTGTGATGATCGTGACTGGTTTCAGCTTCTGATGCGGCACCGTCGGATTCGCCGGCGTCCGATTTATTGGCCGCCGCCTCCTGTTTCGCCTTGAGGTCGCGCTTGTACTGCTCGAGCTCCTCCTCGGTGAAGAGCTCCTGATCCTTTTTCGACTTCTTCTTTTCTTTTTTAGGCCCTTTGGTAGCTTAAGCATTATCTAATTGCGGAGACATCGAGATCGGTCTGCAAATAGTTATTTTTGTTTTGGACACAATGGTCACTTCTTGGTGAGTTTTTTTTTTTTGTTTTTGTTTTGGTAAGTTTTTTTTTTTGTGGGCAGGATTTGGAGTTTTGGAGTCTACGCAGGATTACGAGTATATATATTTCTATATCTTTATATATATATATATATTTTTTTAATGAAACTGCGGGTGGAGGAGCAGACAAGGGGGATTATGTAAGCCGGCATCGAGTAAATCAAGTAACAGGGTAATGGGTGGGTAATGAGTGATTAAAGGGTGACTAATAGGTGACTGATGGTGACCGATGGTTATAAGGTTATAAGAAAAGTTACTGGGTAACTGATGAGTGGCTACGGGTAGGTTATAAGTGAGTAATCAATGAATCATTAATGAATAATGAATGACTAGAGAACTAAGAAAACCTAAGGCTTAGCTACCGCCCACTCACCGCCGCCTTTTCGGTTGTTATTCCGGCAGATTTTGCTTAAATCTAATGGAAAATCTTCAAAACTTTGTGAAAATTCCGCTAAGGAAAAACCGCTCTCTCTCTCTCTCTCTCTTCTGTTCTCTGTTTCTCTCTTTCCCTCTCTCTATGTGTACCTACACATGAATTTTGGCAAATTCGAGGCAAAGCTTTTCCACCACGCCACAAGGAAAATGGGGAAAATGCCACAACAACAGCAACAAACAGTTGAGTCAGTCAAAGCTTAAATATCCACACACACACTCACACACACGCACATGCTAGGCGGAAAAGTGGGAAAAGTTTCGCTGCCCAAAAAAGTAGGCAACACACTTTTGTGTGCCCTTTTTTTTGTCTAAGAGATACTTTGAAGCATCTTAAAAGATTAAAGAATATTTATGCAACTTTAAAAGACTTGAAATGAGGTTTTATATTTATTATTTATTTATATTAAAAATATGTTAAAAAAACAAGTTCATTTTAGTGATTATCTTTGTAGTTCTCTTAATAAAATTTCAACCTTGAAACTAGAAAATGAAAGTATTTAAGGAAAATCAACATTTATTAGACATTAAAGCAATTCCACAAGTAATTTTATGATTAATATTATTATTATCTATATAAATTTATAGTTATCAAGCATAAATATTATATTTAAATATACTTGAGCATCAAAAATATATTCATATTCTTAAAATATTCTTCTTTTCTTTGAATTTCCATGAATTCCAAATATAATTTATAAAAAAAAGACTAATTATTTATTTGATCTTGATAATGAAAGTGTCTTCGATTGATTTCGAGAAGAAAAGAGATGGGTTGGGGTTCTTTTTTCTTCTTCGAGGGTTTCGATTTCCGCTTTGAAAGCAATTTCTTGAAGGCGAACTTGGCAAAAGCAACGGTAAATGTGCTTGACAGATGATTCCATCTTGGACTTGAGCAAGAAAGAGAGGGGGAAATACAAAAAAAAAAAACTAGTGAGAACGAGCTTGACAGAGAGCCAAGAGTACAAATGAGAGCAAATGAGCACAAGAAGGACGAATGGGAACCAAAGTTCCTCTCAAAAATGGGGGGCAGTAGTACCTTTGCTTCTTCTTTCACCTCTTTCTACTCTCTGCTTTCTACTCTCCCTATACCTCTTCTCCTGCTTCTCCTTCTTCTTCTATACCCCCTCTGCCACTGAGCGAATGTTATTTGTGTTGTTGCTTTACTTTTTTTTTTTAAAGGGAAAAATCGATGATTTTGAGAGACGCACTTTTCAGGGAAGCGGAAGCGAGATGGCGTCAAAGTGCAAGCGAGAAAGCACCCACGCACGCACACACTTTCACACACACACACACACACAGTCTCACACTCGCGTTTTAATACATATATATTAAAGGAAATATATATATGTAAAAATCTGTATGTAGGGATACAGAGGCCACGAGGAAAATTTTTATATTTCAGGGCCTCGTTTTCATTTGTTTTTGTTTTATGTTTCACTGGCAAACTACAAAAAAAAATATATACGATTTTTTCCACTTATGCAACTTACGTCTCACTCTCTCGCACTTTAATCTCAACTCGAAAGCACAAAAGAAATACCGTTTCACTCGACACTTTCTTTTTTTTCAACCAAAGATGTACACTTTATGCAATTCCACGCACAGGAAATCAAGATATGAGACAGATATATTTAGATAGAGAGAGAGAGAGAGAGATGGAGCGTGAAGAATCAACGTTTAACGGTTATTATTATTTGCTTAGCGTATTTTCCATACTCGTTACGAATCTGCTGATGCCTGGATTTTTCTTTACTCGTTTTCGCTTTCGAAGCGGGGGACTCTTTTTCTTTCGGTTTTTGTTTCGGTGGCTTTACCTCTGATTTGAACTATCGGGAAATCTAGCGCAGAATGAATAAAATGTCATGAAATCCATGGGAAGTGCTTTTCGCCAGCAGCGACGCCGGCAGAGGCAGAGAGACAACGGTACTGTTATATACAGCCGTATATCCTGAAAAAGCTCAGCGGCAAAAGCTGCGCATACAAAAGCTTCGCTGTCTTGCCTCCCACAGCTGATTAGTGCCATCCTGTTCCTCCTGCGGGATGCTTTTGAAAGCTTCCACTGGAAGGGGGGTGGAGAAGAGAGAGCAAGCTAACTACGTCACTGTGTCGTCGCCACAATTTGACACTTGACATTTCTCCGTTATTTTTAACAGCGCCTGCGCCGCTTTCAGCCCTGGTCGATACCGTTATGCCGCACAACCCTGAAAGCTCAGGCGATAAATGAAATTTATTTTTAGAGTTTAAACATTGATGAATTCATCAATGTTATCGGAAAATCGGACCAAATGGGGGCTATTTAACATTATATTTTAATTTAATTGTTATGATAATTAATTATGAAAGCAAACTACTCTATGAATTCAATTTCCTAAATGTATTCGTGAAATGATTATCGAATGAATCGGAAATCAATTTAAAAACATGCTTTTGTTAGTTTAACAAAGCAGGATATTGAGGTTAATATTTTTATACCCTTGCAGAGGGTATTTTAATTGTAGTCGGCGAAGGGGTCCTTTCCGACCCTATAAAGCATATATATTCTTGATCAACATTAACAGGCAAATCTATCTAGCCATGTCAGAAGAATACAAAAATTTTGACAATTTTTTTTTTATTTTATAAGGCGTTTAAATTTTCAAAAATCGAAAAAAAAAAAATGCGATTTTGAAGTATTAAAATTAGTATGCAGATCTATTAACCTTATAAAAGCTAACACAGAGCAGCTTTCCGAATTAAAATTAATGCATTTTTGGCCAAGTTATGAAGTTTTGATTTCCCCACAAGATCACTTTTAATAATGCATACATTTTAGATGATATTTCTAAATGAAAATTTGTGGTGAAATCAAAAGTTCAAAATCTCATAACTAAGCTAAAAAAGCACTAATTTCAAATCGGAAAGCTGTCTTATGGTAGGTTTTATCAGGTTAATAAATCTGCATACTCTATTTAAAATGTAAAAAAATTTAATTTTTTATTTCAATTCTTGTCAATTTTAGTCCTTATAAAATTTTGAAAAAAATTCGAAAATTTATTTTTCTGCCTAAGATGTCTGATAGATTTGGCTGTTCATTCTCATCAATAATATATATGATTTATAGGGTCGGAAATGATTCCTTCACAAGTTAGAAGATTTTACCTTAAGTTATAATACTGATTTGCATTGTTGATTTACTAAAGAATTTACCTTGCATAATTAAATAATAATATTAATAATATTAAAATTATATCTTCAAAGATTAAATGTAAATTTAATTAAGAAAATTATTAATTTCCTTCTTATTTTATTTTAAAAACAAAAATAAATGCTGAAGATACATTTTAATCTATGTATGATTGTGAAAAGTATTTCCCAAAATCGCCACTCGTATTCCAAGTATTTTTAAATATTTGTCACTATAAAATATATATATGTAGTTAGAAATTAAATCAAATTTAAGTCAAGAACAATACAAATTGGTATATAAAAAAGAGACTTAAATAATATATTTTATAAATATAATTTATATTTGGTATGGTTTTTATACATTTAGTAAGTTACTCTCCATTTCAATTGAATTGTCTTCAATTTTCTTAAATTTCTCACACTTTAAAGTGATAATTTACTCTATCTAAACATTGAGAAATTCGACCTGCAAGTTTAAATTGACAAATAAAATTTAACTTATATCTGTTATAAACCCAAAGAGATACCAAAAGAGTGTATGTGTGTTTGCGCGATAGTGATCGCAATTAAAATCGGTGGGCGAGTAGGTTAGTTGAGTCATGCGTGTACCCATTAACGCTATCAAAACCTATTCATAAAACAGAATATATATATATATATCTTATCTGGTTGCTTATTACAAATATGGAATATTTGAGTACCAAGTACCGAAAAGGGTGGTGGTTAACGATTTGACAAGTCGCCCAATGTTTGTTTAGGCCAAAAACAGAAACCATAAACACAAAGAGAGCAAACCAATTTCCGTTGAACCTCTCGCTCTGTTTCAACAACTATATACAATAGATATATGCATGTATGTATATATAACCATATATCTCCATCCCTTTCGATGTCATGTTTTTCGTTCACCATTTGAGGTGACTCTCCAGGTGACAACTGTTGAACCACCAGGACTGAATGTCATTGTATGACTGCGATTTGTGTCTAAATCCAGGCTCATGGAGTCGGGCACAAAGGTCACAGAAGGGTGAACTATTGCCCAGACGGTAATGACGCCTCCACCAGAAATAACTGGCATATTCCGTGGCATCACCGCCCACGAAATCCAAGTACAAAGCCAAATCCGATACGGTCTCAAAGCGATTCGCATCGATATAAGAATGTGGCGGTAAAATGCGGGAATAATCCGCTCCACCAAAGACCACGGGAATAACATTCCGACGAAGTGCATCAAATAGCTTCTCGGTCACATAGTCATCGCACAGCGAATTCTCGAAGGCCAGGTAGAACAGGTAATCCGTGTCCAGCATCTCGTCACAATAGGGATCACCCCGAGCGCAACTGAAAAAGGGTTTAATTATTATTTTTAATGTTTAAATGATTTTATTTTTAAATTGTAAATTATTTTTGTAAGAGAAAATTGAGCCATAAATCTTGTTCTCTAAAAATGGTAATTTATAGGTCTTCTAGAACAAAATATAAATACTAATAAGGTAACAGTTTAATAATTAAATTTGTAAGTAAATTAAAAGGACTCTAATAATGAATACAATATCATGAGTAAAGTCTTTTTAATTTTGTAAATTGATTTAATTATTTGCTAAACATACTTTATAATATAATAACATAATAATATAATAATATAATAATATAATAATATAATAATATAATAATATAATAATATAATAATATAATAATATAATAATATAATAATATAATAATATAATAATATAATATATAATATAATAATATAATAATATAATAATATAATAATATAATAATATAATAATATAATAATATAATAATATAATAATATAATAATATAATAATATAATAATATAATAATATAATAATATAATAATATAATAATATAATAATATAATAATATAATAATATAATAATATAATAATATAATAATATAATAATATAATAATATAATAATATAATAATATAATAATATAATAATATGTGTATATTTTTTACTCTATAAAATTACTATTATCAAATATCAAATATTTGTGATTAAGCTTGATTTGTTTGAAATTTTTTCATGTTTCATTGATTGATAAGAATATGTGATTCATAATTTTAGTTGTGAAATTAACTGGCTTCAAAGATATTAAATGAAATAACAAACAAATTAATCAATAATTAATCCAATAACATAAAATAATATATTAATAAAATATAATATAATACTAAATATATCAAATTTCCAGTTAGTAATATCTATAAAAGAAAATCATATATGTATCTCACCTGAGTGTTCCACACTTTCCATAGATATCCACTTGAAAATACGTCTGAAGCCTCTCGGCCAGGACCTCCCTCTGGGACAGTGTCTTGCAGTGGGATACAAACCAGGCTGCCATCTTGCTCTTCCCCGCCCAGAGATCATATATCTCCGTATCGTTATAGGCCACCACCGGTGGCTTTCTCCAACTAGGATTTGAATTGGGAGCCACCACAGCACCCGTTTCTATATCCACAATCTGACCATATGGCCAAACCACATCCGAATCCAAGCGATAGGTCATTGTCAAATTATAGAAACCCTGCTCATCATCCAATCGATGTTTCGTCTCTCCCGGTGGCTCCATCAACGCAAAGATATACATCTGTTTGGGGCTCCTCCTGGCCGGCACTTGCTCCAGCAGTGGAAACATTTGGGCGGCATGGAAGACCACAGCATCGTAGAGTTCCACGGCGGGCAGGAAATCATGTTGATTGGTCACCTCACACTGATAGACCGGACAGTGGAGCTCCTCGCGCAACTCCTGTGGTCCCAAGGTATCCCAGGATAGTTTCCATCGTGGATCACCAAAGAAATCGTTCCACAAGAGAATGCTGCGAGTGGAGGAGATGGATGATGATGATGATGATGATCCTCCTCTCTCCAAATGCTTGTGCAAAATCTCATATTGATTGAGCAAAGGTGATTGGATAACACGGTGAAGGATCACCAGAGTGACAACCAGGACGAGAAAGAGCAGCAAAAGCGGGCCGCGCCAACCGCTGACAACGAACCGAGCCGATCGAACAGCCATCGACATGTGCTTGGGTTACCCAGATAACAACCACAGAGCACTTACCCACCAAGCACTCAATGGGTTACAGTAAAACCTAGATAAGGTGGCTCAACTACCCTTAGATATGGTAAAAATATGGTAATATACCATTTTTCTGTTGTATTTCTTACTTTTATTCAAGAGTTGTGTGAGTTGTTGTTTAGAGTTCTTTTTAGTTTGAACTCTTAACATAAATTGTAGCTTGTAGTTATGGTTTCTCTTGTCATACAATCTCCACTGTACTCATAGGTCTCACTTCCATTTAGAGAAAATAGTGCGAGGGCGATAAGGCAACGGGCATTATTGATTGTCCAGCCGATAAGTTCCCGGTAACTCACACAAGCACACACATTCCTAGGTTGGGTAAACATTACTCCAGATTAGCGATATTGTTAAAACCCCATAACCCTACCTGTTTCACCTGTTCTGGGGTGCTCCTCCTCCTCCTGCTCCTACTCCCCTCACATGGCCAGCGAGTGACTGACATCCAGGCAGCGTTTAAAGATCCTGGTCAACAGCGTAAAGAACAACACAAAGCCAAAGACCAAAAAGGTCCTTAGCAAATGCAGCAATTGCTTCATACTTTGGCGACAAATGAAAACGAAATGAATGACCTATACTAGCCTACCTTTCCTTTCAAATTCAAAACAAAAAAAAAAAAAAGAAAGAAAAATTGCAAAAGGTATGAGTTACGGGGGGAAAACCTTTCTTCTTCCCACCTGTGGAAACCCGCACAGGTGTCCTTCCAAAGGCCGCGTAATTGCAATGACTATAAAAGCCAGCACACAGAGCAATCTCTGGCCATTACATTAATGCACTATATACTTCTACTCCTCCTGCTGCTGCTCCGATGTCCTGGAATCTAAAAACAAAAATTAATGGCCCATTGTCATGAACCAAGTCGAGGGAACACTCAAATTACAGCGATTTCCCGCAGACTAATATGTTTATATTTACCCATTTGGCCCACTTGTGGGACAGCAAACAGGACGAAAAGTTCCAAAGGACTCGCAAAGAACAACAACAGAAATCATTAGGCATCGCATCGATGTGTGTAATTAGCTTTCAATTATTCCGTCAATCGCAAAAGGGAAACACAGTCGAGAATTAATTGAGGTTTCGAATGGGTAAAAGTATAATTTTGTGGAAATAATTTGATTACTTGCTCTTTTTTTCGGGAGTCTATAGTGAAGAAAAGATCATCAAAACTACCCATTTGTTTATTATAATAAAATAGATAATAATAAAAAAAACCAGCACTGAAAAGCATTTGGAATTGAAATTAATTCATGTTTGGTTTAGTTAGCTAACTTTAAGCTTCCCATAGTTAATTTCCTTTCTTGTTTTATTTTAAATAAAATCATAAATATCTTAAAATATATCCGAAAAATAATTAAGTTTTGTAGGGTATAGAAGCTCCGGCTTTCCAAAGTTTCCTTTCTTTTACCTATTTCTTTTTTCTTGTTATACCTTCCAGGGTGTTATAATTTTAGTAAGAAGCTTAAAACTGAGTGAAGGAGTCATTTCCGACCCTATAAATCATATATATTCTTGATCAGCATCAACAGCCGAGTCGATCTAGACATCTCAGACAGAAAAATAAATTTTTTAATTTTTTTTTAAATTTTTTAAGGGGGTTTCATCGTTAAAATTGTCAAAAAATGTATAAAATTTTTTAATTTTTTCAAAATTCAAATTGAGTATGCAGATTTATAAACCTAAGAAAAACTAACATAGGACCGCTTTCCGAATTAAAATTAATGCTTTTTGGCTGAGTTATGATTTTTTTAAACTCTAATTTTTCCATTAAATAGTCATATAAGAATATAAATAAATATTGATTGAATAATTGTATTCTAATTTTAGTCAGAAGCTTAAAACTAAGTGAAGGAGTCATTTCCGACCCTATAAATCATATATATTCTTGATCAGCATCAGCAGCCGAATCGATCTAGCCATCTCAGACAGAAATATAAAAATTAAAATTTTTTTCATAATTTTATAAGGGGTTTTATCGTTAAAATTGTCAAAAAATGTATAAAAATTTTGAATTTTTTAAAAATTCAATTTGAGTATGCAGTTTTATAAACCTAAGAAAAACTAACGTAGGACCGCTTTCCAAATTAAAATTAATGCTTTTTTGGCTGAGTTGAGTTTTTTAAACTTTCATTTGTGGAAAAATTTGTCATAGAAGAATATGGATAAATATTAAATCAAAGAATAACTTTATTTTAAGCTTAGTTATGATCGATTTGCGATTTGATTCTATAATGCAAGGGTCTATAAACTTCGGCTTGCCGAACTTACTTTTTTGTAAATCAATTAATAATTCAAAACAATAGTAATTTCTTATGATACCTTTTGAAAAGTAACTTAAAAGCTGAGATATTCTTGAAAATATTAAAGAATAAAAGAAAATATATACAGTGCGTTGCTAGAAATATAATAATAATACTAGAATATAGTTAATAATTATAAAATCAAACAGAAATTTTTAATATAAAAGACCTATAAATAAGTTTGCAAATCATTTTAAATGTAATTTAATTTTCTTGAAGGAATGTTACACTTTTGAGACCTTAATTTGTTGCTACACATATATATATAATTTGGATATAATGTAATATTATATATTAAGTAAAGTTATAAATATTTAACAAGAAACAATGTGCTTAATAAAGTAGTGTCTTTTCACTCCCGAAGCCTCAACTTATGTTATCAACTCTTGGCCCTATAAACCGGCTGATTCAACTCGAAAAAAATAAGCCCCGCCCTTTAGCCGCTCACGGGCTTATCAGACGCGTAAAAAAAGGCAAGATAAGTGCTAGTACATGATAATTTATTGCTTGGCGCACACAAAGAGTTGAGAATGAATCGAATGTCCATAATGGCAAACTCGAAATTTCGCATACAAACTACAAAACGTACATAATTTTTTTTTAAATTTTTTAGGTGCCGAGAAAAAACGATAAACAATATCTGAGCAATTTTTTGGGAAACAAAAAAAAAAAAGAAAAAATACAAACAATGAGGATCAACACAATACAAGGGTCATAATGATTACAGATACGTATTTAAGGATAAGGTTATTTAATAACAGAAACACACGCGCTATAAGTAGATATACAGAGATATATATACAAAGGATGAAGAACATCTGCTACAGGTCTACTAGTACATAGTGTTATGATTACTGTATATCACAATGGGACGGCTAGATGCCGCAGCAGGATCGCTGGCCGGCGGCATCCCCCTGTCCCGGCGTCTCTGATTCATCCGAGATGCTCACCGCGTCCGTATCACCGCTGCCATTCTGCAAACGCAACGGACTCGCATCCGGCTCCCGCTGGCTACGCTGCTCGAGCATAAGGCGAGAGAGTAGCTCGAAGAGCTCTGACACACCTTCGTTTTCCTTGGCCGACGTTTCCACATATTGGGCGCCCACGGTGCGGGCATATTGCAGCGCCTCGGCATACTCCACGGCACGCTGCTCCTCCAAATCAGTCTTGTTGCCCACAATGATCAGGGCAATCTCTGTGCCGCGCATCTGTCGGAGTTCACGTACCCACGACTTGACCTTCTGGAATGAATCCTGATCGGTGATGTCGTAGACAAGCAGGGCACCGTCACTGCCACGATAATAAATGGGTCCCAGGGCATGGAAGCGCTCTTGGCCAGCCGTATCCCAGATATTTAACTGCGCCCGCCGACCATCCTCCAGGGAGACCTTGCGCGTGACAAATGAGGCCTGCAACGTGCTCAAGTGCTGGGCATTAAACTTATCCTCCATGTAGCGCAGCACCAATGACGTCTTGCCCACACAGCCTGCAATTGGATTATTAGTTTTCCCCTCACTGACGCACTTAATGGCCATGGCACGCACCTTCGCCCAGCAGCACCGCCTTGAAGTTGAGCGTCGGTCCGCTCCTGGACCTGCGAGCGCTCATTGTGGGTTGCCAATTGCTTGGTATCCTGTCCGGATGAGCATTGGTTTGTAGCGGGGACACGGATAAACGAAAAGGGAAAAACAAGAGGAAAATGCAAATCTTGGGTTTCTTTCACACCTCCACGGCCAGTGTGGCTGTTGTTCGCGACGAGTGAAATGGCACCTCAAGAGGGTTGCGCTCACACTGAGATTGTATTTCAATTTTTTTTTTGCCGAACTAAAATTGTGTGGGGAAGTGTTCAGGCACCAGATTTGGTTTATATATATATATATTTACTTTGACATTTGAACTTGTAGTCTGTTTTTTTTTTGTTTCTTTAGTTTAACTTTCAAAGTTGATTTTGAAAAGAAACCATTGAAATAATTCCTAATTCCTAGCCGGTTACATTTTGGTATATTATTCCAGTGGCCGATTAATACCTACATACCAAAACAAGCGGTATTCTTTCATACTGCTTGGTATATTTTATACTCCCAAAGCCGGACGGTATAATTTATCGATAACTAAATGGTCACACTGGTGTGTTGTGAACAAAACAGGACGCAGTCATAATAACTTTATTTTTGTCGGTTTTTATCTATTAAAACCCACCTGACCATGGCCTACGACCTGAAAAAGGAGTCCGACGTGAAGGAGTACGTGGAGAAGCTGGGCATGGAGTATCGCTTCGGCTGCTATATGGAAAAGAAGCCGGAAGGTAAGCGCCGGCGATCGGATTTATAACCTACGAATTCGATTTTTTTTTCGTTTTTTTGCGAGGGAATTAGCATATGAACACTAAATGTTATAATCGTATGATTCTCATTGGGTATCGATATATTCGCAGCCTGCCACCTGTTGGGCGACTATCTGGAGGGCATTAAGAAAGACTTTGAGAAGGCCTCCAAGGTGTACAAGTCGACGTGTGACGATTATGGTTACGCAAAGTCCTGCTATAAGTTTGGCAACTACAGCTTCCTTGGCAAGGGCAAGAGCGGCAGCAAGGGTGAGCCAAGGGTGGCGTATCAGTACTACGAAAAGGGCTGTCAACTGAACGATCCGGATGCCTGCCTACACTCTGGCCTGCTGCTATTCTCCAGTTCGATGCCCAAGGAGATAGACAGGGATGTGCTGAAGGTGGGTACACCTAGAGAGATATTCCCCCTAAGACGGGCTCATCTCAAGCGAGCAGAAGTAGTCTTAAGCTTGCTTAAGTCTGATTTATCTCATTGAGACTTTTGTTTATGTAATATAATAATAACTATATTATTTTCCTTAGGGTCTGGAGTTCCTCAACAAAAGCTGCGACATGAACAATGCCACCGCCTGCTTCTACCTCTCTGGCATGCACATTGCCGGTGTACAAAAGAAGCTAGATCCAGCTACGGCAGGATCTGCATCTTCAGCGTCCACCCCCAGCACTGGTACAGCTCCTCCGTCCAACGCAACCGCTGCTGCTGCCGCCGCAGCCGCCTCCCCCAAGACGCCCCCCAAGGACTCCGACTATGTGGTGCTTAAGGATATGAAAAAGGCCTTCATGTTTGCACGAAAGGCCTGCGAGCTACGCAATATGTACGCTTGCGCCAATCTCAGCCAGATGTACGCCCGAGGCGATGGGATCGAGAAGAATGAAAAGGAGGCGGAAAGGTACAAGAAGATGGCCATTGAGATGCATGACGAGGTGAAGAAGCAGCAGGAGACGCTCGGCTTCCAGCAGGGCGTGGGCATGCCCAATTGATTACCGATTTTATACTACTGCAACGTTTCTTATATTCTTTTTGCTTTGATTGTTTTTGTCAACACACCAAACCCCATACCTTAACCAGGTCGAACTTTAGTTAATTCGACCGTTTAGCTTGTGTTCTTTTTATTTGTGATTTCCGTGTACATAGCCGAAGGGCGTAAGAGCGATAGAATGAGATAAAATTCCTAGTTTTAATTGTTAATGTTATTAAAGTAACGAAAATGAAGAATGAAATGAAATGAGAAGAGAAAAGAGAAACCCTTAAAAACAATTTTGTTGATACCTTGAATACAAAACAAAACAAAAAAAAAAAAGATAAATATAAACCAGTCCTGCCAAAGGAACTAGACCAAAATAAATCACTCTGTCTTTGCGTGCTTTTCCATTTCCACTTTTCACAGCCACAAAAGGCGGCGACAAAAGCCCAAGCAACGATTTATGAGAACGCACGCCCAATTATATTCACTCGCGATCGCCATTTGCGATTTTGTCGTGACTATGAGCTACGCGTGTTCAATTTAAAATCTATTTGTATAAGCACATGTGTGTGTAACGTGCGGTTCGCAGCTGTAAGGCCCTGCTAGAAATCTTACTAAAAAACTATAAAGATAGGTTAATACGAATCTGCAGATGATTAGGGTTCATCAGAAGAGATTTGTAATAAGAATTTAAGCTGATGTTTAGAGATTTGTATAGAATTATATTCGAATACTTAGGTATAGATATAAAATAAATATGGGATCTATAGAATAAATAGGATATAGTATATATACAAATTTAAAAAGTAAGTAACTAAATAAGTACTCTAAAAATTATAAATCTATTTCAAAGGCTATCTAAGAAGAGGGGTTTTTATATTATAAAAGCTTAAGCTATTAGGTTCTATATACAAATTAATAAGTATATAGCACTCTCGAAAATCGATAATAACTCAGCTTAAAATATTCCCATTCTTTGAGTTTAAAAAACCCATAACTAAGTCAAAATATCATTAATTTCAATTCGGAAAGCTGTCCCAAGTTAGTTTTTATTACGGTAATAAATCTGCATACTCAATATAAAATTTAAAAAAAATTCAAAGAAAAAAATGTTTAATTTTAACGATTCAACCCTTTAAAAAAATTTAAAATTTCTAAAAAATTAAAAATTTTTTAGGACATAGCTAGATCGACTCGCCTGTTGATGCTGATTAAGAATATATATGATTTATAAGGTCGGAAATGATTCTTTTACTCATTTTTAAGCTTCTGACTACAATTAGAATGCAGTTTTTTAATCGTTATTAACTATATTTTTATGATAATTTTTAGACTATTCAAAGTTTAAAAATGTCATAACTTTGCTTAAAATGCATTAATTTCAATTCGGAAAGCTGTCCCAAGTTAGTTTTTATTACGGTAATAAATCTACATACTCAATATAAAATTAACAAAAATTCAAATTTTTGTCAATTTTTAATTTTAAATTTTAATGATTTAACCCCGTAAAAAATTTAAAAATTTTGAAAAAAATAAATTTTTGTCGGACATAGCTAGATCGACTCGCCTGTTGATGCTGATCATGAATATATATTATTTATAGGGTCGGAAATGACTCCTTCACATCAAGGGTATGAAAACATGTCTGAAAATAAGATAAATCAATAAGAAATCCTTTCCCAAGTTGCCTAAATTTATGAATCGCACTGTCCCAGTGTGATACAGATCTTCCTATATACATACATATAGAAATGTATATATATATATATAAATACATACATATATGCATAGTAGTAGTGCTTTGGTAATCGTCTCATCTACTGTCTATTTTAATAGATGGACGCTTAATTAAAATCGCTCTTGTCCAATTAGTGACTGTTTAGTTAGATGATAATGCCGCCCTCGGCCCCCCCCCCCTCCCTTAATCCAACCGTAATCACCCCACCTTGTGTACTTAGTATATATATTTGCCTTTTGCTGCTTTTTCATTCATATCTGTCTTATGGAATACATCTCGTTGGTTGGAGATGAAGCGATGTCACGTAAACCGAGAGAATAGGCTTAAATAAATATATATACTTGGGCAGTAGTAAATAGTAAAAAGGTAAACCCTTCTCGTGTGTTGATGATGGGAATATCCGACAAGTTGGTCGAGATAAGCTGGATATGGTGAAGGCGATGAGCAATCTTTATTTGGCTAGATAGTTAGTGGTTTACACAGCGAATAAATTGTATGATCAAGATCCATATAATCCCTATCTTGATATATATTTAAACATATTATAAGTGGGATGCTTGAACTCTTTTTTCTTTTTATACATTTTAAAAATTCTAAGGATCATTTCAAGGTTTAAGGAACTTGCTTGAGCATTAAAAGTATTGCCTACTTTTTGGCAAAAGCATTAAGTGTTCGTACAAGTGAGTAACTAAATATGTTCTCCTGATCGTAGTACTTAACCAATCGATCTGAAACTTGGTATAGGACTAGATAAAAATTAAAACTACTGATTTTAATTAATAGAAACAAAAAATATTCGTTTAATCCTAATATTTATTAACCAATACTGAGTTGTTTTGATAAATATCTATTTGAAAAAAGGTGTTATAGATGCTTTTCTAACCATGTAGCCCGTTTAGGGAGTGGGTCAGGTGCCAAGCCCCAAACTGAACCGAAGCGATGGCACGAGTCTGCGCTTAACTCTAATTAGTTGATCGGTCTACCATGACTTGACCTTTGATGCCCCAAAAAATAAACTCAAAATTAACAAAGAAAGCAAATCAAAAAAAAAGCTAAATAAAAATAAAGAAAATACAAAATAATAATAAAGTAAAAAGAGAAAAAAAAGAAAACAAACTGCAAATACACACACACGAAAATCAAACTCAGGCAAACAATGCAGGCACACACACTCACCTCTAAATAGATGCTGGTATTAGCCTACAATCAGTTTAACTATAATACATAGTTGCACATACATGGCACACACACACACCCACACACACCATATATAAAACCAAATTAAGCTCGGCGAATAAAAAAGTAAAATACAAAAAAAGAGCAAAACAACACAAAAAAAAAAAAAGAACAGTGAGAGCTCGGCTTGGACTAAAGCGCTCCAAACACCGATTCAGAATCAGTTTAACGTCAACGTCGGCGGCATCAAGACAATATACACACAACAACACAAGTCACCAAATCAAATCCAAGCCAATCCAAAAAATCAACTCTGAAAAAAAGAAAGAGAACGAGAGCGAACAGAGAAAGAGAGAAAGAGAGAGAGCGCCATCTCATCAAGGAACGAGAACGGAAACGATAACGAAAGATCGAGATTTATGCCAGCGAGTAGAAGCACGCGAGTGCCGCGAACGAGACGAAAAAAAGAAAGACAGCAGCATTCCAACGGGATCTCTGTCCTAGTGTTTTTGTTGTTGTGCAATAGCCATCAAGTGAAAGTTTTCCGTAAAGCGGAAAATATATAATTCAATATAACACAACGATTAAATATCCACATCATGTGCCTTTGAAAAAAATTACACAAAAAAAAAAACATTTCAAAACATCTTCAGCGAGATTTGTGAGCTAAAAAACTGAAAGATCTCTGACCATATTTCTATTAGTTTCTTTGCTTTTCTTTTCCTTTTGTGAGGTTAAGTTCAGTGGAGCAGCAATGATCAGGAAAATTTTTGATAGGGCTACGATTTCGAACTTAAACATGTTGCACTCGTTGCATCGAACATCGAGCCTGGTTTGAATACAATTTGTTTTATTTCGTTTCATGTTGTTTTTCGGTTTTTTTCTATTATTTTTTTCATTCTTTTTAGCTTTATTTTTTATTTTTATTTCTTTCTCTTTTTTTAAATTGCCGGCAAGCGAATGGAAAATCTGATGATATTTAATTGGTGAACTTAATGTAATAAAAGGCAAACAAACTCAGTCAGCGATTCTAAGTAGATTTTCTACTCGATGCCTAGGCTAAAGATGATCTTCAATGGATTTTGTTATCGATGTAAAATATAAATGTTAATTAAAAAGAATATAATTTTATTATATTATTACAAATAGTAGTAAAAGGAAGCTAACTTTTATATTGGTTATTGCTCTTTTATTGAAAACATATCATATCATATCAATATCGTGTTTTTAAACCAAAAAGATACGATTATTAGGCACTAAAAAGAGGTTGATTAAGTCAAAACTATTATTTATTGGTCATTACTGCTTTGTTTTTTGTATAAAATCAAATCTTTTGTTTATGAAAATATTCGAAATCGATTTTATCTGTCAATTTAATTGTTATATTACAAGTAAACACTAAAATAAAACCTTTATAGGTAGTAACATAAGGTTGATTCTCTTAGTCTTTTATTCAAAACTATTAGCTTGTGGTCATTGCTGCTCTTTTGATCGAAAAAATCGTCTCATTTATGTTATCGATATATTTTTTAACGTACAGATTAACGCCCGATTAACAAAAGCGAAACGCGATGCAAAAACCTCTGTGCGAGGTGTGAGCAAAGTGTGTGTGTTTCCCGTATCCAGTGTCCGTCCGTATGTGAGTGTGAGTGTGGGGGCTTCAATTGCCTTCCTCGCCAGATTTCCACCCCCTTTTGAAACCCCTACGCCCCCTTTGAGATCCACCTCCGCCCCTGTACCCACCGCCCACCTGTCAAGACGACAAACACACTTGGATTACGTGCCTTTTGTGGATCTTTATGCGCAAATTGAGATAACTGTGTGAGTTAAGCCGAGCTGAAAAGAAGGCAGCAAAAGGAAAGAAAAGAAAAGGAAAGAAAAGAAAAGGAAAGGAAGGAAAAGAAAAGAAAAGGAAGGAAAAGGAAAGAAAGGAAAGGAAAAGGAAAGGAGAGGAGAGGAAAGGAAAGGTGAGAGGAAAGAAGCGTAACGAAAGGAAAGGCAAAAGCAAAAGAAACTAAAAGCAAAAAAAGGGGAAGCTGGAGAAACGCGAAAAGAAACGGCACAAGGCGAAGAGGAAGGAAAAGAGAAAAAATCAACACCATTGAAGTGGGGAATTTGAGATTTGAGATTGCGCTTCATACAACGGCGCATCGCAGTTTACGAGTGTCCATCACCACTACAACACCGAACACCGTGCAGCAATGGAAGACTATTGGGGTCTTAGCAGCACTACGGGTACATAACTACACTAAATTAACTCAAATCCAAAAGAAAAAAAAAAAAATCTACAATAAAAAAAACTATAAACTATAAACTATAAGTCCCCCTTTTTCGTAAGCCTAAGATCGAGATAAGTCTCGAGCTAATTAGGACCCCCGTCCCCCAAACAAGTGTGTCCTCCTTGTCCACAAAAACTAATTAATAACTACAAAGAGCAAAAGCCGTGGAGAAACTACTATCAAGTGTCTTCTTAAAAACAAAAAAAGATACATAAATTATGCCCTACTCTTAATTTTAATTACTACAGTTTCGTTAATTCATTTCGTTTTATTTTTTTTCTGTTGTTTTTTGAATGTTTTGTGTGGCGGCGCCAGAAGAAACAAAAATTTAATAAATCAATTAAGTCACCGAAATGAATAATGGAATAATTTTAATGCATTGCAATTAAGTGCGTGTGCGTGTGTGTGACGTCATACATAGTCAAAGACTATATTATCACTACTATTATTATCATTATTATTATGATGATGATTGTTGTTGCTGGTGACTTTATTACACATATTTTTGTACAGACATCTCTATATTTATATACAGTTCTCTTTATGCCCCCGCGAGTGTGCCTGCCTGCGAGTGTGTGTGAGTGGTGTGTGTATGTGTGTGTGTGTGGTGTGTGTGCGCGTAAACTAAGGCATATGGATCAATTGTCTAAATTGGCTCATTAAGTGAATCTTAATGACATTTACTATGCACAGTGCCTTTGCTTGTTGCTAGTTTTTTTTTCTATTTCTCTTAGTTACTTTAAATGTATGCTTTAGGTTTTTTAGTTTTTTAATATTTAAATATATTTTTTACATTTTTTTTGTGTATTTTAAGCTTGTTTTTGTAGGTTTTCGAGATTTTTGACGATCTTTTAATGTGCAACGTGGCGTATACGCAATGTTTGGTTAGAATTCATTTAACTGAATATATTTAATCTTTTTGAGAATATTCTGCTTTTAATATTAATTTAATTTATTAAATATACATTTTTAAAATTAAAAATGTAAAAATATATAATAAATTTAAAAAATACTAAATATTTTTGTATAATTTCTTATAAAATATGAAATTTATTTCCTGTTTTCGAATTTTCATTTAATTTGATTTAAACAAAAACAACTAAAATAAATAAATTTTTAATTTTAATTAATTAATTAATTTTTTAAATTTATTTTTAATTTTTTTCTGTATTATTTAAAAAAATCTATTTATATATATTGTTTTCAAATTTTTAAACAGAATATTCTGCGCTTTAATTAATTTAATTCACAAAAATATATACATTTTTAAATGAAAAAAACATTTAAATTAAATAATAAATTAATTGTAAATCATTAACCCTTTAATTTTGAAAGAAGAATATAAATATTTGTGTATCTCCAAACATGCACAAATCTTGTTTAAATGTTTTTCAACTCAAGAAAACTAAAATACACAAAAAATCAAGCAGCATAAATACCCAAAAAAAGAACCCTATTTCAATATATATATATATAGATTTTTTTTGTGTGTAATCGAATGGGGCAAAATGGGCGTAATGAATCGTAATCGAATATGTCTTTGTGAGCCACCAATGGAGCGTAAAGTCAAAAACAAAATGATGCGCCGAGAGCACAGAGAGCACGGCCGAGCTGTCAAAACAAAAAATAATTAAGCCAAATTAAACGAAAATAAACAAATTAAATCTTTGACCTTTTTTTTCTTTCTTTTTTTGACAAACAAATACAACTTATAGTTTAGTGTATTTGCTAGAGAAAATTTATTGGCTGGCTTGGGTGCAGGTGCGGGTGAACCCGTATCCAAAAGATACAGAGATACAGAAGAGACATCCCCAAGTAAGACTAACTAACTAAAAATGGGATATATATATATATATATACACACACAGATCTCTTCTGAACCGATCTGCTGAGCTAGCTCTGAGCTCTGAGCTCTGTGTTCGTTCCGAATGTGTCTTTAAACGGATCACAAAAGTCGGATTAAAACGCATTGTCGCACTGATTTTCCTTACTTTATGTACTGAGAAAACCGAAATGAACTTACATACGGGGTACCGCATATATATATATACTGGATATATCTATATATAAATATATATATTTATATATGTATATATCTGTTGAAGCGGCGTGGCGATGTGCTCCAAGTCGTACTATAAAACAATTGTGACAACGAGACAACGAGGCGGATACGTAATATGCAGCCACCGCATGCTACTTGGCAATGTTCTTACTAGTTTTCCCGGAAAACTCTGGGCTTTTCACATTGCGCAAATGAATACTTTTTGGGGACTTTACACACCACCACTCTCTCTCTGTATGACTAGCCAAAAATTGAGAAAAGAATTGAAATTTTTATCATATTATTTCTGTTTTTAAGCATAGCAATTAAGGAATTTGCTTAATCATCTTTAGCTAAGCACATTTCTTGGAAACAAATACTTCAAGTACTTTAGTTTAGAAAACAAAAGTCAAAGTCGGGTATTTCCAAGCTCAAATGAATCACTACAAACATTTGGTTTTATTTACTACGAAATTTAGAAATCAAATCTCTAGAGTTCAAAGAAAAATAATAATATTCAATTATAGTTAAGTTAATTTACAGTGATTGAATGTTGTTTTTTGCTTGCTGATTGTTATCCAAGCTAAATTGATTATCATTAAGAGCAACGCCTTCGGTACAACACACACACCAACTTTGACCCACTCCACACCCCGCATTAATATCATCAGTAATAACCATGGAGCACTGTAAATGTTTATTATTATTTATGAAGCATTTATTGCATTATGCGGGCCGACAGTTACAAAACGCGTTTGGTTCAATTGACCCCAGAAGGCAGACGCCAGACGCCAGACTCTGACTCTGACTCCTACTTCGACTTTATGTATCTCTCTTTGCATCTGCAACTGCATCTGCAACTGCATTTGTATCTTCATTTACCCCAGCATCACCCCAAAATATATATATCATCCACTCCTCCAACTCCGTTCGCGATAATTGATTCATTATCATCAATTGTTTATCGAAATTTATGCAAATTGTCACACTACAGAAATGTAAATAAATATTATTTATCGATTTTAAGGACACAATCAATCGATTGACAACTTAGACATGTTCTTACAATTTAATAATCATATAAGTATCAATATTATTTGCATGACGATTCCTTCATAAATACAGCTTAGATTTGAATTGAATTACTAAATAATCATTTTAATTGATCATATAATTTAGTTTGCTTAGATAAAAGGATATCGATAGAATTTTAATAACGATAAATTGTAATCATAATAATAACCCAGCTAAATATATATATTTTTTAAGTTTCAAAACTTTCAAGTTTAGAAACTAACTAAACTATATCCCATAGATTTGTTATCGATTTAAAATGATATAAATGATCGATTTAAATGATATAAATGATATCAAGTGTTAATTGCTCTTGGTTTTGTTTTAAAATTGCCATAAAACAAAACTAACCTTCGAAGGAACCCATTGTCCTATCATAGTATTTATCGATCACTAATCCGCTGCGTTAATCGATGATGATTATAATGATTCGATTGACATAAGCGGCTATCAAGCACACAATTCGTTTGATTGGGTCAGAAATACAATGGCATTTCATATGCCTGACTGATTACTGTCCGTCTAATTATTGAATATATCTCGACCTACGGTCAGGCCTTAGCATCTGTATCTGTATCTGTATCTATAGCTGTAAATGTATCTCTATCTGTATCTGTATCTGTACCGATCTATGTCTCTATCAACTTATGCCGCCCAATCGATTGTTATTATGGGTGACTGCTGCTATTGTGTCTGGCTTTAGCCGTTGTGTTTGGTCAGCTCAGCATTTATTGTTCCAATTTGCGGCTCCAAGTTGGATAGTGTTTCTTGTTCTCGGCACGGGGTCTCCACTCAGGTGCTTTGCACCGCAAAAAATAAATATATATATCACATAAATATATATTACATATAAGGAAATGATCTGATGGCTTATCATTTGATATAAAAGGAACTTTTCTTCATATTTTTCTTTTATTCCAAATAATTCTTTGATTTATTCCAAATAAAGCTCAAAATGGTCACATTATGCGGTTATGACACTGTCTTAGAAACATTTTTAAATGGAGTTTTCTTATAAAAACTCATGTCGAAACCTTAATAATATTTGTATTTGTATTTTGTTAATATTTTATTTTATATAATTCTTTGATTTATTTTATAAGAATGACCAATTTAGGTTAAATATGCTGCTATGACACTGCTTTCGAAATGTTTCTTAAATAAAGTTTTGCTCTAGTTTTTTCCCAAGTGCAGTGGCCCAGCTTTCCGTTTCGGTATCGGTTTCTATTTCAATTTCGACTCGGGTTTCAGTTTTAGTTTCAGTTTTAGTTGTTTCTTTTTATTTAGTTATTTATTTGTTGTTGTTGTTTTTCTATTTTTCTATTTTTTACAATTCAATTTGATGACATCAAAGGCGTATTTATCGCTTCCGCTGGCGATCCGCCGCCAGCACATTTTTGATCGATGATCGAGAGCGCGTCAAGTGGCGACAGATCGTCGCCAGAAGAAGAAAAGCCCGAAGCCGAACTTCGGTATATTGTATCTGTATCTGTAAATGTGTCTGTATCTGTATCTGTATCTGCCTTGGTCTCCGCATCTGTATCTGTATCTGTGTGCCTACTGTATTGTCGTGCAGTTTCTATTTCGGCTTCTGTTTTGAGTTTTCAATTCGATTCCTTGGCTTGGTGGGGGCCTGCCCCCAGATCTTGGTCTCGTTCTGGGCACCGATCGCCAGTCTTGTGGTCGTTCTTGCAGCGCTGCTGGTTCAGTTCATTACCGACGCTTGACTCTGCCACAAAAAAAAAATACACCAATAAAAGAAAAGCGCAGCTCTCGGGGAAAATTTTCGGGAATTCGGGAATCAATCGATCCGATTTGCATAATTCGTGGTGGTTTTTTTGTTTTGTTTTGTTTCTTTTTTTATGTTGTTAGCAGCGGCAACAGTATGAAATGTGCGAAAAATAAGTGATTTACCAATACAAAATATTTACAGTTTAAAACTATTATAAATCAAATATGATACCTATGGTTTAAAAAGACATAAAAAAGCCCATAAACATAGCTACCGAACTATAAATAAAATAATTGCAAGCTTAACTCTAATTAGCCCTTAAAATAAGTTGATATTTGAACTATAAGTTAAATATATTATAATATATGTGGTATAATTAGAAACACATTCAAACATATTTAAGGATCATAAAAATCCCTATTTATAAATAAACCCTTATTTCCTTTTAAAAACCAGTGAATTGTCAGATCATAATCATATAAAAATTCATAACACAATCCATCAAAATTAGGATAATTGATGGGAGGATTGCGGTTGAACTCTTTTGGAACAAATTGCAGCAAATTGGTGTCTTCTAGATAGTAATTGCTATAATCAATTGATGCTATCGGTTATAAAGACATAATTGATCACGAAATATGGACTGGAATGGTTTTATACATTTTTGAAAACATATATTGATTGTATTGAAACAACATAAACACTCTTTAAATAATATATACAGTTTTTTAAAACATAGAATCTTCACAAGCTTTCAGGGTACTCTTATATTAGTCAGCAGCTTAAAACTAAATGAAGGAGTCATTTCCGACCCTATAAATCATACATATATATTCTTGATCAGCATCAACAGGGAAAGCGATCTAGGCATCTCCCACAAGAAATTTTTTTTTTTAATTTTTTCAACATTTTTTAAGGGGTTTCATCGTTAAAATTATCAAAAAATTGATCAAAATTTTGAATTTTTTGATGGAGTATGCAGTTTTATTGTGCTTATAAAAACTAATATAGGACGGCTATCCAAATTGAAATTAATCCTTTTTTGGCTTAGGTATGATATTTTTAAAATTTAATTTTTGGAAGAAATCGTCATATAAAAATATAATTAAATATTGATTAAAAAATGGTATTGCACCTTCAGTCAGAAGCTTAAAACTAATTCAAGGAATCGTTTCCGACCCAATAAATCATATATTATTAATCAGTATCAACAGGGGAATCAATCTAGTCTTCTCCGGCAGAGAAATACATTTTTCAAATTTTTTCAACATTTTTAAGGGGTTTCATCCTTAAAATTGTCCAAAAATTTATCAAAATTTTTAATTTTAAAATTAAGTATGCAGATTTATAAACCTGGGAAAAACTAACATAGGAGCGCTTTCCGAATTAAAATTAATTCATTTTTGTCTGAGTTATGAGTTTTTAAAAGTGTAATTTGTTGAAATAATTGTCATAAAAATATTAATAAATATCTACTCAAAAAATGGTATTCTAATTTTAGTCAGAAGCTTAAAACTAAGTGAAGAAGCCATTTTCGACCCTATAAATCATATATATTCTTGATCAGCATAATCAGGGAAATCTTTCTAGCTATTTCCGGAGGGAAAAAAATTGTTCGAAAATATTCAATTATTTTTCATCTTTAAAATTTTTAAAAGTTGTTAAAAAAAATTTTTTTACATTTTAAGTTGAGTATGCAGTTTGATTAACCTAAGAAAAACTAACATAGGAAGACTTGCCATATTGAAATATATGCATTTTTGGCTTAGTTATGAGTTTTTTAAATATTGATTTTATCGAAAAATTGTCATATAAAAATGTTGATAAATATTGATATAATAAATGCAAATATTTTAAGCTGGCTTATAATTGATTACGGATTCAATAAGCTTATCAAATTTTTAAGATGATATTGTTCAATTCAAAATAACATGTGTAATTAATTACATGTTGAATTCTGCAAGTCTCCCAAATAGAATTTAGAAGTTATGAATACATAATGAATATATTGCAGAATTTCTCATAATAAAAACAAACACTATTAAACTATTGAATGACAGACTATATTAGCTTAAAATTTAATTTAATTATATTAATTATTATTTGAATATAAATTTAATCTAATAAATATTAGTTTAATTTAACACCTATTTAACTGACTATATCTTTTAGATATAAATTGCACACAGCCCGCCATCGATGACTTCCCCAGAGACCTGTTCTCGGAGGCGCAAAGACAGTCCGGTGCTGTTGTACTTCATGTTATAGCCAGTTTATATTTATTTGTAGCCTTAGCCGTAGTGTGTGATGAGTACTTTGTGCCAGCAGTTGAGAAAATATGTGCAGGTGAGTGCAGATTGGGTTTTAATTGGAGTCCCAAATCGAAGTTTTAATATTAAATATATATAAATCCCTAGCACTCAACATGTCCAACGATGTGGCGGGGGCCACGTTCATGGCCGCGGCCACCTCTGCCCCGGAGCTGTTTGTGAACGTGATAGGCACCTTTATCACAGAGGGTGACATCGGTGTGGGCACCATTGTGGGTTCGGCGGTCTTTAATATCCTGGCTGTGGCCGCCTGTTGCGGCATTGGAGCTGGCATGGCAAGTGTTTCTCTTAACAAAATCTTTATATCCTTTAAAATACTGAATTTGTATATAGACTATACCCCTGGATTGGTGGCCATTGACGCGGGATAGCATTGCCTATGGTGTCACAGTCGCCATTCTCATTTGTGTGATGCATGACGAGCGTGTTGAATGGTATGAGGCCTTGATATTGGTCTCTCTCTATGCCGTCTATCTGGCGGTCATGTATTTCGATAAATCATTCCAAAAGTGTGCTAAAGGTATGATTATATATACACCACATATATGTAGCTATAAAAAAAAAACAAACAAAAACTGGACACAAAAAAATACTTTCACAATACTATATACAGGTGGCGTGAAGCAGGCGCGTTCGCGCAGCCGGTCCTCCAACTGCAGCATACACACAAAGAACAGCAATGAGAAGGAACCAGGTACACACACAGCACACCACCCTACACACAACAAATTCATTATCAAATTATTTATATATATATATTCTATCATACAAAATAATTTCCATAAATTCAGAACTTGTGGAGAATCGCATTTGCCAGAATATGGCCAGCATTCAGTTAAACGGAGGACTCAATAATGATCAGGCCAAGGCTGCTGGTACTCCTGGTGGCACCACTACCACCTCGATAAGCACTATTACAACAACGACTACAACAATGACAACAACTACAACAACACGCACACCAAGTGGCGATGGAGGAGGAACTGGTGGTGGTGGAGCCATCATTGCCCAAATGGCACCATTAGATGGAGCTGAGGCAGAGGCACAGCCGGCGGCTGCTGCTGCTGCTGGTGAGGATCGCGAAGAGGAGGGCTATTCCCTGCTCACCTATCCCAAGGACAAGAGCTGCTTTGCCCAGTTCACCTGGCTAATAATCTGGCCAATTCACCTGCTTTTCCGCATCGCCATACCTGACTGCAAGAAGGCCAAGAATAACAAGATCTTCCCCCTGACCTTTATAATGTGCATTGTTTGGATCGGTTCGTTGTCCTATGTGGTGGCGTGGATGATAACTATAATTGGTGAGATATTATTAAGGTTTTCAACAACAGTTTTGAACTTTGTTTTTTGTATAGAAATTCTTGTTCAATATTTCTTTAAATGACAAATTTTAAAATATAGTTTAAGCATCACAACAATTTCAACAACAAAGGCTTCTCAGGCGAAGTTATTGAAAATTATAGATTCCCCAATTTTTTAAAATTTAATAACAATAATTGGTGTAAGTTTTGATAAATTTTGTTATATGAGAAATTATTTCAACCAAAACTTAAGAAGTTTTTTTTAGTAATAAAATCAATTTCCACATATAAGATCATATTTAATATTGTTGAATTTATTTACTTAAGCAAATACACCAACAAAATTCAACAATGTTCACCAATGTATCTTAGGAGTTGAAAATTCGACTAAAATATATCTTTTATCAATATTGTGATCTCTCCCCCAGGTGACACACTGAAGATACCCGATTCTGTAATGGGTATTACCTTCCTGGCGGCTGGAACTAGTGTTCCCGAAGCGGTATCCAGTGTGATTGTGGCAAAGCGCGGTGAGTTGGCTTGTCTATGAGATATGGTCCCTGAGAATTATTATGATTTGCTTGATTGCATTGACAGGACATGGATCGATGGGTATTTGCAATTCGATTGGTTCGAACACCTTCGATATCCTGCTCTGCCTGGGCGTCCCCTGGCTCATCAAGGCCGTCTTCTTTCCCATACAGCCGGGCCAGAATTATGTGGCCATCAATTCGGCCGGATTGGAGTATTCGGCGATTACACTGTTATCAACGCTATTTCTGCTCTACCTGACCTTCTCCACGAACAAGTTCAAGCTGGACAAGAAGGTGGGCACCGCCTGTCTGGTAATGTACCTGGTCTTCATGGTCTTTGCCTCCCTCATCGAACTCAATGTGTTCTTCCGGGTCAATCTGCCCACCTGTGGTCGATCATGAGCATGAGGTTAGATACGATTGTGGGATTGATGATCCCAAATGGAGAAGAGGAGGAATGGAGTTGAAGAGATGACATAAGGACGACAAAGCATGACGTATGATGAATGTACGATGTACGATGTACGATGTAGGATGGATGAATGGCGCAAAAGGGAGGCAGCCAGTCAACAACAAGAACAACAAACAAACAAAAAAAAATAAAAATAAATAAAATATAAAATAGAAAGCTAGCTGGTTGGAAGTCCCGGAGTGCAGTCGTTTAATTAATTAATATGTATTTTCTGTTCTATTCTATCTACCTTGATAGTTGAGTTACGTTATACGTTATGCTGTTATTGTAATAATACTTTTTTTTTATTATTATTATTATTATTAAAGTAGACTCTTTCACGACCTTCGGTTGCTCTACGCAACGAAAACCAAAAGACAAATGCAAATAGTTGATGAGGAGAAAAGATAAAAGCGGTGAATAAATGGAGCGAAGGGGAGAAAACCTAAAAACCAAAAATCAAAACCAAAAACCAAACAAATTCAATAATGTATTTATATGATTAATATATGAGATTTAACAAAGAACAAAAATATATCGAGTTTATTTTATTGAGTGGAATTTTTATAAATGATTTGAAATTAATCCAATCATGCTAGCCCTGGACTGAGCAATCTTTCTGTATAAAAAAAAATTGTTCGGCAGTATTCTTTTTGATTATGATTCTGATAAATATATTTCGAAATTATTCGTGTTCGTCGCTTTGAGAAACCCCAAAAAAAACTATGGTCTTTGATGATGCTTCATTTACAATTTCTTTATCCTCGTTTGGTAAGTCACTTTTTCAGGGTTTTTTTCAGAGAGACTTTGAGGTCTTTAAGATATAGTTTTATACCCTTCCGTAGATAACCAAGAGTTTCGGAACCATCAAGATGATACGTCTAATAACTGTACCCTTCCGGCAATACTAGAGTTTCCCGCATATATGCGAAGGAAGTCATGGTGGGTCGCTCTACTATGCACCTTCTTTAGCATTTATATGTTTGTCATCCTGGCAATTGTTTGTGATGATTACCTATTGCCGGCCATGGAGCGATTGTGTTATGGTAAATACATTTAAATACCATTAACTTCTACAATTTCACAATTTGAGATATTTAAAGTGATCACTTTTGAATCTTGATATTAATAAATGTGAATCATTTAATTGTAAATACCATTGGTTATAATATGGTTGAATTTAATTTGATTAAAACAACATTTAATTTCACCAATCGATAAAGATTTACACCAACAACAATGTTCACACAACAATAGCAACAGCAATATGACACACGCCTTATAAAATTATCGTGATAATATTAACACCAAAAAAATCAATCTTTCACCAACCTATCTTTCGTTATCTACTTTGCTTAGAAATTACACCAACAGAGTTGAGCAAATCTCACCAATAACTTATATTTTCTACGATATTCCTCGATTAGCTTTAAAAATGTCATATGATGTGGCCGGAGCCACATTTCTGGCAGCTTGCACCTCAGCACCGGAACTCTTCGTCAACTTTATTGGGACTTTCGTAACGCATAGTGACATTGGGATTGGCACCATTGTGGGATCATCGGTTTTCAATATTCTGGTTATTTGTGCCGTTTGCGGCATACTAACAAGTCCGGTGCATATTTAATTACATTACATCATATATTTATATATATATATATATAATTTCTCTATTTCGACAGACGAAAATAAATTGGTGGCCAGTGACAAGGGACACCGTGTGGTATCTTGTGGCCGTTACGGCTCTCGTTGCTGTTATGTGGGACTCGAGTGTCCGTTGGTTCGAGGCATTGGCCCTGCTCCTTCTATATGGGGTATATTTTATACAACTTCTGTTGGATAAAAAAATTCGGAAAAAATTGTGAAAAGTAAGAAAGAATTTTGTGTATATGAATATTGATGACACATTTTTATCTCTTCATGTTAGAACCTGCGGAGAATAACGAGAACCCAATAGATCCCATGGATGCTGATGAAGACGATCAGGTAAAGTCCTTCCGATCCCATATATGGGGTGTGCCCAAGAAAGGCTCAAAATGTTGGAAGTGGCTCTGGTGGATCTTCAAGTATCCGGCCGAATTGCTACTCGCTCTAACCATACCAACTCCCCGGACAGCGTATCCACTGACCTTGATAGTGTCCGTGATGTGGATATGCGTAATCTCGTATGTGGTTACATGGTTCATAACCGTCGTTGGACACAACGTTGGCATACCGGACTCCATCATGGGCATTACATTTCTGGCCGCTGGCACTAGTGTGCCCGAGATAGTCTCCTCGTATATTGTGTCCAAGAAGGGTGAGTTTTACTCATTTTAATTATAAATATTAATCTATTTTTATTGACTATTTTGTTATTATATATTTAGGACATGGCGCCATGGCCATTTGCAATGCCGTTGGGTCAAACACCTTCGACATCTTGATCTGCCTGGGTTTGCCCTGGTTCCTTCAAGGATTAATTAGGAGTGTCGTTCGTTTCGAGTCCTCGTCCCTTCATATAACCACCGCCATGCTTGTGGTGACAGCCTTCATTATGTATTTCAGCCTTCTGGGTTGTCGGTTTACCTTGGGCAAGATTGTGGGCTGGATTTGTTTCATTAGCTACCTAATCTTCATAGCAATTGCCTGTGTCCTGGAGATGATGCTTAAAAGGGTTGTCGTCTGTGATATCGAGGCGCCGGGCTTTGAGGCATATTTGTTAAATTAATTTTTTTCTAAATATTTATTTTTGTCTTCCGGAAAAATCAAAAAATATCTATGTATTCAAATTTTTTGTAGAATTCCAAATCAATCATTCATTAAACCATTGCGGATAATGTCATTGAGTTGATTTTATTAGAAATTACACCAACAAAATGTAACTTTCAACAATAAAGGCATCTCTGGTGGCCTTTAGTTAATGAGAGCTATAACTTCTTCGGCCAGATATTAATTTAGTTATTAAACAAATTTGTAATAATTTAATCAATAAATCATGGGTAAAAATATTATTGAAGTTACACCAACGAAATTATTAAAAATGTTCACCAATATTAAAGCACGCCGTCCTGTCTATTTTTAAACTAAACTAAAAAGAACTATAATATATATATATTATATATATCAAATTATAGTTTATAACCAAAAATTAATCGCAGCAGTAGTGGAATTTTTTTTAGAAGTAAATCTCTCCGATCTCAGCGGCTTTAGCAAGTCCTGATAAAATGATTTATTTATTGGCCAAGCGTGAGCAACAAATAATTTGATATTTATTAGTCATATCTTTTTCATCTGAATCCTCATCAAGGGCGAAGTCCATTAATTTATGGACTAGTTAATAACTTAGTACTTTCTATATATAAGAAATCTAAAATAAGGAATCATCACAAACCAATACCTATTAAAAGTCTTGATAAAATAGTTCCAAAGCATATATATATTAAGTTAAAAATATATATTCAATCAAGATTTTAATCATAAATATTAATTACAGACTTTGAAAACTATCTATTAAAGCTTATGTACCTCTTCTAGAGATATGATTTCAAGGTGTCGAAACATTTCCACCCATTTTTTTTTTTTTCGAGTTGTAATAGGAAACAATATACTTAAAAAAATCAGTGCACTTGAGACCTTATCGAGATCGCACTCCTCCAATGACCTTTGCCCACCACAGATCATCAGATCCTTTTGAAATCGGAACTGTCTCAAGGCTTTGATCGATGGAAAAAGAAAAGAAAGCCAAGCAGCTAATTGATTTGTCTGGAAGTAGACGCACTAGAAAAAGACTATATCTATATCTATTCGTACTGATCATCGGGCCCAATGGCAATCGCCAGATGGTGACGTCAATTAGCCATGTTATGACATCAAGCGGCATGGTAGAGATACTTCAATTTCAAGCTGTCACTGCTAATTCACCTCTGCATTTGGGGCCCCGTATAATTTATATTAGTGATAAGAGTTTCGATTCTTATTTTTCTTTTCAAATCTTTTCTTTTGTTTTTTTTTTTTTTTTTTTTAATTTCTGCGGCCACTTGTGTTCGAATGCCTCAAAAGATATTTATAAGGAGATAGAGATAGAGGAGCCATCGCCGTCGCCTGGAATTCACATGAAGGGAATCCTACAAATCTGGGAAATAAATCGGTTTTATTCATTTTTATTCCTTAGTATTTTATTCCTTAGATTTTTTTAACTATATATTTTAATACCCAATTGTTAAATATTTGTGAAACAAAATAAAACACGTGTTCAATATGAGAACTCTATAGGAAAATGGAAATACACTCGGTGGGATTTGTTTAGGAAAATGTAAATATAATTTTTTGGTTTAAAATATTGATTTGTATTCCTATTTTACATAAATATAATATTTAAAGTATTTCAATCAATGAATATATTGTTTCTACCGAAAAATTCGATACCAAAAATTACAAAAGAAAGAGAGATCAATGAGAAATGTTTACAAAACGATCAATTTCCATTTTAACTGTAAGATTTCCAACTGATTCTGGTCTTGAATATTGTTAAATGCATGGAAAGGTCCTTTAAATAATGTTAATTATATTTACAATGCAGTAATATTATATTCAGCGACTTTTAAAAAATACTTTCGTCTATAATAAATCATAGTTGTGCGAATAGACTCTACAGTTTCCAACTGGTTCTATCCTAAAATATGGTAAAATTCGAAAAAATACTCAACATATAAACATTCCTAACGATTTTAATAATTGTTAATGAATTTAGAAATATTTTTTGTCAAGAAAAAGTCGGAGTAAACTTAAATTCCCAACTAGTTCTAGCTTAAAATATGGTTTACAACTTCTGCTATACTTCCTTTTTTTAAATATATTATATTATTATAATATTACATATATTTTTTTAATTTTTTACTATATATATAGAAAACACTTTCGCTTGATTAGAAGTGACAGTTGTGCGATCTTTGTCCCTATCGAAATGGTCGTACGTACGTCCAAAGCTTAACCGGACATTTTCGTTTTGGCGATTAGATTGGCTTCCCGGGGACTTGATGTCCCAGCTAAGCAACGGTCACTATCCGGGATTGGGATCGGGTTCGTCAAGGGAGGAGGAGGAGGAGGAGGTGGAGGAGGATGTCCAGGGGTAACCGGAGTGCTCGAGACTAAGTCGCCACTGGAATTGGAGTGGCTGCTAATCTTGATCAAACTCTCACTTACGATGTCCGGCACTGGATTGATAATCGCGACAAGTGCTTCGCCATTTTTTGTCCCCCCTTCTTTTTATTTTTGGAAAAGTGAAATCGGGTGACAAATTATATATATATAATATAGTATATAGTATCTAAGCACTGACCAGTGTAACTTAGTTTTTTCCATTAATTTACTCAGAGTTCCTCGTAATCGTTGATTGCTTTTAAATCGCCTTAATCGCTACTTTTTGTGAGTTAGATTACCCCCTATAATAATTATGGTATATAGGTGGCAATATTGAATCGAGTGGCCTGCCGAAAATCGATTAATTTCGATCAGCACCCACCATTTTATGACCATTTATTTATTTATAGTCTTTATCTGCAAAAATCATACGATTGCCATATTGTTTTGCTTGTTTGAAATTAAATTTTAAAGTAATTTCAAAAAAAAATTAAATTGGAATCTTAGAATTTGTCAATATATTATTAATAAAATTGTTGTCTATCATGATCTCAAGTGTCATAAAAAATGGGAAAAACTTATATTGCAATTACTGTAGCGTCAAACTGTCATTGCCTGGTATTTATTTATTTTTCAATCAAAAGGAAAATAGTAACAAAATAAACTATCATTGAGTTAAGTAAACTTGACTGATAACTTAATTGACTAAACTAAATGCTAGAGACTTTATTTATAAAGGGAAAAATCACCATGTTTAAGTTGAGTCAATTGATAATTATATATCTATTATTTAAAGAATTACAAAATAATGGAAATCTAAAAAAAAAGTAAATGGATTAAAGGTTTTAAATAGTTATTTTCAATTGCAAAGGTAATTAAATATTAATAAAAACTCCCTTTAAGAAATTTAAATATTTAAAGATACATTTTGTAGTTAATAAGTAATTAATATGCATGCTCTATAAAACTTATTTCATTTAAATATTTTACAACGCTGAATATTCTATAAAAACTCACTGAATTTATAGTCTTTTGTACAACCAATATACTTATAATATATAAATATATTTGTTCTAGTATATATATATATAATATATTATATATTATATTATATATTATATATTATATATTATATATTATATATTATATATTATATATTATATATTATATATTATATATTATATATTATATATTATATATTATATATTATATATTATATATTATATATTATATATTATATATTATATATTATATTATATATTATATATTATATATTATATATTATATATTATATTATATATTATATATTATATATTATATATTATATATTATATATTATATATTATATATTATATATTATATATTATATATAATATATTCCCTGAAACGGCGCCCTGTACACAATCCCCGAATTAAGTCGCATCAAATCAAAAAGTCAACCTGTCTCTGTCAGCATTAAATTGTCGAAATCGCTAAACAGAAATCAAAAGTCAGGTGCAATGGAGGCCAGCAGCTGCTGGACTTATCGCCGGGTTATTGATATACCCCATGTACTGAGTACTGATACCCACTATACATATACCATATATACATAAATATATAAATATTTATATCTGGGACAGGTGGCTACGCCATTGAATGCCCGCCCGTGACGTCGTCATCGGTGGCTATCAACGTCATAACAGACCACACCACAGCGAAACCCCCGAAAAAAAAAATAATAATAATAATGAGTATAAATACGGGGGCTCGAAATCAAAATCTGAATCGAAATCAAATTTAGAAGCGTGCTGATTTGATTGAACGCTAATCGGCAAAACGATAATGGCACAAAAATATACCTCTTTCACTCCCCATATAGTATATATAATCATATATGATTTTTTAATTATTATTTACAATCCTTTGTGGTGTCAAAATAACAACGACGTCATAGGCGGGGCCGATTCAGTGAGCTAATGAATGAAAAACTAATATATCAAATGGGGGGATTTGTAACACTTTCGAAGGCAGGTCTGGCTCCTTTTATTTTTATTACTTCGCACCCGGCGTATACGTAATGTGGCTGAAACAATTAATTCATACATGTGCTCACGACAGATATACTCATTATTCATTTAACATATATATATTATATATATATAGTTTCATTCATTAAGCTCCAATTAAAAACAAAAGCGGTGCTCAGATGTTTTCTATTAATTTGTACGCGGGGCGTATGCGTAATATTTCAGAGGAGGAAAAGTGTTTATTTATTACTTATTATTTTTTTTTAAATAAATTTTAAGTTATTTGTGTCAGTTAAAGTAATTGTTTAGAGAAAATAACTACAAATATGATGCTTAAAGATATTTATTACTTTCTACTCAGGGCGTATGCGTAATATTTCTAAGGAAATGTGATTAAAATATAGGAATATAGGTTTTTTTATTATTACTTTAATTTTAAAGTTAAATTTAAGGTTGCTTGGTGATAAGTCTAAGCCGTTTTGGGTCAGTAAGTGAAATAATTTATAGGAAAATAACTAAAGTCAAAGCTATATTTATTACTTTCGAACCGGTGGCGTATACGTAATATTTGTAAGGAAATGTGATAAAAATACAGGAAAATAGGTTGTTTTTATTATTGAATTAAATTTAAGTTCTTTTTGGTGGTAAATCTTACCCTTTTTGGGTCAGTAAGTGAAATAATTTATGGGAAAATACCTAAAGTCAAAGCTATATTTATTATTTTCTAACCGGTGGCGTATACGTAATAATTCAAAGGGAAATGTTATTAAAGAGATGGAATACAAATTGTTTATTTATTACTTAATTTTCCAAATTACATTTATAGTGATTTACTATTAAATCAATAGGTATTGATTTGGGTTAGTAAAAGTAATAACTTTTAGGAAAATGCAAAAAGTACTTTAACCATATATATGTAAGACACCTCAGCAGAAGTAAGTTTCTATTAAAAGTTTTATCAATTATGTATTTAATTTAAACCCTTTTTAAGTATAATTTATCATTAATTAATTTTATTTCTAGGAAGAATATGATAACATTTACTGTCAAAAGTGTGTGGAAACCTTTCCCTTCGGTTCCCAGCATTATCCTGAGTACAATCGCACTCAGGATAACATCAATTTAGATAATGAAGAGTGGCCTGGTGATATGATACAAATCCATATATTATTGTAGATACAATCGGTGCAAATCACTCATACAAATAATGTAACTCGTGTCGGTAAACAAATTTCAGCCATTGGAATCCCCCTGCTTAACATTTTTAATTGCTTTGTGCCTCGTAAAATCATCATAAATTCGAGCATTTATCTAACAACAATTAGGGGGAGGCAAGCACGCTTTTATTTTTTATTTTTTATTTGCCAGTGTCTTTAGATGATTTAAAGGGGGAAATCATAATAAACAATAGATAATACAAATAAAACAAAAGAACATCTGTCAGGTTAGGCTTTTTAAATTTAAATTTATGTTTAATTATTCCTGTTACAGTTTTTACAAAGATTTATTTAGTAATAAATTCAGCTTTGTTAGACGCTTTATAGCTTTGTTTTTTTTTAGTGCTCTTACGCTTACGTGCCGCACTGTATCCTGATCGTTTGCGATCAACTCGGTTAGTGACTACTGGCAATAGATTGATAAAATGTCGGGGCAATTGTTATTTCGCCGCTCTTATCAGAACAATAACTGGTGTATTAATGACACCACACACGGCCGCGCACTTACAGTTTTATGTATAGAGTTGAAAGCATAAATGTTGCGACTATTAGATACCTACTAAAAAGGGTACACAAAGAAGCATATGCTTTAAAAATTTAAATAATTTAAATAGCACTTAATAAGCTATTAAATCTTTAATCTAACACTTTGGAGTTACACAAGAAAATGTAGCTAAGCAAATGTGTCTGGCAACATGTTGAGAAACACAAATGCTGTACAGCAACATGTCTTAATGCCTTAGAATTCCCAAGTTTATAGTTTATGTTTAGATTTCACTAAATAATTAAGAAAATCTTAAGAGATTTACTTATTTAATTATATTTAAATATATATCCCGAACTTTTTTGAATTTTCTACTATAACTACCAATTGATAGAGCATAACTCCAGGGTATTCCCCATTCGCGGAAGGGGCATTCCCCAGGTATTCACATTTAATTCTCAATGAACTGCACTTCAAGATGGTTTTTCCTTCCTCCCGTCCAAGAACAGAGAGCAGTAAATGGAGAGTAGTGAAAGAAGGAGATAAGAAAGGAGATTCTGAGAACGAACGGAATGAATAAAATGCGCCATAAAAAAAAAAAAAAAACGACAAACGAGGCGAAGAGTGACTGACTAGAGACTTACTAGAGAGATATCTTTATAAAACCGTCAATACGAAAATATACGTTGCTGCCGGCAGTTGCTGTCGCTGTCGCTGCCTCGGCTGGCGTCGCTGCCGCTGTTGCGGCCAACGTCGACGTCGGCGTCGCTGCCTTTTTATTATTATTAAGACGGGCGCGAGTTGGTCGCACTTAATTAGTTGTGCGATACAATTCTAGCCAAGCGGGTTGCTGGCGTCAAAAAATACATAATACAAGAAGAACACAAATTTAAAGAGAACGGAAGTCCGAAACTCGATAATTCGGTAATTCGAAAGATTCGAAATACCGTTAGCTCGAAATACCGAAAATAAAAAATACCGCACAACCGAAAAGAAACGAAAACCGAAATCGAAATCGAAAAATTGCATTGCGCATACGCCGCGTGTGTCAGTCCTTAAAGATCCACCAGAAAATTAAGAAATAAAAACTTAATAAAATTCCATTAAAAGAGAGAAAGAAAAATAAAAATAAAAAAAAATTACAAGGCAGCTGCAGCTTTGAGTGTTTCCCACCCCTCCCCGCCGCCACAAAGCACGTGTATTATCTGAAGTTGTTTATTTTTTTTGTTTTTTGCCGTTCGGTTGCGTTCAAGTTGCACTAGAAAATCGCATAATGTGTAGAACTGGCGCCCTCTTACTGGGCCTATTCGTAATATTATGTGGCAGCCTTATAGCGGATACTCAGGCCGAAGGTAAGTTTCAAATTAAGATTATTAATATTAATAAGCTAAAGGAAGAAATAAGGGAATTAAGTAGAGTATAAGAAAGCCTTAAATGACAAGAAAATTATTCGAAGAAAAGAAGAAACAAGTTCTTAAGGCATTTAGCTTTGTTTAGTTTTAAATATTTAATCCCAAAAATTAATATAATTAAGAAAAAAAAAAAGGTTTTAATGATTAATTACTTATTTAAATACCTAGTACTTAATTGAAAATAATAAAAATATAAATTAAGTCTTTGATATAAACTCTGCACTTGATACCTTCACTTATTTTTTTGTAAATCATTTAGAATCATATATTATGATCTTAAAAATCAAATTTCTGTATTAAAAACTTGTCTTAAATATTTGTAATACCTTTTTAAAAGCCATTCCCCTTAAAATAACTTTTCTGTATAATATTGCTCATATTTAATTGTTTAATAGATTTAAAAACTATCTTAGGCTTTTGTTTGGTTATAAAACAGATTATAGTAATTTCGAATTATTTTAATATCATTTCTATATATTTCATTACAAAATGTATTGTAAAATAAAATCTGTAAGCCTTGCCTTGCTTTTATAATTATTATGCTATATACAATATTTCATCTTCAACTTATTTTTGCATTATTTCAGGCTTTTATTTTAGTCTAAAAAGTAATATAAATATTTTATAATTTCTTTAATAATATTTCAATATATATTTTAATACTAACATGTATTGATAAATATGTTAAAAGTTGTATACTTTACATTGCTTTAAAGAATGTAATAAAATAAAAGGTTTAACTTCAATTACTACTACTTCTACTACCATTTGGCTACTATTTTACATTATTAATTTTTTTAAACCTTCTATAAATATTTAATATAATACATTTTATGTTTTATATAGCTACAGTCTCAGATATCCTAATATACATTGTGTATATATTTTTCGAAGCCTACAAGACCCTTGAAATGTTTACCCTCTTGGGAAATGCAAAATGAAAGCAAATGCAAGTGAAGGAACAGGGGGAAAACAATGCGGAAAATATGGAAATAAGTGTGTCAAATATTTGCTATATCCGAAAACCCATTAGACCCTATTCTAAATACCTATTCTAATCGCCAGCCAGCTAACTAGTCAGACCAGACGCTTATCTAGACTTCCTGTCGCCCAAAATGGCAACTATTTTGGGTTTCAGGTTTCAATTTCAGGGCGCACTTATCCGCTGAAGGGTTAAATGGATCGATCGATCAATCAAATAGCACTTATTTCCTCTGATTTCCGGGCATTGGGATATGGAGGACCACCTGGTTTTTGTTCATTTTTTGTGGCTATATTTTAGATGGCTTTGCACCCGCCGCTTATCGGGTTGCCTCCTCCCAAAAGGTGGAGTGATTTATACCAACCAGTGTTGCAGGGATTTAGATTTGGAATATGCTAGTAGTATATATATGAATATATCTGTATATATATAACAAATCGCTGCTGGTCACTATCTAATGCCATTTAAATTGTAGCCCATATAGACCCGTGCCAGCAATTTTATTATCGCACCGCAAGTCAATTTCCTTTTCGGACTCTCTCAGATTTCTTATTTGATTACGCATTATGGCCCGATACGATATGGAACACAATCATTATCGATGGCTTATTCACGCGAATAATCGGAATTTGAAATTGGTATTGGGGATTTTCGCAATTGTCAATATATGTTGAAAGAGATGGAGAGATTTCTTGGGAAATAAACAAGGGAAGCAAAGCCCTTGACTTGACAACATAAATAAAATTGTGATTTGTTTGCTTTGCAATTAAAAATATCAAAGAAGAATTACATTTATAAATAAATTCCCATAAAGGAAAATAGATGTAGTTCCAACAACTTTCATAATGCATAATAATGCATAATTATATATGTAGTTCCATTTCCTATAAACTTCTTTATTACAAAATATCCGAAATTAAGTTTTATTTCTATAATAATTTCTATGCTCTCTTGCTGACTATTTAATTATCCTCAAATATTCCAAGTACCTTTCCATTATCTTCAAATAATATACCACAAAATAATCAAAATCAAAATCAGGTTTAGTAATAGCTTCCTACAATTATGGATTATTATTTTTGCTGAACAAATTTTTTTTGTCGAATCATGAACTTGATCTTGAACTTGAACATGGTAGCATCATTATCATCATAGCCAGCCATAATCGGCTTACATAATAAAGATTTGAGAAATAATAATGGTAATCGATTGGTAAACGATAGCCAGGTGATTCCCTAAAATTCCAACAAATTCCCATCGGGGGATCGGTTCTATAAATACGATGGCCTGCCCACACAATATTAATATGCTCATCGCGGGCCAGGTAATTCCGATTCTCTGATTTTTCGCTGGAACGATGAAAGGGAAGAATTTTTACTTGACTTTTATATTTGTATTTATTTATTTTAATTTTTTTGGGGCACTATGCCATCGGGGGGACTTTTTGGTTTAGATTTAGCGATGATGATGATGATGATGATGCTGATAAACCATAGATCCAAAGATCGGTAATTACATTTGTTTTCCCACCAAGCATCACAGTTATTTGTTGTTGAATTTGTTTTTTCTTCAAGCTATTTACGGAGTGCTGACTCTGGTTTTCAGTTTCATTTTCATTTTCATTTCTTTAGTTTTGTTTTGTTTTGCCGGCGTAAACAATCAAACAAGCTTCGTTGTCCGTCAACGCGAGACAAACACCAGACAACATGGGTCACAAAGGGCTAGAAAAAGTCAACCTAAAAACACTAAAACTTAAAAATAAACCTAAAAGAAACTAAGCTGTAAATATAGCTTTAACATATTAAGCTTAAAAAAGGGTTCTAAAAGAACTAGTCCCTAAAATTAATCTACAAAAAAGTTCAAGCTAATAAACCTAGTTACAAAATGAAGCTTACTTAAACCCTAACATATGAAATATTCCATCAAAATCAAATGATTTAAAATTGATTTACGAATTTTCTATAAATCAAGTGATTTAAGTCTGAAGTAATACCCAATTGTTGAGTTATTTAAGAACTTTTTCGTTTCATTTTTGTTGCCCTTTTTTTCGACGACAGTAATTGGGGGGCTTAAGTCGAGTTGCCGCATAGCTTCCTCGAAATTAAAAATAATCAAATGGAAGCGTCACGAAGTGAGAGAGAGAGGGTTGCTTAAGTTGATTTTATGATTTAACAATATTGTTCTTAAATATTCTCAACTGTTTATGGAACCTCGTTTCCATTAATGCCTGCCCTTAGCATGTCCTTGTTCAGGTCATGACCGATTGCTTGCTTTAGCATGTGTTTTTGCATGGCTTTCGGTTTTTAAAAATATTTAATTTGTGAATATTTTGTTACAATTAAAGGGAATGCCCTTCTTTATGTCATTTAGGTTTGCCTTCTTTTTTAATTTGTTTCATTTTAAAATTACTTAATTAGTTCAGTTTATATTTTGTTACAATTCCAAGGGAGTGTAATTATCGAGAACCTTTGGCAACCTAATTAAAATGAAAACTTTTGTTGGCCAGTGATGGTGCATAACCATTACCATAACCATTACCATTACCATTACTATTAACATTACCAACTGGCAGCTAAACCAACCGAATAAATAATATTTACCAAACAATTACCCAGCATTTTTCGCGCCAGCTGGAAGCTCTTTCATTCGCTTCGATTCGCTGGCGACTTTGATTCGAATTTGCATTTTATTTTTGATACTCTTCGGGTGGCCCTCGCTGGAGGTACTAATTGGAACAAAGAAAAACGCGACGATTATCGATTACCAAGCAGTCGTCGGCAAGGGGGAGAGCCTTGGCAACGTAAAGTTGCACAATGGATCGGAATCGATCGATTGGATTGCTTCGATCGCTTCGATCGGTGGGCGGGGTCCGAGGTCTGGGACTTCCCATAAACGCCGATTTAGCCCTGAACGAGGCATAGCCAGGGTGGTCTCCCTCAGCGCCACAAAATTTCCCCGATTTCCGCTCCGAACAACTCTCTGGAAACGAACTCGACTTTGAAGCGATCGTTTCTGTGCTTGGGTTTTCCACTATATCTCATAAGCACGGAGCTGCACTTGAAGAAATTTTGGGGGAACATTTAAATGACCTTTTTTTGACAAATCAAAATTTAAAAATTTCATAACTACGTCAAAAAAGCCTTAATTTCAATTCGGAAAACTGTTTTATGTAAGTTTTTATTGGGTTAAGAAATCTGCGTACTCAATTCAAAATTTTAAAAAATTATAATTTTTGCCAATTTTAACGATTCAACCTTTTCTATTTTATTTAAAAAAAAACAGATAAAATTCTTGAAAAATTTTAATTTTTGTGGGAGATGGCTAAATCGATTCGCCTGTTGATGTTGATCAAGAATATATATGATTTATTGGGTCGGAAATGAGTCCTTCACTTCGTTTTAAGCTTCTGACTAAAAGTAGAATACCATTCTTTGAACTAATATTTATTAATATTTTTATATGACAATTTTTTAGAGTAATCAAAGCTTAAAAAACTCATAACTTAGCCAAAAATGCATTAATTTTAATTCGGAAAGCGCTCCTATGTTAGTTTTTCTGAGGTTTATAAATCTGCATACATAAATAGAAATTTAAAAAAATTCAAAATTTTGATCAATTTTTTTTTACAATTTGAACAATAAAACCCCTTAAAAATGTGAAAAAATTTCAAAAATTTATTTCTCTGCCGAGGATGAATCGATCGATTCGGCTGTTCATGCTGATCAAGAATATATATGATTTATAGGGTCGGAAATGACTCCTTCGCAAGTTACACGCTTTTTATTATAATTATAATACCCGGAAAGAGTATACAAATAAGATGTGTAACACCACATACACATTCTTTATGCTATACTATACTTTTTAATTTTTACGCAATTGTAACTAATAAATACTCTCGTATATATGCGCGTAATGCATCTTACTCTCTAAATTCTCATTGTTTTATGGAAAATAAATAAATAAAAAAGGCACAAATTTAACTTCGCTCACTTTCATTTCTTTGTAATTTTGACCTACACATTAATTCGATTTTTGCCAAAAGAAAATATAAAGAATGCACGGCTAAAGGCCAACGACGACAAGCAGCCATGTTGGGACGATAATCATAACAATTCCGCTGGGATTAAGAGTATTTGCAATGTTTGAAAGCCTAGAGGGTGTTCTAACGTCGTGCATGGCATAGTGCAGAACCGGCTTCGAGGCGACCTCAGTGCTCCGGCCACTGCCAAGGCAACTGCTCCGCAGCTCCATCGGATACCGCAGACCCACATGGAAGCAGTACAGGAGTGATGGACTGATGATCAAGGGTTTGAATCCCCTCGTCGTCTGCATGCTGAAGGTGTGCTGCGTGTCCGCGGGATCATAGTGGGCAACCCTCATCGCCTCAAAGCGATGCATGTAGTTGTCATGGAAGGTGACCAGCACAATCATATCCTCGACTTTATCCGTGGCCTCCGTTTGCCAGACGCTATACGGTGTGTTTATCGGTGCCCGGGAGTCGCGATATATCGCATATATATGAGGCGGTACAACGCTATGGCAAATAAATTTTAATGTCACATCTCGAAGGTGGCTACAATTGCCTTTGCCACCGCCAGATTGGATTCCTAGCGGACCCATGACCAGCAACAGGAGAAAGTGACGGTGCAGGGAGTTCCAAAATCCATTCCCATTCATTACTAATTTATATCTATATATATTTCTATATTTTGTTGTTTTTTGTTCTTCAAAATTTCCAATGGACTTAAAAAATATAAAATTCAACTGATTGGTTGGGCAAAGCAAAGCGATTGTGATATAGAAATAATGATAGTGTTTGAAGAATTCCATGATATCAGGAAAAATATAATGATGAGAACAAATAGGGACTAAATGTTATATAGACGATATATATATATATATTAATACTGTATAGAAAGATATATATTAATCGATAAAAATACAGATAAATCGATATAATGTTGGATAAGTAGCTCCAAAATAAAGGAAAAAAAGGGAAACATTACATTAGAAAACAATTTTCGATATATGTCAACAATATGATCGGATTAAGTATGAAATAATCATTTTATATTTAATATATTAATACTGTATATAGAAAATGTTATATATTAATAGCTAAAGATACAGAAACAGCGGTAAATTGATATTATGTTAGATATGTAGAACCAATACAAAGGGAAAAAATTACATTAGAAGACAATTTTCGATATATATCAATAACATTTCGATAAATCAAACTTTATGTTGTTCTCCATATGATATCGATATTTTTCTATTATAAACATATCAAAACAATAAAGGTTGATTATATTTTTGAGACGACCACAACCTTGTTCAACAAATAAAACATCGCTACTTCAAAGTTTATGTTATTTCCAATATGTTATCAATATTTTTCGATATTTAATGTTATTTTTTTGTGATATGTAAAAAACAATTGTTTGCAGTGCTCAAGCCTCAAACCTCAAGCCCCACTGACAACAAATGCTGGCCAACAAGTTCAATAAACTTGTTTGTCTGCTCAACTCGGTTCGGTTCGGGTTTTGGGTCGTCCCTCACTGATTCGTAGACACGTTCTGCGACGAAAATGCATTCCAGATGCAATAATAAAGCCAGTTAGCTAGCTAGATGTATGCCGAGTTGGCCAAGTTAGTAGTGTCAGTCAGTTGGCCAAGAGTTTTCTTCTCGGCGAGACACGAGACGCGACACATGCGAGTGAATGTGAATATTATTTTCTGGAATAATGTAAGATAAGCAACCATCACACAATCGTCACCGATTTTTTAGTTTACTTCTCCGAGTCGGTATATGTATTTTTTTTCTGTGTAATTTGTGCCGCGTTTTGTTGTTTGCCAAGTGGGAGATGTCTACTAATTATTCAATTATTGCTCTTGTCGCGGCTGCAATCGCAATGTGGCATCGATGTTGCAGCAAAACAAGAGCTAACACGCAATTTGTGGCTGTGGCGAGAACAATGGATAGCATCGGCTCGTCTTTTATCGAAATCGGGTCAAGAGGTTGGGCTAGTCCCTAGACTTGGCCACGATAAACCGCCGTCAACGACATTGGCATTGGCTTATTCATACCATTTTACGCTTTGTGGGGGGGCATAAAATAAAAAATAAAATTATACAGTCTGATAAGGAGAAAAAAAAAACTGTCCCAGACCTAGACTGAAAATGTCGCCCTTCTGGCAAAGATAATAGGCGAGGGGGGAAAATATCAAGAAATATATATGTATGTACATATATCAAGAAAAGAAACCCATTCGTTGGAGATTGTAAAACAATTAACAAAAGCCCCAGACCAAACATCAACAAATCATCATCATCATCATCATCATCAGCAGCAGCAGTGAGTGTCCATGACTGTCGCAGTTATTTTGGGGCCGCCAATGCAATTGTTGCTAAACCGAAACAATAATAATAACAATAATAACAGCACACCAGATGGCCAAATAACAATGTTGTAAAATATTGCCAATCGTTGGTGTATTGTGGGAAGAATGGTGGAGCATTAAATCCACCCCCGCTCAGAGTCTAATTGCACCGACTTGGCACTTGGGTGCTATATAATTGGTTATCTGACCACGACCACGACTATGAATGGAATGTTTTTGTTTTTCTTCAACGTTTTTCGTGCGAACTGCAGAAATTATAATGAAATCATAATAGTCGTGTGACTAACACTAAAGAAGAACTCTGACATCAAGTCTACAACTGAACACTAAAGTCGTAAAAACTAAATAGTTTATAAATCAGTTTTTAATTCTACAAATTCGATGGATAAATATTCTCAGAGAAGTAATACAAGTTTAATTTTGTTTGTATATACATCTATTCAAAGAGTTCCCTGTTAGTTGCGAAGTTCTTCAAGGAGAAAGTTCACGAAAGAGAAAGTTGTTGGAGAATATTTTCAAAAGTTATACAGATTCAAGTTCACTAAAGAAAAGTCTTTTTAATATTAACTTGTAAATATTTACTTAAATATTAAGTGTTACTAATATTACTAGGTGATCTTTAAGGCTATACTCAAGTTTAGTTTCGAAATAATTTCTATATAATTTCAATCAAATAAAGAAAGTTGTTGGAGTAATTTTTTTAAATTATTTAACTTGTGAATATTTGTTTAAATATTAATAAATAATTATATTATAAGGGAATCCTTCAGACTAGACTCAAGTTTAGTTTCGATATCATTTCTTTATAATTTCGATATAATTTTAATCGAAAATAGAAAGTAGTTGGAGAATATAAATCATTAAAGAAAAGTATTTTTTAATATTAACTTGTAAATATTTATTTAAATTATTTAAATTATTTATTTATTAATTAATACTAATATTATAAGGCAATCTAATAGGCTAGACTCAAGTTTGATATTGATATTATTTCTTTATAATATCAATATAATTTCAATTGAAAACACAAAGTTTTTGAAGAATATTTTCTAAATTTATACAGATTCAAGTTTACTTAGGAAAAGTCTTGTAAATAATAACTTTTCACCTTAATTATATTTTAATTTAGTAAATATTAAATTGCAGGTTTGGTTTCTATATCATTTCTATATTAAAATCTTTACCACCCTAGAAACCCAATATACCCCAAAACAGGTGATCGGTGATCAGTGATCTTGATTGCGATAATTGCATGGGCTGTTGTGTCTGTGCTGAGCTTCGCTCTACTATATACATATATATCGTCATTCCAGTTCCGACTTAATCTTATCGCCATTAACCGAGGAAGGGAGTCAGGGCCAAGATATGCATCTTGGTACAGCGCGTTGATGAGCAAAATCGATTAATTCTTGTTTTTTGCTCGTCTCAATCTTTTAGCAAACCCCGGCAACGAAAGCAGTTTTCTGGAGGCCTCCCTGCGGTATTTTGACGAGCAACTGCTCCTGGACATTCTGCCACGTGCCTCGTGTCCGGGCGAAGATGAGGGCTCTCCAATGGACGAGTTCGCCGACCTGTTTACGGGTAAGTTTTGTTCTGCGAGTTCCGGGTTTCCTAATCCAAAAGGGAATTGGCTTTCGATAATCCAATAATAATTCAATCTGAACTTGAACTTGTCCGTGGAATGGACGTGATGATAACCGTAATCCGTTGGTGAACTAAATCGGAACTGTAATGGAAGTGTATTTGCTGTGGGCAGGTTCCGGGCAGATAATTCTTGAACCTCCATTTGCAGGGATGACAGAAAATGGGAATATATCGATACTTTATTGATATATAAATTGAACATTTAACGTTGCCATATATATTTCATATATAGGATATTTTATTGTTTATCTAATCTGGATTTATCGAAGATTAAGTTTTTAGTACTTTTTATTTAAGTAACTTTGAAGATTCCCTATAACTCCATTTGTTATCCATTATCCATTAAACATTATACATTATCTAGTTTCCATTACCGTTTACCGTTTATCCTTTATCCATTATTCTTTATCCCTTTTTTTATCCATTATCCATTTTTCAATATCCATTATCCAATATCCAATATCAAATATCCATTATCCAATATCCATTATTTATTATACAATATCCAATATCAAATATCCAGTATCCATTATCCAATATCTATTATCCAATATCCATTATACTTTATACAATATCATTATCCATTATCTTTTATCCTTTATTCAATGATCATTATCCATTATCAATTTTTTATCCATTATCCAATATCCAATATTCAATATCCAGTATCCAATATCCAATATTCAGTATCAAGTATCCAGTATCCAATATCCAATATCCAATATCCAATATCCAATATTCAGTATCCAGTATCCAATATCCATTATTCACTATCCATTATACCTTATCCATACTTCTGTCCATTATCCATTATCCACTAACCATTATCAATTATCCAGTAAGTAATCTCTATCGATCTTGAACTTGTCCATGAGCCCTGTCCATTGTGCCTTATCCCAATGTCCCCCATCCGTTTGTCCGGTGTCTTGGCCCAATGCCTTTCCTGCTTCACCACTATCAGTTATCGGCTATTAAAGCGGCAATTCAATGGCCAATAAATCAGGCGGAACGCATAGTCTTTATAGTTTATTTCAGCGTTAGTACCTGGTGGAGATTCGGTATTGTGGACACGCGAGACTGGGAACACTTGGGAATCGCTTGCTTATCGCCGAGCACTTACACCGCCCAGATGGCGATATCTCCAGGGCAACAGCAGGTCTAGATTTTCTTCATTCCTTTACTTTTTTTTCAATAAGAGTCACGATAAGATTTCGCACCATGTTTACGGGTGTCTCAAGCCGAAATATACAAAAGCGCTAATGATTGAACCTAAATTTAGGGAATGACTACTGGGGATCGATGGCCGTAACCGTATCTAATCCTTGAACAGTTGCCAAGTGTGCCAAGATTTGGATCTGTCCAGCAGCATGAGTGGGTGGGTGGGCATTTCTAGGGTTAAGTTAAAAGGTTTTTGGAAAAATATCACACATACGCAGCGTTGACATTACAGAAAATTATCACGGTTATCTATAGATTTTGTCTAGTTTTTCTTCAAATATATTTATATTTTCTGCTATTCTTTACAGTGGATCAACTCCGTCAAGGCTGGGTGGCGCTGCACGTCTTTGCGGCAATCTATTTCTTTATTTTGTTGGCCATCATTTGCAATGATTACTTCCTGCCAACGGTGGAGTGCATCTGTGAGGATCTACATCTGTCCAAGGATGTGGCAGCGGCCACTTTTATGGCCACTGCCACTTCCATGCCCGAGTTCTTTACGAACACGATCAGCACCTTGATTCTAGACTCGGATATGGGTCTGGGTACAATTATAGGCTCTCTGATGTTCAATACTTTGGGTGTGGCTGGCCTGGCGGCTTTGGCCATTGATAAGGTAAGGATATATAGATAATTTTAAAGATATATATAGCTAGAAATTCCATTTTGATTAGTTGGAATAATAACTATATATAATGATGAGAAGTAGTTGAAAGATAACTATAAATAAAGACAAGATAAGGTGACTAATAATGATGACTTTCCCTCATTCCCTAAGCCCGTGCAATTGGACTGGTGGCCCATAGCCCGTGATTGTTTCATCTATATCTTCAATACCATTATCCTGTTGGTCCTGGCCTGGGGCGGTAGCATTAGCTTTACAGAATCCTGCATTATGATGGGCTTCCTGGTGCTCTATTATCTGATTACATTCAATAACAACAAATTCATGCCCGCCATAAGAGTGTTTATTGAGGATCGCATGAATTGCTGCTTCTCGACGCGTTATGGTAAGTCTTTCTGGGAAACCTAGCTTAATTTTAATTTTAATTTCATATATAATTTTCAATTCCAGATCTAACAGAGCCGCCAGAGAACAGTGCCAAGGCCCAGTTGCCCCTGAAAAAGGATCCCCTATCTGGCGATGGTCTTTTTGTGATAAATCTACCCGAGAATACATCATCCATGTCCTCCACAGCCAATCTTACACATTCCAAGCATTGTAAGTTTATAGGTTTTTTTACTAAATAATTAATAGAGATTTCTAATTGATAAATATCTCAAAAGGGAATGGCGAGGATGAAGAGGACGATGACATGCCCAAGAGTATCTATCTTTATCCCAGGGATGCCTCCTGCCTGGGTCAATTCTGGTGGATCTTTGTCTTCCCCATCAAGTTTACTCTGTCCCTGCTGATTCCTCATCCAATGAAGTATCGTCGCCTGTATCCATTGTCCTTTATCATGTGCATCCTGTGCATTGGCGGCAATGCTTACCTGATTGTCTGGATGTTGACCGCTTTTGGTGTGGCTATTCATGTGCCCACCATTGTGATGGGTCTCACGTTCCTGGCTGCCGGTTCTACAATGCCGGAGGCAGTGTCCAGTCTTATTTCGCTGAGAAATGGTGAGTTTGTATAGGGTTTTCCTTGATAATTTCTCTTCTAAAATATATATTTTCCTTTAATTTTCAGGTGAAAATGGCATTGGTGTGTCCAATTCTTTGGGTGCCAATTCCTTGGCTATTTTGCTCTCCTTGGGTGTGCCTTGGTTTATTAAGAATTGCATTCACTATGGCAGCGGTGAGCCCCAACAGGTGGGCACTCAGGGCATCGAGTATAATATCCTTATTCTGATCATTTCCACGGTGGCCCTGTTCATCGTACTCAGCTGCAGTGGCTATCGTCTCACCAAGAAGGTGGGCGTGGCCCTTTTCAGTGTCTATGGTGTATTCATTGTCCTGCAGATTCTCATCGAGATGAATGTCTTCTTCCCAAGGGACTGCAGCACCAGCTAGGAGTGATGGCCGCCAAGGATGCCAAGGAGAAGGAAATCCAAAAACCAAAACCCAAACTTAAGCCCCTTTGGTGCTGGCACCAAAGAAGGGATTCGTTTGCAAGAACACAACTACTTCCGGTTAGAACTAGTATATCCTCGAAGGTCTCTTGCTGCTCCTTGAGGACCTACTCTAGACTCTCCTTAATGTTTTTTTTTTTTTGTTTGTTTGTTTATTGCTTTAATTATGGCCTAAGACTGTCTTTAGGATTAATCGATGACGATGAAGCTTCCCAGCAGCGATTTCTATTTATTTCGCTTTGTAAATATATAATATATATGATGTATAGTAACATATATATATAGTTTAGAACCGTTGCCAAAGCCCTAAACGAGATACTAGCCTTTAAGAGAGAGAGAGGAGGAGAGAGGTTAAGCAAATGCCCTCACGATATTCATTCAACTTTCTGCCACGGACACATCCATCCAACTTCCGTTGATATTCTGTATGTGTGTGTGTAGGATCTATTTGTTAACGTTATCTAATATAATATGTATGTATACCCTTGATACTACCATTGTTATTAATTTATAAATACATTCTAAGACAAATGTTAACGAGTCCCGATGACTGTCTTTCATTTCATTTTAATTATCTAAAACCTCAAGTGGTCTCATCGAGTGCCAAGCTGATTAGATGGGATCCCTTGGGAATGTCGCAAATATAAATATATATTAAATATATATATATAGAAATATGTAAAAAGAAGTGTAGAGCCTCTTGAGGTTGGGTTTTTACAAACAGCTCATAATATTCAAGATGCGTAAAGCGACTGCAGAGTGCTCTTTCTTTGATCTGTTTGAGAGGGTAAAGTATCTTATAGGATAAGCGCTATGTATCTTATTCTTCCCAGGATTATCCACGGATATAGAGTTAAAATTTGAATACTCTCCCTTTACGATAAATATATAAAAAAAAAAAACGTTTGAAGTAGATATTTATATAGGTTTTTTTTAATCCAAATTTGCTAATAGTCTAGAAAACAAGAATGCACTTCGGAAACCTGAAATTTCGATACCCTTGCATTAAATTTCAATCGGACAACTTTTCTGTGTTAGTTTTTATTAGATAAACAAAACAATGTTTACATGACAATTTAATGAAAAAATTAAATTTTAAAATAATCAGAGCTCAGCCAATTAAGCATTAATTTTAATTCGGAAAGCGTTTCTATGTTAGTTTTTCCTAGCTTTTTAAATCTGCATACTCAAACTAAATTTTAAAAAATTCTAAATTTTTATAAATTTTTTGACAATTTTAACTATGAAACCCCTTATAAAATTATGAAAAAAATAAAAAAAATTATTTTTCTGTCTGGGATGTCTAGATCGACTTGGCTGTTTATGCTGATCATGAATATATATGATTTATAGGGTCGGAAATGACTCCTTCACTTAGTTTTAAGCTTCTGACTGAAGGTGCAATACCATTTATTAATCAATATTTAATTATATGTTTACATGACAATTTAATGAAAAAATTCAATTTCAAAACAATCATAACTCAGCTAAAAAAGCATTAATTTCAATTCGGAAAGCAGTCCTATGTTAGTTTTTCTTAGGTTTATAAATCTGCATACTAAAATTATATTTTTAAAATATTCTAAATTTTTATAAATTTTTTGACAATTTTAACGATGAAACCCCTTATAAAATTTAAAAAAAATAGAAAAATTTATTTTTTTCCGCCTGAAATGGCTAGATCGACTCGGCTGCTCATGCTGATCAAGAATATATGTACATTATAGGGTCGGAAATGACTCCTTCACTGCGTTTCACTTACACGTTAATACGCTGCAAGGGTATAAAAACGTAAACAAAGGCAGCCGCTTTCCAAATGCCAAAATTAAAATTCACAAGAGAGGAACGAACTCTTTGAGCGGATCTCCCGCTCTTAGGTTCCCCATTTCAAGAGAGAGAAAAAAAGTGCCAGTAACGGAACTTTCTAAGCTATGAAAAGGAGAAGCGAAGTGCGCTCGCATCGCAAAAGAATGAGGAGGATAAAAGAAAGAAGAAAATAGCTATGACTCACCAGCTCCCTTGCATCGGTTATTATTTTCGGCAAATCTCAACGTCGAATTTGCGCATGAAACACACGCACAACAAATGAAAGAGTTACAGTCAACAGTTTTAATGTTCTGGCACACACACTTTACACACTCTCACCATTTCACATAACCATCATTTCACATTTTTACCATTTCATTAACACACCACAAAAAAAAAAACAACAAAAAAGCGCACTGAAAATAAGACACCTGCGGCCGCTTTCCTTTTGGGGCAGATCCACGCTTTGCCCCCACTTCACAAACACTTTTCACTATTATTCACTATCACCTTCGCCACTTGCCAATGTTTTTCCGCCGTAAATTTGCCGCTTTTCACACTTTTAACCGATCTCCTTGCGCCGCGACGTTTTCACCATGAAAAAAAAACAACAAAAAAGCGCACTGAAATGGGGTTATGTGAAATGAAATGAGACGCCGTCGCTGGATTTGCATTTGGGGCCTTGCCCCCACTTTAAAAACACTTTACACTATACTCCACTATCACCTTTGCCACCTGCCAGTGTTTTCCAGCCGTAAATTTTCCGCTTTTCATTGTTTTAATTGATCTCCTGCGCAGCGTCTTTTTTTTCGTCCGCTTCGTTCGGCTGGTGGAAGTGATCTACCACGGCAACCGGGAGAGGTGAATTCGGGATAATGGTGGGTGAGAGAGGCTGGAAGTAAGCGACTGACCACTTGGAAAGCACTTCCAGTGTCGACCTGAACTGGAAACAGGATCCAATTTGTTAGTATAAAAATACCCTGCAGTATTAATATTATAATATTAATGCATAAATAATCTGTAATTTTTTTAAGCACTCAGTTATCCTGAAAATAGTTTTTCCCAAACCAAACCCTGCTTTATACCAATAATACACATTATTTAATAAGTTTTTTCTTATTTTTTTTTTTTTTTGTTTTGTTTTGTCGTTAGTTTTTGTTTTTGCTTTGCTTTGCAGAGAGGGTTTTACAAGCCCAGTCGAGTGTGTGGTGTGTGTATTGGAATTATCTTGAAGTTACATCACATATTACAAATAAATATATAATAAATATAGGTCATTAAATGAGATCAAATATTCGGTTAACACACACACTGGCACATACACATTAAATATGAATGCGAATAATACAGATACATATACACAAGATATAGAAATCAAAGACGATTCGAGAGCAAAAAACATCTAAAAGCTAATTAATTAATATCTGTGTCTCTGTGTGTGTGTACATAATTTATCATCTTAAAGATATATATATATATATATAATAATTATGTATATATGTATAGGGGGAGAGTCTTAGTCCCTCCTCCCGTCTGTTGTTTAAGGGCTTAGCTTTCTTTCTTTTCTTTTTTGCTTGCTCAACTTGCATTGTTGGCAAATGTCTTGGAGTTTTCCTTTTCAATTTTCATTTCTTGGATGGGTTTTTCACACAAATAAATACTTAAGAGTAAGTCTGATCGATTTTCAGCGCATGCTTTTATATATAATATATAATAGATATCATTGGGAAGTTTTAGAAACTTGCCGAGGGCTGAGTGTGTGTGTGTGTGGCCTTGACCCTAAGCTGCCATGCTACTGCTGCTACTTGGTATCCTTTCTCCTGCATCCTCTTGTATCCTCCTCCTTTCTGTTCCTTTCTTTTTAAACAAATCAGTCTGAGCAATTACAATTCAAATGTGCCTGCGAATGCAATGTGGCAGCTTTCAGCTGCTCCCTAACAACCTGTCGAACCAATTTGGCACAAGTCTCAATCGATATGCCGATACGCATATGGATGGCTGTGCGCGTTTTGGAAAAAAGTGCTAACGTAACTTATGGTTTGGCGCAACGTAAACGTTTAACACTGAAACGTAAACGTGAACGTTAACGCTAAGCGATTAAGCTAAAAGCCATCTGTCTACCGTCTGTCTACTTGTCAGCCAGCCAGCCTTGGGCCTGGGCAGGACCGGGGGATGGGACAGATGGGCCAAATGGTGTAGTAGAGTGGCTGCTGAACCCTGGTCTTAGGTGCAGCAATGGTGTCCATTTTTAACATAATAGTTGTGCATGGCCACGGTGCCGTTCTTGCTGTAACTGCCACTTCCACTTCCACTTGCACCGCTTCCGCTGGCACCGCTGCTGCCGTTGTACTGCAGATTGCTCGAACTGGAGCCTCCAGCAGCTGCTCCCGCATTAGCAGGCGCATCATCTGTACTGGTGGAGGCATCAAAGGCCTTGATGGGATTCTGGATGATTTTGCATGTGAACTGGCGATGAGGACCGGGTTCCTAATGACACAAAAGATGCCTTAGTTGGGTGGCATTTCTTAGGAAACTAAAGGGACCTTACCTTGGGCTGAATGGGGAAACAACACCAGAGGATGAAGGCTATGAAGGCTACCAGGGTGCCCACCAGCAGTATGAAGTCCTCGATGGTCTGGAAATATTAGTTAGAGTCAAAAATCAATGCGTAACTTGGAGGAAATATGAGTAGGAGGGAGGAGGTGGGAGGTGTCGGCGAAGGAGGTTCTGCAAGAGTGTGTGTGTGTGCTTACCGGCTCTTCGCCCAGCAGCACGTGATTGATCAAATAGACAAAGTCGTCAAAAGGTGTCATCCTGGGGCTGTCGCCAGGATTCGTAAATATCCTGGTTCTTCTTCACTGTCCTTTTTGTCGTTCACTTTGTTTTGGGTTCGGCTGCGACTGCGACTGCGACAGCGACGCCAACAGCGACGGCAACAGCGACTGCGACTTTGACGGCCTGACGCTGCTTACGAATGCCGCTGCTGCTGCTTCTGATTTTGCTCCTGTAACTGCTGCTGTTGCTGTAGGACGCACAACAGCATGGCTGTCCGGTTTATTTGGCAATTACGGACATGGCATGGCATTGGCCACCGGAATTTGCAGGTGAATTATTTCGTTCGTTTTTCGTACGGTTAATTCCAGGCTTTCAGCGCGTTGAGGTGAGTACAGTGTGACCATATAGAGCCATATGAGAGCTGGCTAAATATACAATCACTAACGCATACCCGAGGTGGAAATTATACAAAATACCAATATGAAAATATAGGTTTTTTAATTGTATATAGAGATGTGGATAAATGTATTCTATATATTTGTAAATATATATAATACAATTCAATTGATTTATTCATTTAAATTTTTATTTCGCATTCTATTCGTTAAAAATACCGCAGTGCGACCAGATCCAAATCGGATCCACATGCTGCTCTTCATTTTCTTGGCGCCCAGCGACAGCCACTCTAACGCCTGCGTCCCACTACTTCCACTGCTTTCCAAAATTTTGTGGCTATTTTCCCGGCGTTTTCCCGATTTAATCACCCAGCTTATGTTTTGACACGGTACGTCATCCGAAAATGGGCCGGCGACGCAGCCGGGAGCGCGGCCAAGAGCCACCAGCACCAGGCTGTGATAGTGACGACGAGAACGAAACGAAGCCATCGAAGAAGCCCAAGCAGCGACCAAGCAAGGCCGCCAGAAATAGTTCCAGTTCATCGACTTCCAGCAGCAGCAGCAATAGCAGCTCCAAGGGCAGCCGCAAGAGCAACCACAGTAAGGACTCCTCGCCGGAGGCCAAGAAGCCGAAGCAGGCCAGCAGCCGCAAGAAGTCATCATCGGAGCAGCGGGAGGCGCAGCAGGAAAAGCGCTCTAAGCAGCCCGAGGAGGTTCAGGAGCAACGCTCCAAGTGGGACACACCCGAGCGCGGTAGCGGAGGCGGTGGTGGGAGCTCACATCGCAACAGCACGCGACAGCGTCAGGACCGGGACAGAGATCGGGAGCAGCGTGACCGGGACAGGGATCGCAACAGAGATAAGGAACGGGAGCGGGAGAGGGAGAGGGAGAGCGACCGGAACCGTAACCGGGAGCGGGAGCGTGAGCGTGACAATCACATGCGGCGAGATCGCAGTGGCCGGGAGCGGAGCCGAGAGCGCAGCAAGGAGCGCAGGCAGCGTTCGCCAGCCCAGAGACAACAGCGACCGCGGAGCAGGGATCGAGAGCAGCAGCAGCAGCAGCCAAGGGAACGCCAGAGACGTTCGCCAGACAGACGACCAGCTCGGTGAGTTCTTAGAACTGCTATTGAAACCCAAGAAGTTTTATTGTTTACATATTTTCCTTTCCTCGCCCTTCAGTCGCAGTCGCAGTCGTAGTCCCCGTGAGCGATCCCATCGCGGTGGCGGTGGTGGACGTGACTTTGGCCAAGAACGTAACCGTAACCAGCGTCGCGACAATCGTAATCGCAACGAGGACGAACACTATGAGTGGGGCAAACAGGATGACAAGGAGAAGGCGCCCAAGGAGGACGAAGAACCCGTAGAGAAGGAGAAACCCAATTTTGGTCTCAGCGGTGCCCTAACCGAGGACACCAACAAGGTTAACGGCGTGGTGGTGAAATACTCCGAGCCCCCGAGGCCCGTAAACCCAAGCGTCGCTGGCGCCTGTATCCGTTCAAGGGCGAAACAGCGTTGCCCACGCTTCATATTCATCGCCAGAGCTGCTTCCTGGTCGGTCGTGACCGCAAGGTGGTTGACCTGGCCGTCGATCATCCCAGTTGCTCCAAACAGCATGCCGCCTTGCAGTACCGCCTGGTGCCCTTCGAGCGTGAGGATGGAAGCAGCGGGAAACGCGTGCGTTTGTACCTCATCGATCTGGAGTCTGCGAATGGGACGTTTCTCAACAATAAGAAAATCGATGGCCGCAAGTACTACGAACTGATGGAGAAGGATGTGATCAAGTTCGGCTTTAGCTCACGCGAATATGTGCTGCTGCATGAGAACAGCAAGGAGGATCAGGAGGATGACGACGTGCATATCAAGGATGAGCCGCAGGATGTGCCCGCTGTTGGAGAAGAAGCAAATCCCTAGAGCTACGTTTTCTCTTTATTATTTTTTTTATGTTCTTTTACATAAAGCTTCAAATGAAACGCGTTTTGTACCCGTAGGAACCTTGAACCAGAGAGATGCAAGTGTAAAAAGTCGTAGCGGAACACAGTTTTGCGTGTTCACTGCCAACAAAAGAGAGCAAAAAGAAAGATTAATATATAAATAAATTCTCAAACGAATTCGGGTCTTGACTGAGGTCAACTTTAGACTGCTGACTGTGTCAGTTTAGGTTTAGCTTTAGCTTCAGTTTTGCAACTGTGACACTTGTTAACCAGACAGCGCCATGCACTGGCCACCGTTCCTTGGTTTTTGCCTCATTGTCTGTGCCTGTGTCTGTCCTGCTGCCCCTCAGGTGATGCGTCGTCGCCAGGTTATTACACCCACCTGGCTAATGGGACCTAGATTGCCCAACTCCAAGGCAGCCCCCAAGGTGCAGGTCACCCAGCAGAACCTAAGGGAAGTGGCCGCCTGGCGAGCCACCATCCAAAAGGCTGTCGATGAGGGCACCTATGTGGTAGCAGCGCCTCCACCGCAGGTGAGTAAAGGAACATTATTTTATTAAGTAGTTTTATTTAGGACTTTATTTAGTTATTATTTAGGGTTTAAAAATAAAAGGGTTACAAAAACAATACCTATACACAACGCGAAGAATTAGAGCCAGTTTTCTCTGTAGTATTGTTTTAATTATCATTATTCCGAGTTCATTTAAAAAAAATCAAGGAATGGATCTAACTTTGGGATGTCGGAGTTTATGTACCCTTGAAGTTTTAAATTAAATTATAAATTGAAACGGAAATCTATCATAAGTAAGCTTAGAATAGATATTTGTATATGACAATTTTTTTGTTAAATCAAATTTTAAAAATATCATAACTCTGCCAAAAATGAATTAATTTTATTTCGAAAAGCGTAGCTATGTTAGTTTTTCTTAGTTTTATAAATCTGCATACTCAAATTAAATGTAAAAAAAAAAACAAAATTTTTCGACAATTTTAACGATGAAACCCCTTATAAAATTATGAAAAAAATTGACAAATGTATTTTTCTGCCTGAGATGTCTAGATCGATTCGGCTGTTAATGCTGATCAAGAATATAAGTCGGAAATGAGTCCTTCACTTAGTTTTAGCCTTCTGCCTAAAATTAGAATACCATTTTTTAATCAATATTTATTTATATTTTTATACAATTTAATGGGAAAATTTATTTTAAAAATATCATAACTCAGCCAAAAATGAATTAATTTTAATTCGGAAAGCGTTCCTATGTTAGTTTTTCTTAGGTTTCTAAATCTGCATACTCAAAGTAAATTTAAAAAAAATTAAAATTTTATAATTTTTTTTGACAATTTTAACGATGAAACCCCTTATAAAATTATGAAAAAAATTGACAAATGTATTTTTCTGTCTGAGATGTCTAGATCGACTCGGCTGTTTATGCTGATCAAGAATATATATGCTTTATAGGGTCGGAAATGAGTCCTTCATTTAGTTTTAAGCTTCTGATTAAAATTATAATACCCTTGGAAGGGTATAAAATTTCTTGGTGAGCATCAACAGCCCAGTCGATCTAGCAACGTTGGAAAAGCTTGGTAAGAACTTAAAATTATACAGAGACATAAGTCCGAGGTGATTTTAAGCTTTCTTAAATATATGAATCCCAAAGTAATCCTAGTATTTCTATATCTATACTTTTGTTTTTTATATATCCTATATATACTTTTACTTATATCTTTCCCCACAGGAGGTCATAGCCAACCTTGGGGGCAGTTTTCCACCGCCCTTGCCACAGTTTTGGACACCTTTACCTATGCCAGCCTATAATTTTACCAACCCTTGGCCCAGATTTGGCTAATCCATCATGTTTCTAACTATGATAAGTTTGTTTCTTCATTTTTAACTTAATAAACTCTGGCATCAACGATCGAAGAGGTGAGGGAAACGCAGTAGCTTCGAGCCACGCCTCTTGAGGAACTGAAAGAATGCAGAGAGAAATTAGAGAAAAGACTCGACGAATTATATAGCATTTCATGGGGTTTTATTGTTTCCAAAAAATCGACAAATCAAATCGGGAGTAATAATGGGTGGTAGAGTGACTACGCTTGAAACAGTTTATAATTTACCAAATGTTACATATCGTTCTTTTGTCTTTTTTTTGTGTGTTGTGACGTCGCGATTTGTCTGTCTTTTTTTGTGTTTTCTGTACAAAACGTCTTTCTTTTAAAACATCTAAACTCTACCGAACGAAACGAACAAATACAAAAAAAAATTCTCTAAAATATATAGTATATATATAGTTAATGTTTAATGTCTTTATACTATTTAATGGGTCTTGGGGTTTTTGCAAATCAAAGTTAATTACATATAACATGTTTATATATATATAATATATGGGGGACAACAACAATTGTGTGTATGTGTATGTTCTATAACTATAACCATATACACTACCTATATATATATATATATAGTAGTGGTATATAGTGGCTACATATAGCAATATATGTATATATATTTTAGGTCTAGGCGCAATATATCAACTTGTTCATCGTTTAAAAAACACATTTCTTTCTCCTCATTCGCTGCTTTATAAGTTTTTGTTCCCTTTGCAATGAAAAATGACATATACATGCTTAAAAATGGAATAAAAAATGATTATTCAATCAGTATACCAAAAAAATGGAGAAAATAAAAATGATAATCGATCTTAAATCGACTATTTTGATACCCAGCACAGCTTCCGTATAGGATTTAAATGCAATTAAGGTATGGAATGGCTAAGCTCTTACATTACTGATACCATTTTACGCAGTTAATTAAGTGAATTTGAAGCTCTCTTAATTAATGACTTATTGAAATGATTGTGATATATATGTATAATATATAAAAACAAATTTATTTATTGGAATATAGTTACTAAAGATTTAAATCTATAATCACTTTGAAGATAAGCAGAACTGGCAGAAGGTTTTTAGATCTTAAAGATATATAACAGACGGACACAGAATGAAGAGGTGCTGAGTTGAAATACAATCAAGTTTTGTTTTTTTTTTGTGTTAAGTAAGTGTGCTTCAAGTTCAGCTTTGGGCTCAGTTAGACATTAGTTTAAGGTTTAGTTGTAGCTATAGCTTTAGCCTAAGTGGGTTGCAGTTAAGATAAGGCGATCTGCTTCAAAACCAGGAACGTAATGAAGCAGCAGAGAGGATACGCAGATGATGATCGATCGATCGGTACTATTACGAAACTAATATGGCTCTCTACGGGCTAACACAACAGGTGGTGGCTAGTCTTTATGGTTGCACGATGGGTAGTAAGTAAAATTTACTAACCACATTTAATATAATATATATATTCATATGCTGACGCCCATTCTAATCAATTTCTTATCACTTTCTCTACTCCTATACTCAATTTTGCAAAGTATATATATACTTTCTCTACAACTAAGCGACAGCTTGAAAATAGTTACAATGAAATGAATTTCGAAAATCATAGAAGTAGTGAGTAGTTACAAAGAAAAAAAAAAAAACAAAGGATTTTATGGCAATGGTAATTGTTAATACGCGAAGGTATATAATATGGAATAAATCTTCTAATTGAAATTGAAATGAATATTCAAAAGCAAGCAGCAAGGGCCTTCTAAAACGATTCCGATTGTCGCTGCTGTCCGGATGATGTTGATGACGATGTGGTGGCTACTTCTTGTTCTTGTGGCAGGGTCAGAGGCTGGTTAGGCTCAAGATGCTCCTCTAGCTGCTCCAACTGCTGTTGCTGCTCCAGCTGATGTTGCTGTTGCTGCTTCTGCTGGTGGAGATGTGCGGAATGTGCGTGGGTTCATACATTGGGTGGGTCTTACTTAGGTCTTATCTAACCTCATCGATATCCTCGCCCTCCGACGAGCTACGTATCGTGTTGTACTGCGAATTGCGGCTGCGCAGCATCCGCAGGAAGCTGCCAACGGCAAAGATGGTGCGCCGATGTCGGTGGAATATACCCTGGTATAAGGCCTCTCGTAATGTCTTCCTGTCCTCCACATCCACCGACGACGTCAGCGATGTTTGATGCGGCAAACGTGCTGTGAATAGTACGGCGATTGAGTGGAAAAGAGAGAAACGTTTTAATAATAATAAATAATAAACAATAACAAAATATAGCGATAAGAAGCCAACAATCCGGACGCAAGGTCAGATTTGCTGGCGCAAACATTAAACGATTCTATATGGAAATGAGTAAACAAAAGAGGCCAAGAGCAATCACAGTGCGTTATAGCTCCTGATAAGTCTGGTCTCGCCAAGAAAATTGGGAGAATCAAATCGGAGATAGAGACATAAACCAAGCTGTATATACAATATGTTTGCTATGAAACCAAGTTTGGTTCTAAAGTATCTACCTATTATCTATGGTTTTCAAGTAATTTCGTATATGTTTTGATATATTTTTTAACAGATTTCTTAAAGAAACTAAACTATACTCTTGAGGTTTTTTATATACAATACATTTTCTTTGAATTTCAAAGAAAACAAACCCTTAAAAACCTATTAATCAGTGTATAAATAATTTATGGTAAAATAATCATAAAGGAATGAGTACTGACCTCTTCCTTAGGGAGTTATTTTTGCAAAGAATTCCTTAGCAGCTAATAAATCATTCAAGAATATATATTTTGCATTGAAATCATTTAAAATTCTAGTTTTTTCTACTTGATTCAGAGCTGAAATTGACGCCAAATGATCTGTATTTTTATTTTATGTTGTATTTTCCAGGCCAAACTAATTAAGCCCGTTGAAAGCCGTAATGGAATTTGCCAGTCAATTGAAGCGCCTTCTCATTGATGAGTTCAATGCTATATATATACATATATATACATATATCGTATATTCTTTGTTTTCAGTTATCAATTAAATTTGAATACTTTAAAAATCAAAACCTAGACATTTTGAATTATAGAGAAATTTATAAGATAATCTAACCATTATTTGGACAAGGATTGTAAGGGTTTTCTATATCTATAAATCCTATATAGGTAGAAATCTCTAGAGATTTAGCTATAGAACTCTTATAGGATTTAAAATTATACAAAAATCTTTAGAGATTTAACAAAAAACAAAACTAGAGACTTATCAAGCAATTCCTCTAAAAGTAACCTTTTTGGCCTGATTTAATTTTTTAATTTTATGTACAGATATATAGCCTCAGTTGTGCAGAGATTCCTGTTTAAAAAATCACAAAAAATTAAAAAGGGTTTTAAAAATAAGGTTACCAAAATAAATAAACAATTCAAGCAATTTCAACATAATCCTACAAAGCTTCTTCTGTACGTTCACTCACCAGCTATAGGTGACTTGGGTGACTTGAGGGAGTATTCATCGAGATTCTTGCCACCCAAATCCAGTTTGAGGACCTTCTTGGTAAGCTGCTGTGTGGCCGCCTCCATGTTGCTGGTCTTCTCGATCTTAATGTCCACATTCCGTTGACTGACGGCACTTTTGGTGGGCACTGCCACGCCCGAAACCGATCCCATCGACGATGTGTTGGTAGCTGCTGTTGTTGAGGCTTTGATGGCATCGCTGCCGTTGCCCTTGGCCGCCGCATCCGTCATGCTAATGTTGGTATTATTATTGGCAATGTTGTCGCTAATATAGTTGGTATTGTTGTTGTCTGCCACTGGCACCGATTCCACCTGCTCCTCCTCCTCCTCCTGCTCCTGCTCTTGCTCCTCCTCCACCTGCTGGACAGTCGTTGTAGTGTTCTTCTCCTTATCAGTATGATTGTTATTGGCAACCGTTGCTTGTTGTGTACCGATGGCACTGGCCGGCGTTAATGCCGCTGGCAATTGGTCGTCGTCGTCGTAGTTCCCGATTTCGATCCCGTTCACGGTCCGGCTACCGCTTCCGCTACCGCTCCCGCTGCTGCTGCTGCTGTTTTCAACGACGTCGGCAGCGGCAACAACTACAACCATTGTTCGAGAGCGCTAGCTTCGCTAATTCGCTATTACGCTATTTATCTATTTATCTATTTATTTGTTTAGTGTTTTGGTTTTTTGGTTTCGGAATATCTATGCTTCTTTAGTCCAATTTCCGCTGACGTGCTCGCGCCTTTCAATTCGACTCCGTTCTGAGTATTCTCAGCTGAGTTGAGGCGCGCTATCGCTGACGCTGTTCGATTTAATTCGATTCAAAACGATTCCAATGCGCGGTCTCTATTCGATTCAATTTGTATTTCGATTGCTCTGCTGATTCTATGTGGCTCTCGCCTCATTGTTGGGCATCATTTGCAGGGTTATGCTGTTGCTATATAAAGCCACCTGTTGGGCCGTCGTCGAGCAATCGGTGAGCGTGATCTGTGGCAATGTTAGCTGCAGATGTTGTCTTCGGCTGCCGGTACCACCTCCGCCTCCGCCGCCGCCGCCGCCGCCTCCTCCTCCTCCTCCACCGACTCCTCCTGCTGCTGTTGTATCACCAGCAATGCTTAGGTGACTTAGGTTGTCAATAATCTCGTACAGACGTCGCTGATGAGCGGTTGTGGCCACGCTGGCTACTACACTGGCTCTTGAGGGGCCCTCTAGGCCTTCGGTTGCTTCTGTTGTAGCTGCTGCTGCTGGGGCATAGTAATCGCACATGCTATCCAGCTCCTCTAGCTCCTCCTCCTCCTCCTCCTCTGCTTCCTGCTCCTGCTCTTGCTCTTGCTCTGGCTCTTGTTCCTCTTCCACGTCCGTGTCTTGATCCTGCTGCTGCTGCTGCTCCCGCTTGACTGACCTTATGTCTACCCTAATTTCTGGATGACTTGGCCGCTTCTGATTCTCCGCCTTGCGTCGCAAACTCTTGAGCAGCGTCACCAGACGCCCGGTTAGCCTCTGGACGGGACTCTCGCTGCGCTGGGAGAGGTGGCTGAGGTCTTTGTCCAATGGCTTTATTGCATTACAACGACGCTGCTGCTGCTTGTGCTGCTGCTGCTGGCCAATCGATTGCAGATACTTGAGGTCGGCCTGTAAGCCACGCTCGTAATAGCCGCTGGCCAGCTGCAGATAAGCGTAGAAGTCCACCTGCACTTGCTCCGCTCTTCCACTCGCACCTTGTAGCTGCCGCCGTTGTGGGCTTTCCCCGCTGCTCTTATGAATATTTAGCTTATAATCGGCGTGGTCGCTGCTTTGGCTTCCTCGGAGCTCGTTGGCCAGGGCCTCATCATTGTTGCCGCTTGTGTTGCTCCGCCACGGTAAGCGATGGCGCTCTAGCTGACGCTGGACTAGGTGTCGCAGCTGCTCACAGCTATGGGCGCTCCTTATCCGACGCACTGCGTCGTTGTATGTGGCGTCAGGCGGCGGCGGTGGCGGTGGCTCACCTGTGCTGGCACTACTGCCAGTGCTAGTATCGTCGGATCTGTAATTAGTGGAGGCGGCAATTAGTCGAGAAGCAAGAAAGAACATCATGGGCAGAAAATAGAAATGGGCGACGACCAAACAAAACATTAATTACAATGGCAAATGCAAACACGTACGACAAACAAGCGGGCAAACAAGGGGAATGAGGAGGCTCAAAGACTACTTGGAACAACAACCCGTAGAATGTGGCCCGTGGTCCGTAACCCGTAACCCGTAACCCCTATCCGTGTACCCATACGCGGGGTTAATATAATTAAAAAGCCAACCAGCGGCGTTACTCCGCTTCTCAGGGGAAAAACCTGGCACTCGCCGCCTTTTTTTCGCTGCTTGTTTGCTGTTCTTATATATTTTTACCATAGATAGTGCTTTAATTTCTTGGGCACACACACACAGCTCAAATCCAGTTGATGAAATTGTCTAGTTTAGTGTTTTGAGTTATAATTGGGGATGGTTTCCCTATCCCAAATCTAAATCTCAGCCTAACGATAACTGAGGCTCATCATTATTAATAATCAATCAGAGCTTTCTTAACCTCTGCTTAATTATCTATATATTCATATTGTTATGATTAGTTAATGGATACTCTATAGAATTTAAATGAAGGTACTTTATTTTATTTAACTTGTGCAGGAGTCATTTCCGACCCTATAAATCATATATATTCTTGGTCAGCATGAACAGCCGAGTCGATCTAGACATCTCAGACAGAAAATTAAATTTTTAAATTTTTTTCTAAATTTTATAAGGGGTTTCATCGTTAAAATTGGCAAAAATTTTATAAAAATTTAGATTTTTTTTTATTTTTAAATTGAGTATGCAGATTTATAAACCTAGGAAAAACTAACATAGGACCGCTTTCCGAATTAAAATTAATGCATTTTTATCTGAGTTATGAATATTTTTAAATTTAATTTTTCCATTAAATTTTCATGTAAAAATATAATTAAATATTGATCAAAAAATTGTATTCTAATTTTAGTCAGAAGCTTAAAACTAAGTGAAGGAGTCATTTCCGACCCTATAAATCATATATATTCTTGATCAGCATAAACAGCCGAGTCGATCTAGACATCTCAGACAGAAAATTAAATTTTTCAATTTTTTTCATAATTTTATAAGTTTCATCGTGAAAATTGTCAAAAAATTTATTAAAAATTTGAATTTCTTAAAAATTCAATTTGAGTAAGCAGATTTATAAACCTAATAAAACTAACATAGGAACGCTTTCCGAATTAAAATTAATGCTTTTTGGGCTAAGTTATGAGTTTTTGAATTATTTAATTTGTCAAAAGAATTGCTCTATGAAAATATCCATAAATCCGAATATTTCAAGCTTAGTTATGATCGATATTCAATGCAATCATCCTTTAACTTATTTACAAAATGTTAAGTTATATAAACTTCTGCTTTCCTAAGTTAGTTTTCTCTATTGTTTTATATTAAAATATTACTCTTTGACTGATTATATATTTTCCATAGCCTCTGGATAAGAATTCTATTGCAGTTTGTTAATAAAAATGAACTAAACTAAAGTTGAAGTGCTCTGCTTTATTATCTCTATATTGTTTAGATAACAAAAACCATAATAAAATCATTTTGTTTTATCACTTGCCACTTAATGAGAGCATTTCCAAACTCTGGTTAACGATTTGACATTGTTAGCTATTTGTTATTTGCATTGTTTAACTGATTGGGTATATAGAAATGTTATAGGATAAGTTGTTATTTATTTAGTTAGTTAACGAGAGCTAATTATTTGTGACTATATATCATTACAATTTATTGCATTGCCTTGTGCCTCAAGTACTTATTAATTTTACTATAAATTTCAAGCTATGATTAATCACAAAACCTTTGAGATTTAGAGACTTTAATACGTGGGTTTAGGTTATTAAATGAGATTTGGTATAGAGAAACATCACAAGTTTCACTCTTATCATAGAAACTTTTAACTTTTCCCCCTCTTCCTTCCTAGTTTACAATTAATAAGTGGGTTTAGATTATTAAATGAGCTTTGGTATAGAGAAACATCACAAGTTTCACTCTTATCACAGAAACTTTTAACTTTTCCCCCTCTTCCTAGTTTACAATTAATTGAATTCGATTAAGTTGACAGGGAGAGAGGAGGATTCCATTTTCCCCCTGAAGGGTTGACATTCATAGCACCTGGATTTATTGCAGCAAACTGAAACTAAAGCACTGACGTCAGAGACAGAGTGAGTGAGTGGAGGCCATGTAACTCGAGCTGTTGCTGCTGCCGGGATGCGGCGGAAATTTCACGGCAAGTCCATGGAGAACCCAACCTATATTTATGGCAGCAACTGTCAAAAAGAGTCCACACCCCCCCACTGTACTATATACTATATACTATTACTATTACTATCTTCTGTACTACCTGGGAAAGTAGTGGCAATGGGTGGGACAGACATCGCGATACTGCGCATATTGCGACGCTAATGAGGCGGACACTCGAGATGCCTGTGAAGCGTCTCCTCCGAAATACTGGCGACGCCTTCGCCTTCGCTGACCCCGATGATGGCGCTGGTGATGGTGGGGCTGCTGGTGGTGCTGGTAAAGATGCTGCTGCATCTTATAGTCCCTGTAATGATTGGCCACCTCATGGCGATACCGTTCCGGGCGAAAGCACTTGGTGTCGTAGACCCGTTTCATGGTCAATCGGGGCATAAACTGGCCACCAGAGCCCAATGGTATGCCCTCAACGATCAGGCCATATCCGTTGGGGGGTTGGTATAATAACGATGATGATGATGCAGACGAGGATAATGATGGCCAGGATGATGAGCACATTTCAGGGGAGGAGGGAAACTTGTGACTTGACAGACAGACAAGGACAAAGGACGGGTTAATCCGCTCCTGGCCAACTTGCCCCACGGAGGCAACGAAGCAAACTACACCACGGCTTGACATTGATGGCTCCTCAGCTCTACAAGCGCCACGGGTCCCATTGTTATTGTCATTGGGATGAGCGAGCTAGAAAGGGAAGCGGAATCGGAATCGAAATGGGAATGGGAATGGGAATGATATGGGGTATGGTTATGGAGGGAAGGGAGGCCTCCTCCACCATCGATGGGTGCTTCAAATTATGTACATTTATTGAACAACCGAACAATACAAATTCTGTTGGCAACAACGGTTTTGCGGTTATTTGTTATCACGTCAGGCCACGATTTGTTTGTCGTTTTGTTGTACGACATTTTGCAATAGAATGGAGGCGGGGAAAGGGCTTCCTTTAATGCGATTCTCGCTTAGGAATCGAAGTGGGTAATACCCTGTCAGGGTAGGAGCTTGAGAAATACTAAAAGAAAGGGGTATAGCCTTTGAAAAATTAAAGGAAATATGAACACCTAAAATATCTTTGGGTAAAGAATTTATATCTTAAGCCAAAAAGTATGCAATGATATATTTCAAATACCAGGACTATTCAAAATATGTAATATTTTGGTTCTATAATTTTTTTAAGATATAAAAACCTTTTTAAGTGTTAGGATAATATGAAAAATTTAATATCTAGGCAACTGAAATGTTTCTAGTTGTAAAACCTCTTTATAAATAGCCAAAAAATAAACAATAAAATATATATTAAATACCAGGAATAATAGAATAATGTAAGCCCTACATTTTTGAAGATTTCAAAATCTTTTAAAGCTCCAAAATAATTTAAAAAATTTCATATCTATGAAATTATAATTTTTAAAATTGTAAATCCCTTAATTAAACATTATAAAGCAAACAATAAAATTTTTCCAGTACCACAAAAGTTGATAAAAATATAATGCTTCTATACAACCTAATGAAAATATCCAGAATGCATTTTATTTGAATACTTTATGTCACTTAAGTTATAAAGAAGTATATAGAAAGGATCCCACTTGCACATCCTTATCCTCTCATTCTCGTCCTTGTTCCACACCCACACCCAACCAATCAAAGCCGCTTAGCCTAAGTGGGTGTGGGTTGGCGTCTCTTTCTCTCAATAGAAAAATTAGTAGTATTCATGTCGTTAACCATTGTAACTGGTACATCTTTTGTGCACACTCCTCACTCTTTACCCCAAAGCCGCCCAATTCGGTCCAATTTGCATATTTCGGCTCACGATAAACAACGATAAAATACGGCATACAAACAATGTCGGACAAACGTAAACGTTAGTAAAAATAATTGTGGGATAGGTCTTTTTTGGTATCTCCCCTATCACTTTTAGGGTCCCATATATATATGTACCAGGTTCTATAGACGTCGACACCCCGCCATCGAACGACCACGCCCCGTAATTACAATTTTGATAGATGTACCTATATATTGATATACTTGCTGTTTTTTTTATCTCTTTCAAGTATGAGCGAAAAAAAATATATAAAAAAGCAGGGGAAATTGACGGGTTGATATTCATATAAGCAAATACAAGTACATTTATATGGAGGGAGATATAAAGATATACTCTGATATACTCCCCATTATATATAGGGGAGTATTAGTGGTATATAATATATAGAATAAATAATATAGGCAGTAAAGGAAAAGTTCTCCAAGATTTTATTTAATAACTTATAAGCTTTAAAGAATATCCTATAATATTCTTAGCTGAAAAAATTCTACTTCCTTAGAAAATATTCTAGACAGAAATGTATAAAAATTTCAACTTTATAGACCAAAATATAGTAAATAGTTTTCTGTACTCCCCCTAAAAAAATTAAATAATGTCTCATAGAATATTAAAAATTACTTTAACAGATTACTATTATATCTCACTAAATTTCCCTGGCTAAATCTATATCGAAATCCAATATAAATATTACTTTTCTTTAAGCCAAACATTATTCTATCTGGCAATTACAATCGCAGGAATGGAAATATAAATAGAAATAGAAATAGGAAGTTACAAAAAAGTCAAGTTAACACAAGGAATCTTGATTCGGAATTCAATTTGGGTCAGAGGCTCTATTAAAGTATTCCATCGATAATGCAGCCAAAAGACTGAAAGACTGAAAGACTGAACGATTGAATGATTAATTTCAATTTCTGATTACATGCCATCATGCAATCCGCAATAGAAGAATGCTGATAAAGGGGAAATTGGGAAAAGGGGGGAAAACCGATTTGAGTGAAATTAATGCGTCTGTAAAACCCAAAGCCTACAGATATACATATATGTTTGTCTGTGTGTATGTTTGGGACTCCTTGTTTGCGGCGATTTGCCATCAATCAATCAATCAACAGCTGAATCAACAGAGAACACCATCGCCACCGCTGCTCATTTTATTGGAATAAATGACGGACCAACGAACACATCCTTAACCCACAACAAGAGATACCACAAGTTGAGATACAAGATAAAAGAGATACAAAAGGAATATATTGTGTATTTTACATAATAATGTATATAGTTTATGCTGCCTTGGGTTAGATAAATCAATAAATTAAGTATTTTATAGTATTACTTATAGTCTTGCTGGGTTTTATAAAAATAGCCAGAAGTTTGAAGACGTTATTTTCGAACCAAAAAACCTCTTAACTCAGCCAAAAAAGCATTAATTTTAATTCGGGAAGCGTTCCTATGTTAGTTTTTATAAGTTTTATGAATCTGCATACTCAAATTGAATTTTAAAAAATTCTACATTTTTATAAATTTTTTGACAATTTTGACGATGAAACCCCTTATAAAATTATGAAAAAAATTGAAAAATTTAATTTTCTGTCTGAGATGTCTAGATCGACTCGGCTGTTTATGCTGATCAAGAATATGTATGATTTATAGGGTCGGAAATGACTCCTTCACTTAGTTTTAAGCTTCCGACTAAAATAAGAACACCATTTTTTAATCAATATTTATTTATATTCTTATATGACTATTTAATGGAAAAATTAGAGTTTAAAATAATCATAACTCAGCTAAAATTGCATTAATTTTAATTCGGAAAGCGGTCCTATGTTAATTTTTCTCAAATTTATAAATCTGCATACTCAAATTGAATTTTAAAAAAATTCAAAATTTTTATAAATTTTTTGCCAATTTTAACGATGAAACCCCTTATAAAATTATGAAAAAAATTAAAATTTGTATATTTCTGTCTGAGAATGCTAGATCGATTCGGCTGCTGATGCTGATCAAGAATATATATGATTTATAGGGTCGGAAATGAGTCCTTCACTTAGTTTTAAGCTTCTGACTAAATTTACAAGGGTAAAAACAAATTATAACATCGCCGTTTTTAAACATATATTCATAAACTTTGAGACATGGTAATTTTTGATTATTTAAGATATATATATAGCTTATTTATTGATAAAAATGTATTCATTTTAGCACATCTTAACAATCCAATTGCTAACTGCAAGCGTATAAAAACTTGGGCCTGGCGAAGTTAGCTTTATTTCATGTTTTTCTCTTGAAATTCAATTCAAATTGAGTTCCTAGTTTTGTATGAATCAAATAACTTTAATCCCTCAACTGAAGCCATAAAAAAGCGCATTACATTTCCAGAAGCCATAGAAAATAACACTTATTTATGAAAATAGAAACTTTTCCAGGTGGAGTAAGGTATATTTTCTAATTAAACTCGAAATTAAAGTAGAACTGTTATCAGAACTTTAATTTAACATGGCATAGAAACATGTTGCCAGCCAACTCTGTGGATAGCAACATGTTGATAACATATATGGGAAGCGCAAAATCAAGTTGGAGATATGCTGGTAAATAAATAGTAAATAAATAAAAAAAATTACTTAAAATGTAGGAGAATAACCGCATATCTAGAATATATTATTTCGTATTTGTAATAAGGTCACCTTACTTAGTTTGTATTTCCTTTTTTTTTTTAATTATCATTAAAAATTCAGTTAAGTTTAATCTTTTCAAAATATTCAACTAAAACTTCTGCAACTAGAAACAAGAATAATGATTATTTCCAAAGGGACTGCGGCAAGTGGCGTCGTCAATTAACCCTTTAAGTGATCTGTCCGCGGAAATGGGTTAATTTTCCCCAAGTTTTCCCACCGACTAATCCGCCATGCAAGTGTGTGCGTGCATGCGTGCTCGTGTGTGTGTGTGTCTGTGTGGGAAAGTTCGCGATACAAATAATTGGCGTGTGTTTATTTGCGGAGAAAGCAGAAGGGAAAAAGGAAGGAAATGGAAAGCAGGAGACAGGGCGACAGGGAAGGAGGCGCCAGCAAAAGGCGGCGAAGAAGGGAACTAAAAAAAAGAAAAAGGAAAGAAAGGCGAAATACAGGTAAGCGTCGCGCTGCGCTCGAATGTAGGCAATAGAAAAGCAACGGAGCAAAGAGGACGAGGCGAGAGCGAAGCAGCGACCGAGTTAGAGAGAGGGAGCAAGAGAACGCAGAGGCAGCTGAGAGGAGAAAGGGAGAGACGAAAGGCACTTAAATACGAGTTTTAAACCATGCACAATTAGAAACGAATGTGCGAAAGGGATACACACTCGCACACACAATCAGGCAAAAAGGTTTCTGCTCCACTTTGACACACAAAAGCCAACGGCAAGAGGCGTCTGTCTGTGTGACACACTTACAGTGCCTTATCGCACACACAGAGAGAGAGAGAGAGAGAGAGAGAGAGAGGGAGAGGAGAGAGTGGTAGAAAGGCGCACGTACGCTTTTTCACTTGTCTTGTCGGTCAATAAACCGTCAGCAGATCAACAACAAAGCAGGCAGATAAACAGGCAGCACCCCCCCTCCACTGCTTCTGCAGGCGGCAACAGGAAGCAGCACTTGCTGCATTTGCCATTGAATAATTAATGCCAGGCAAAAGGGGCAATGGGAGATACAAAATAAAGCGTATTGATTGCTTACCGCGCAGAAATGGCGAATTGTACCGCTATGTCGCTACAACAGCTGGTCGTCGTCGTCGTCGTGTCGTTCCAGCTCCTGTTGGTGTTTGTGTTGCTCTCTTGGAGTTCGCCTGCAGGTGTGCGTGTGTTTGTTTGTATGCGTATGAAGCAACTCCGCTTTGCACTTGTCTTTCACTTTCGCCTGGCAGCCATGTTTATTAACGCTAATAACACCTGTCCTGCACTCGCTTCTCGGCTACCCGCTCGGCTCATCAAGTCTTAGTTTGAATGTTTTTCTCCGTTCTATTTCTCGGCTGGTTAAATGCGTTTGATTGTTTTCGTTTGATTCTTGGCTGTCGTTATGTTAGGTGTGCCCGTCTCCACGACCGTTCAAATATGCCGAGAGATTTTTAAAAATTCACTAACGCCAGGCGGATGTTGGTATTTTTGTGCAGTGCGGGCCAAATACTAAACGCCCTCGTGCCGCGTCACAGAATTTGGTATTTTGCTATTGTCAACCAAATAGTATTCGTCAACTGTCAAACTGCTGCCACACTGAAGCAAATCGAAGCCGCATTGCAAAAAGAATTATTTATTAATTATTTAAGCGGCCCGCAGCGAGGCCTTTAAACTGAAAAAGTCAACCGGGTAGGAGCAACATTCAACCGCAGGCTTCACAGGCAGAAAAAGATCGAGTCGGTATCGGGCAGACGGTGAGAGAAGCAGCAAAGGGCGGCCCGGAAAACGCCGGCAAAACAAGAAAATGACGTCGGCAAAGGATTTAATTAAAATTGACATAGTAGGTTCATTGATTAGTTCCAGTTAATGTGACAGCCACTAACATATTCCGATATTCGTACACAGGAATGGGGCATGGAGCGCTTGGTGCGGGCCCAACAGGTTGTGGAGCTGCGTCCCTACGACATCGAGTCGTGGTCCGTGATGCTTCGCGAGGCCCAGACACGTCCCATCCACGAGGTGCGCAGTCTGTACGAGTCCCTAGTGAATGTCTTCCCCACCACGGCTCGCTACTGGAAGCTATACATCGAGATGGAGATGCGCAGCCGTTACTATGAGCGTGTGGAGAAGCTATTCCAGCGTTGTCTGGTCAAGATCTTGAACATTGATCTATGGAAGCTCTACCTTACCTATGTGAAGGACACCAAGTCGGGACTGAGCACGCACAAGTGAGTGAGAGAAGGGATAATGATGATGTTTCCATTACTTACCTGATTTTCCTTCGGCAGAGAAAAGATGGCCCAAGCGTATGACTTTGCTTTGGAGAAGATCGGCATGGATCTGCACTCGTTTAGCATCTGGCAGGACTACATCTACTTTCTGCGCGGCGTTGAAGCCGTTGGTAACTATGCAGAGAACCAAAAGATCACCGCCGTTCGTCGTGTCTATCAGAAGGCCGTGGTGACGCCCATTGTAGGCATTGAGCAGCTGTGGAAGGACTACATTGCCTTTGAGCAGAACATCAATCCCATCATATCCGAAAAGATGAGTCTGGAGCGATCCAAGTGAGTTGCCCAATAACATAGTTTCTCTGCCATTTAAAAAACTAATTGCTTTACCATCTCCTTCCTACAGGGACTACATGAACGCCCGTCGTGTGGCCAAGGAGCTGGAATATCACACAAAGGGCCTTAATAGAAATTTGCCAGCTGTGCCGCCCACACTTACTCGTGAGGAGATCAAGCAGGTGGAGCTCTGGAAGCGCTTCATTACCTACGAGAAGTCCAATCCTTTGCGCACCGAAGATACTGCTTTGGTGACGCGCCGCGTCATGTTCGCCACAGAGCAGTGCCTGCTGGTGCTCACCCATCATCCGGCCGTGTGGCATCAGGCCTCCCAGTTTCTGGACACAAGTGCTCGCGTCCTCACCGAGAAAGGCGTGCGTGTTAAACCTACAAACGTCCATGTTTACGTTCAAACAAATAATAGAGTGGATTTTTGGCCTTTGCCCGCCGGCTTTTGTTGTTGGCTGTGGCGGAGGTCAAGATCAAAAACGAAATCAAATACCGAGTCTCTTGTTCGCTGAGAAGTGCCGCCTCTCGGGTAAGGGGGCACGCAGCGAAAGAGGACGAGAAGATATTAGCTACAGAGGAGTCACTGCTTGCCCCATTGCCCTTGCCTCAGGCCGCACGTGTTTTACTCTTAATTTTATGATAATTTTAAAGTGTTTATAAGCTTCTAATTTATGTATAAACATTTTCTTCCCCCACAGGATGTCCAGGCAGCCAAGATTTTCGCCGATGAATGCGCCAATATACTGGAACGCTCGATCAACGGTGTGCTCAATCGCAATGCCCTGCTGTACTTTGCCTATGCTGACTTTGAGGAAGGCCGCCTCAAGTACGAGAAGGTGCACTCCATGTACAACAAGCTGCTCCAGCTTCCCGATATTGATCCCACGCTGGTAAGCACATAGAAATACCTTCACTTCATTTGCTTTTGGTTGAGAGTTGTGAGTACTTATTCAATATTCTTTCGATTCTAGGTCTATGTTCAGTATATGAAGTTTGCCCGCCGTGCCGAGGGCATTAAATCCGCTCGTGGCATCTTCAAGAAGGCCCGCGAGGATGTCCGTTCTCGTTACCACATCTTTGTGGCCGCCGCTCTCATGGAGTACTACTGTTCCAAGGACAAGGAGATCGCCTTCCGTATCTTTGAGCTGGGTCTGAAGCGTTTCGGCGGCAGTCCCGAGTATGTGATGTGTTATATTGACTATCTGTCGCATCTGAACGAGGATAATAACACACGAGTGCTGTTTGAGCGCGTGCTCAGCTCTGGTGGTCTGTCGCCACACAAGAGTGTTGAGGTGTGGAACCGTTTCCTCGAGTTCGAGTCCAATATCGGCGATCTGTCCAGCATCGTCAAGGTGGAGCGTCGTCGCAGTGCCATCTTTGAGAACGTAAGTTGTCTAAGAATAGCTTTAGCTGAAAGGCAACTAAATAGTAATGTGGTTACAGCTCAAGGAATACGAGGGCAAGGAGACCGCCCAACTGGTGGATCGCTACAAGTTCCTGGACCTCTATCCATGCACCAGCACGGAGCTCAAGTCCATAGGCTATGCTGAGGTGGGTTTTGTGCCATTATAGCAAGGAACTATTAATAATTTCTCCTTCTGTCTCTCCCAGAATGTGGGTATTATACTGAACAAGGTTGGCGGTGGCGCCCACAGTCAAAATAATGGGGATGCCGAGACTGATGGCGAGGCTGCGCCACCACTGCCGCGTCCCGATTTCTCGCAAATGATTCCGTACAAACCACGGCCCTGCGCTCATCCCGGTGCTCATCCTCTGGCCGGCGGTGTCTTCCCCCAGCCACCTGCGCTGGCTGCCCTCTGTGGCATTCTGCCGCCGCCCAATTCCTTCCGCGGACCCTTTGTCAGCGTGGAGCTGCTATTCGACATCTTTATGCGTCTCAATCTGCCCGAATGTGAGTGCAAGTAGCTCTTAATCCTTTAATTGAACTGAACTCTAACCTTTCTCTTTGTGACTTACAGCTGCACCACAACCGAATGGCGATAATGACCTGACACCGAAGATCTTCGATTTGGCCAAATCCGTGCACTGGATCGTGGACACCAGCACATATACGGGGGTGCAGCACAGTGTAACCGCCGTCCCGCCGCGAAGACGCCGTCTCATGCCCGGTGGTGATGATAGTGACGATGACCTACAGACCTCTGTGCCGCCCACCCATGATATTTACCGCCTGCGCCAGCTGAAGCGCTTCGCCAAGTCCAACTAAGGATCTGCATGATTTCCAATAACATTTTTATTTTTTGTTTTTCTGTTTTTTTTTTTACAATGCATTTAAACAAAAGAAAAATACACGGAAGAGAAGACAGAATTTGTATGCCTTGTGGACTTAAAGCTTAATTTTTGAGGGCAGAATGACTTTAATAACAATTTAGTTTATAAATTTCGTTAGTGTTTAGCGTTTAGTTTGTAAATACTGGGAAAATTGAATTTAAATATAATTGATAGAGTTTAAATATTTAATGTAAATATCGTTCGTTTATATTGCAATAATCTCCCAAGTATAAGAAAATAACGATATATTAACTAAACTAAATTAATAAAAACAAAAACTAATTATTTAAACAGATGCTTTAAATTGCATTAACATTTTGCGCAGAAGTCCAGTGGCCTCTCTTATGCGCCAAGATTACATTCTTTAAATGCTTTACAGTTACCAGAGAGCATGTTATGATTAACCAATTATTTACGAATTGTTTAAATAAACTTTTTTTTAGTCCACAGTAACCAAGAAGGCTATTTAGCAATTTAATTAATTGTGTTATTTTGGTACAAACTAGTATTCTGTTTTAAATATAATACCAAAAGAAAGAACTATACAACTCACCAAAAATACTAAATGCAAAATAGTATTTCTCAGTATATGCTGCATTTTCTCTTCCATAATGCAACCATTCATTCAAGGTGGTCTCATAGTGAGAGGTTCTCAATATTGTTGTTGTCCTCTCTTTCTAGTTCATGATGTTTTTGAGAGCGTATGAAGAAAGCTTCTCAACCAATGTTGATGAAACCACCTTACTTATATATACATGTTGCATTAAGCTCTGTCCCTTTCTAGCATTTGCATTTCTCACAAAACAAAACAAAAATGGCTGCTGTGATTTTGCAAGATGCTGCTGTGTAAAAAAACACTATTAAACTATTACTAATAACTGTGAGTATTTGAAAGAAGTTCCAACACTAATTAACTAACTAATTCAAAGAAAATACAAAACAGGAGGACACCGGCTACTCCTCGATTACCTCAGCTGGCAGACAGCGTCGTCGGTGCTTGTAGAGGCCGGCATATTGGGCGAATCGCTTGCCACAGCCGGTGCAGGCATACCGCTTCTCGCTGCGATGGAGGTTGAGGTGGGCGTAATAGGCACTGCCCACCACAAAGGCCCGGGAGCAGTACGGACACACCTTGTCCCGGATGTTGAGGTGAGCCCGCAAATGTCGATCCCGCTCGTGGGCGGTGTAGAAGGCCTTGTCGCATCGATTGCAGGGAAAGTCACGCTGGTTCCTGTGCCGCTTGACATGCTGGTTCAACTTGCTGGCATTCACGAAGCCGCGGGCACAGTGCTCACAGACGTAGGGCAGCTCCTTGGTGTGACTGCGCTGGTGGACGCGCAGGGCCGTCGAGCTGAAGAACTTCTTGGGACAGTCATTGCAGATGTGGCTGCGCTGGCCGAGATGCCGACGCAGATGGGCGAGTAAACTGTTTCGCAGCGAGAACTTCAGGCCGCAAATGTGGCATACGTTGGCCAGCTCCAACGCCTCCTCCTGCTGCATCTCCTGCAGCTCTTTGGATCCCTTAGCCTTGCGCCGCCGCATGTAGCGAAACTCGCCGTCCAGGGACTTCTCAACATCGGCATGGACATTCCGTTCGTGCTGCAAGTAGTCTGTGCGCCGTTTGAACGAAGCTGGACATCTGGGACACTGGAAGGGGGCCACATGCAGCTCAAGGAAACGCAGCGGCTCATAGTACTCGTAGCTGGGCTTCCAGGGCTCCGATTTCTTCAGCGCCTCCATGCGGGCCTCCTTGCAGTGACGATACTGGCACCGGAACTCGATCAAGCGACTCTTGAGCCGCTCCACGGTGACCTGCAGGTTGCTCTCCTCCTGCAGTCGAGTGCACAGGGACTCCAGCTGCCTCTGCCGTTGACGGCGCTTCGTGTAATCGGGATGATCGGTGCACCAGAGCTGCGGATAACTCTGGTAAACGGATATGATCTTCAGGTTGCTGTCCCGGTGATTCAGGCCCTTCTGCATTTCACTGCTCACGGGTAGGACGTCGTCGAGGAAGGCAAATTCCAGGTAAAAGTTCCACTTACTGCTCTTATCCTTTGATTCCTTTTCCTCCTCTGAAGGCTGCTGCTGCTGCTCCTGAGGCTGCTTCTCCTCCATTCTCCGTTGCCTCTCCTTGCGATAGTATTTCGTGTGGTCCGTGACCTTGCGGTGCAACAACTGCCAGCTGTACTTTTGTCCCGTCTTGGTGTTCAGCTCCTTGGTGATGGCCTGCCAGGCCAGGCGACGCTGCTTACGGCCATGGTAGTCCAGGTGATTGGGGTCCCATAAGCAGACGTGGTTGCGGTACAGTTCGATTAGTTCCTGGGTGTGTTGAATGCTCAAACGAAGACGTTGTCTTCCGCCGGGTGATGCCTCGCTTTCGGGAACATCCCCACTGGAATTCAGTTGCAGCTCGCAGGGATCTTCGAGCTGGGCAGCAGCGCAGGCCTCGGCTAAGCTGGGCAGTTCGGGACCAGCATCGGTGTCCTCTTTTTCTTTGGGGTCCTTCTGATCCCTAGGAGGGGGCTCTGTCTCCTCGGACTTCCTTGGGGACTCCTCTGTCTCGGTTGGGGCAGCCTCTTTATCTACGTCCTTTAAAACCTCAGTCAATACTTTGTCAAGCTGATTCTTTAACTGATTCTTTTGATTAATATCCAGTTTTTTGTCCTCTTTTTCGCCCTGCTCCTGGATCTCTGCGCTCACGCTCCGCCTCACCTCGCAGCTGTTCTGGACATGATTCTGATGGCCCGTCAGATTCTCAAAGATCTTGCCGCAGACGGCACACACATACGGATCGATGTGTTTGTGCAGGAACTCCATCTCAGTGTAGTGTTCGAATCCTGAGACGAACTCCGCCTGCTTGCCCTCGACCACACTGTGCAGATAGCTGATCTTCTCGAGGCGATACCGCTTACGCAGCGACTGCAGGCGTCTCTGGATGACCACCGGCGACAGGCTAATACCGGAAAGCTGCAACGCCAACTGAAGGCCAATGTGGGCCTCATGTCTCTGACGCACAGTCTCCGGGCAACGGATTCGCTTGTGGGCATTATGCCAGAGGATCGGATAGTGCTCATACAGCTGCAGCAGTCGACGGTTCTCGCGGGCATAGTGACGCTGGCGCTTTAGCAGCGATTGCTGTTCGCACAGGAAACTCAGCTGATCGAAATGCACAAACTTTGCGGCATCATCCAGTTCGCCGTCGGCCTCAAGGCGTTCCCGTTGCTTTAAGAACCGCTGACAGAGTGTGGACACACGAATCCGGACGTCCGTTACGCTGAAGCTGCGTCCACAGTAGCCGCTCCACCCTTCGGTAATGCGTCGCCAGGATTCGCGACAGAGCTCCATGTCGTGGAACTCAGCGTGCGTTTGGTTCCAAAGACGCGGCTCTGAGCGGTACAGATCGATCAGGCGATGGATATGCTGGGTGGTCAGGCGCTGACCCTCGGGAACCGGTGATGCATCCTGGATGGATAAGTGGAGGGGTAAGAAATTAGCTTAAGGAAAAAGGGATCCATTCCACTTACCTGAAGGCTAACAGCTGGCAAGGGAATGGATACCGATGAAGACACTACAGATTCTCCCGTTTCTTCTGCCGCTTTTCCGGTCTTTCCAGCAGCCTCCTCGACATCATCTAAGACTACATCCTCATCCGGATCGGCGGTCTCATTAATTTCCTCCGCAACCTCAACAGCTCCGCCACCTTCTTCCACCTGCTGCCCCTCCTCAATGGCATTTAGTTGCAACACTAGGAGCTGCTTAAGTTCATTATCTTCGCCACTGATCCGCTGTTCGGCCAGCACCTCCTGCATGAGTTCATCCTCGGGTATGGCCACCGAACCGACCCCATCCGTGGATGTAACGGTCACCGGATCCTGCCAGTCGGAGTGCCACACGTCCATGTGCTCAGGGAACTCGGAGAGGGCGCATAGTGGTCGCTCTTCGCACAGGGAGCACTCGATGGCATAGAGCTCGCCGGCACAGTTCCAGGTGTAAACGCTGCCGCATAGCTGACGCATCATTGGACCTCCAACGACCTGTGGGTAAGAAATCGGGAAATGCTTTTCTAAATCTATCTAATATGAGCTTTCTATATTTTCCATTCATTCTATTTGTACACTTTTACTAGACATTACATGAACTTTAACATTTTTTAATATTTTAAAATTTAATGATTATATTTTGTATTTTTGTATCTATTACCCTTCTTCATTTAGAGTCATTAATTTATTAAAAACGTTGATACTTTTCGTTGAAATTGTAAAGTAAGAACAATTTATTATTGAACATGTTATTACGTAAATACTTTTTCAAAAATATATAATTTAAAATTAAAATTTCCTGCTTAGAATCAGTTTTAAGCGAAGAACTTGTACATACACTCTTTAAAAGCTCTTCAAAACAATAATAACTACACTTTCGCTTGTCAAATCACAATCTTTGAGTACAAGACTTGTTTGGTAATGTAAAAAATGTCTTAACAATTACAAATTACGTATTACAACACAAACAAACTGTATTATAATTGATTCCTATTGTTTTCTCTATGCATTTCAGTTTTCTTAGTATGCAATGGAATACTTCCAGTTTGTGGAATCTGGAACTGCAGCATACATACATACATATGTAGATACATACATACAATTTTGGAGAAGCATCTTGTCTATTCTTAATCTCACCTATGGGTCACCTGTGTTGTGGTGGCCCTCGTTGTTCCTTCTATAATTGCTATTGTTGTTCTTGTTTTCGTGGGTGGTTTCACTTTTTAAGCCGCCCGTAAAGCGCGAAAGGAAAAAATAACAAAACAGCAAAACGATAACAACAACAACAAAATAGCGCAGCAAAAAAATATATACGGTAATAGCGAAAAGAGCAAACGCAACGCGACGCAACGAAACGCGCCAAGTGTAATCCCCGAGCTGAAACAAACTGCGGCTGCGCAGCGACTTGCCTATTTCTTTTCTCTTTGCCTCTTGCGGCGCTGGCTGGCTAACTGGCGAGTTGAGTTGAGTTGGATCGCGCGAGTTGAATTGACTTTTGAGTTGGTGGAGTTCGTTCAGGTGAAAATGAAAATGCCAAGCAGCCGCAGCCGAAGGAAAATATGAAGACGAAGAAGCGAAGCAAAGAGCAGGGGCATTAAACTGGCTGGAACCCGGCGCATAAAGTAAAGTAACAACAATGGCATTCACACACACACACACACACACGCACACACACACAAATACTCACTCACACACTGATCGCTCATCCCGTTTGAGCCACTCTTCGTTTGACCAGTGGGCGCCTAACAGGTAATCGCAGAGGCTTAGCCAGGTGTAGAGCAAAGGGGTTTCTTATTTTTCTATACTATATGGAGATTTTCTATATATCCCCTATATTACTTTAATTGTGGCTACGCCTTTGATTGAGTTGTTTTCTTATTCCTTCCAGTGCTGGGACAATTATGAGCAGCCAACAAATAATAGCGAAAATCTAGCACCTTTTCATTTTTATTTTTTGTCTAGTCATGTGAAACGAGGTTTGCACAGAAATCAGCTACTTCACACGCTGGCTTAGCTGAAGCCGGGCTTTCAAAGAATGGGGCTAAGCCCTCCTCTACATAGGCACAATTCAATTATATTTGCCCACCAAGCCCCATCAATCATCGATTTCGGCACCGCTGTGTTTATTAACTCGTTAATGAGGCAAAATAAAAAAAGAAAGAAAATTAAAACCGCAGCTCCTGGGTAAAAATTATTTGCACAAATTGGGATTCCCTTTTTTTGCGGTGAAAATAGTTGAAATACCAGCTCCAACAAATTTCTCCAGACACAGGAGGTAACGGGTTTTCCATAGGCGTAGTCAAAATAATAAAGCCAAATTTTTAAAATGCTTTAAAAAAAATAAAAAAAACTGCAATGGTTTAATGTTGTTAAACATGTATAATTATATTTAATTTAATATTTATTGATAAATGGAATAAATTATTATTATTATATTAATTATATCTGATTAATTTTGTTTAGTTTATTTTATTAAAGTGTGGTTTACCTGCAAGACTGAAGTGTTAAAATGTTTGACTTGTTTTTATTTTAATTTATATTAATTTATTAATTGGTTTTGAAACTAAGATTGACTCAGAAGCATATATTTCTAGCCGCCAGGGCCTTCAACTATCGTATTAAAATATTTTTTAATTTTATTTTTACAATATTCACATTTAAATCATTTCATTTAACTGTATTAAATTTAATTTTTATTATATTTCCATTAAGTGGGAATAAATGAATATTATTAAATTAATTATTTCTGATTAATTTTAATAAGTTTATTTTATTAACGTGTTATTTACCTGCAAGACTGAAGTGTATATTTTAGTTATTATTTTTTTAATTTATATTATTTTATTAATTGTTTTTGAAACTTAGATTGAGTCAGAAGTTTATATTTCTACCCGACAGGGCCTTCAACTATCGTATTAAAATATTTTGTAATTTTATTTTTACAATATTCACATTAAAATCATTTCATTTAACTTTATTTAATTTAATTTTTATTATATTTTCATTAAGTCCCACTTAAATAAATGAATATTATTATATTAATTATTTCTTATTAATTTTAATTAGTTTTTTTAATTAAAGTGTTGTTTACCTACGAGACTGAAGTGTTAAAATATTTCTGCTACTTTAATATTAATTAATATTATTTTATTAATTATTTTTGAAACTGAGATTGACTCAGAAGCTTATACTTCTAGCCGACAGTGCCTTCAACTATCGTATTAAAATATTTTGTAATTTTATTTTTACAATATTCACATTTAAGTCATTTCTATGTTTTAAGAACAAAGGAAATAAATTAAACTAATAAATAGTTATAAGATATGACTCAAATATAACGGTTTTATGTTATGATTATATTTTGTGATCTAAAAAATATCGATAGTTGGTAAAACTTATCGAGGGTTTTCCATCTCTGTCGCTTACCGGTAACCCGGCGAACGGTCACACTTGCCATCTCCCTTTCACCTAGTTTTGGACACATAATTAATCCGGCGACACCCACTACCCACTGCCCTCCAGTGAGACCCATCCCAGCCAGCCAGTGGCCAGTCAGTCCACTCCGTTGCCAAGACAGCAGACCACAGTGCAGCGGCATCAGTTGCAGTAGCAGAAGGGAGGCGTAAGCAGCGGCAAACACTCAACCCGAAGAGATGGCGCTGCCCTCAATCTCAACGATGCTGGGCGTGGCATTCCTGGCCTACATCCTGCACTCCATCTACCAGATGTCGCAGCTCTTCACGACGCTGCAGTGCAGCGATTTGCCCTGCTACACCTCCTTCCTGGCGGAGCGGCCGCGCCTCCAGCTGGCCCTGTTCTCCTCGCTCAGCCGCAATCCCATCGCCTCCGAGGTGCGGGATCTGTACAAGGCGGAGCGGTTCGACTACCACGAGAACTTTGCCCATGACTTTGAAGTGGAGATCCCACTGAAGACGCGACGCAATGGCTCGCTCTATTTCCATGTGGTGTTGGCGTTGGAGGGAGAGCCCCTGGAGTGGCGGAGCCTGCGGCGCGATGGTCCCACCGTGGTGCACACGCTCAGCTTGACGGACTACATGGTGCCCAAGGCGGAGGCCTTTAATCTGTTGGGAGAATCGTCGGCCACCAACGAGAAATCTAAGACGAAGGGCGGTACTGGTGTTCCTGCTGAGAATAAGGCTAAGGCTAAGCCCAGTGGTCGTCCTAGCACCCACATCCGCTCAAATGTGTATGTAACCCTGCTCACCGATATGTTTTCCGTTTCGCAAGAAGATGTCCCACCGGAACTGGCGCCCCTAATACGTGTGAATCGAATGCAACAGATCCTGCCGATCCTGCAAACGGATACGTTCAACACGCGCCTCAAGGACCTAGTGCCAGTGACCCGTAACACCACCGAGTTTACATTCAGCTTCCACTACAAGCCTATCGGCGTCGGAAAGCTCCGGTTGATGCTGCTCATGGAGCACGCCACGCAAGCACTGCTGACCATTGGATTTGCCACCAAGGACATTGATGAGGTCAAGGGTGTGTTCTCCGATACCAATGTCTACCTGCTGTGCGGTACCATCTTCGTCTCGAGCATTCATGTGAGTAGACAAGTGGATTTGATGCCTTTAGCTTGTGACTATAATTTCCCCCCTTTCCCTAGATGCTCTTCGATTTCCTGAGCTTTAAGAACGACGTGGCCTTCTGGCGCAAGAAGCAGTCGTACGAGGGTCTGTCCAGCCGCACCACCATGTGGAGGGCCTTCTCCGAGATCGTCATCTTTCTGTATCTGCTGGACGAGCACACATCGTATCTGGTACTGGTCCCCGTCGGCCTGGGCACCCTCATCGAGCTGTGGAAGTGTAAGAAAATTATGCGTTTCAGTTTTAGCGGATTGATTGGACGCAGGCTGGACGAAGTGGATCGAAGGAATGGCAAGGAGCCAGAGTCACCGTCGTCATCGGTGGCCGAGCAGCAAACGAATCACTTCGATCGCGAGGGCATGCGGTATCTGAGCTATCTGCTGTATCCCCTGTGCCTGGGCGGAGCCGTTTACTCGCTGATCTATCAGCCGCACCGCTCGTGGTACTCCTGGACGGTCAACTCGCTGGTCAATGGTGTCTATGCCTTTGGCTTCCTGTTCATGCTGCCGCAGCTGTTCGTCAACTACAAGCTCAAGTCGGTGGCCGCTCTGCCGTGGCGTGCGTTTATGTACAAGGCGTTCAATACGTTCATTGATGACTTCTTTGCCTTCATCATCACCATGCCGACGGCACACAGAGTGGCATGTTTGCGCGACGATATTGTGTTCATTATTTACCTGTATCAGCGCTGGCTGTATCCGGTGGACAAGAGCCGTCTGGACACGGGCATGCATATGGAGCAGACATCGCAGGAGGCGACGGCGGCCAGCAATCGGAAGAAGCGAAATTAGGCTTAGCAGAGGCACAAGATAACTTACATACCATTCCGTCTATAGGCCCCCAGCATGCCCAAGTCATTCCACGATCTGATATTATATGTTTGTATGCTGAACCCTAAAGATCTCGAAGTTTGAAGACCCATGTCCCAGGAAAATGCAGCCAAAAGGTGATTTAAAGTGGTTCTTAAAGCCAGAAAAATCTTTAATGCTGGCAAAAACCTATTTTTTAAGTAAAAATTAAATTCAACTTGGCTGATAATTCTCTGCCAAAGTTAACGAAGGTCATAAGGTTACAGCCTGTTGACTGTTTTATGTAAAAATGTTAAAAAAGAAACGAGTTAATTGAGTTAAATCAACGGGTATAATATAATTTTTATTATTTTTATATTACTAAACGTTTAGTTTGCAATTAATTTGATAATTTTAGAGTTTTAAAAGAGCCCTGTCATAGAAAAATTGTAATTTTATAACATATAATTGTATAATTTGATTTTTATATTAAAGAAAAGCTGTCACAGTTCATAGATAAGCCCCTATAACCATGTTTAATGTAAACTATTTAATGAAACTAAGAAACAGAGCAGGAAAAGAAAAAGTTAACAGGCATTTAATAACCGATTTAGGAGCAATAAAGGCTAAAATAATTAATAATTTATTAAGTATTTTAAAACAAAAGCAATAGAATTTAGAAAACCCTACAAAGCAACAGAAACTATCATATAACACCGAAATCTGCTCAATTTTTGATATAAATAATAAGATATTAAAAAAAAAACTCCGGATATTAATTTTTATATATTTTACATAATTATCTATTTGCAAACAAAGATAATAAATAAAATACTTAAACATCATTATAAACAGAAAGTGATCCCAACCGAAAAAAAGGAATAAACCATTATAATACCTTAAAGAAATTAATTTTACATTTTAATGAGCATGCAAAAATTAACTATAAGTTTTTAATTCATAACTATATATGTTTTATGACTTAAAATTCTGTAAAAAACTAAGCTCAATGTTCAATGTCTTAAAATAAATGTAGTATGCAGGCGAAAATGTATTATTTGTTTATAAAAAAATAAATTTTAGCAAGAAAGGAAGTTAATGTACCCTTGCAGTAAGAGGATCGAATCGGAATTCGATCATAAATAAGCTTAAAATATTTTTTAAATTGGCATTTTTATAAAAAAGTTTTTCCAGAAACCAAAGTTTAAAACACTCATAACTAAGCCAAAAATGCCTTAATTTTAATTCGGAAAACGGCCTCGTGTTAGTTTTTATTGGGTTAATAAATCTGCATACTCAAATTTTAGTTTTAAAAGATTTAAAATTTTATCAAATTTTGACAATTTTAACGATGTAACCCCTTATAAAATTTGCAAAATTTTGAAAACGTTAGATTTTCGCCGAACCTAGCTAGATCGGTTCGGCTGGTGATGCTGATCAAGAATATATATGGTTTATAGGGTCGGAAGTGACTCCGAAACATTTTGACGAAATAAATCCTTAAAAAAATTGCAAAACCAAAGTTTAAGACACTCATAACTCAGCCAAAAATGCTTTAATTTTAATTTGGAAAACGGTCTCATGCTAGTTTTTATTGGGTTAATAAATCTGCATACTCAAATTTTAGTTTTAAAAGATTTAAAATTTTATCAAATTTTGACAATTTTAACGATGTAACCCCTTATAAAATTTGCAAAATTTTGAAAACGTTAGATTTTCGCCGAACCTAGCTAGATCGGTTCGGCTGGTGATGCTGATCAAGAATATATATGGTTTATAGGGTCGGAAGTGACTCCGAAACATTTTGACGATATAAATCCTTAAAAAAATTGCAAAACCAAAGTTTAAAACACTCATAACTCAGCCAAAAATGCTTTAATTTTAATTCGGAAAACGGCCTCATGTTAGTTTTTATTGGGTTAATAAATCTGCATACTCAAATTTTAGTTTTAGAAGATTTAAAATTTTATCAATTTTTGACAATTTTAACGATGTAACCCCTTATAAAATTTGCAAAATTTTGAAAACGTTAGATTTTCGCCGAACCTAGCTAGATCGGTTCGGCTGGTGATGCTGATCAAGAATATATATGGTTTATGGGGTCGGAAGTGACTCCGAAACATTTTGACGAAATAAATCCTTAAAAAAATTGCAAAACCAAAGTTTAAAACACTCATAACTCAGCCAAAAATGCCTTAATTTTAATTCGGAAAACGGTCTCATGTTAGTTTTTATTGGGTTAATAAATCTGCATACTCAAATTTTAGTTTTAGAAGATTTAAAATTTTATCAATTTTTGACAATTTTAACGATGTAACCCCTTATAAAATTTGCAAAATTTTGAAAACGTTAGATTTTCGCCGAACCTAGCTAGATCGGTTCGGCTGGTGATGCTGATCAAGAATATATATGGTTTATAGGGTCGGAAGTGACTCCGAAACATTTTGACGATATAAATCCTTAAAAAAATTGCAAAACCAAAGTTTAAAACACTCATAACTCAGCCAAAAATGCCTTAATTTTAATTCGGAAAACGGTCTCATGTTAGTTTTTATTGGGTTAATAAATCTACATACTCAAATTTTAGTTTTAAAAGATTTAAAATTTTATCAAATTTTGACAATTTTAACGATGTAACCCCTTATAAAATTTGCAAAATTTTGAAAACGTTAGATTTTCGCCGAACCTAGCTAGATCGGTTCGGCTGGTGATGCTGATCAAGAATATATATGGTTTATAGGGTCGGAAGTGACTCCGAAACATTTTGACGAAATAAATCCTTAAAAAAATTGCAAAACCAAAGTTTAAAACACTCATAACTCAGCCAAAAATGCCTTAATTTTAATTCGGAAAACGGTCTCATGTTAGTTTTTATTGGGTTAATAAATCTGCATACTCAAATTTTAGTTTTAGAAGATTTAAAATTTTATCAATTTTTGACAATTTTAACGATGTAACCCCTTATAAAATTTGCAAAATTTTGAAAACGTTAGATTTTCGCGGAACCTAGCTAGATCGGTTCGGCTGCTGATGCTGATCAAGAATATATATGGTTTATGGGGTCGGAAGTGACTCCGAAACATTTTGAGGATATAAATCCTTAAAAAATTTGCAAAACCAAAGTTTAAAACACTCATAACTAAGCCAAAAATGCCTTAATTTTAATTTGGAAAACGGCCTCGTGTTAGTTTTTATTGGGTTAATAAATCTGCATACTCAAATTTTAGTTTTAAAAGATTTAAAATTTTATCAAATTTTGACAATTTTAACGATGTAACCCCTTATAAAATTTGCAAAATTTTGAAGACGTTAGATTTTCGCCGAACCTAGCTAGATCGGTTCGGATGGTGATGCTGATCAAGAATATATATGGTTTATAGGGTCGGAAGTGACTCCGAAACATTTTGAGGATATAAATCCTTAAAAAATTTGCAAAACCAAAGTTTAAAACACTCATAACTCAGCCAAAAATGCCTTAATTTTAATTCGGAAAACGGTCTCATGTTAGTTTTTATTGGGTTAATAAATCTACATACTCAAATTTTAGTTTTAAAAGATTTAAAATTTTATCAAATTTTGACAATTTTAACGATGTAACCCCTTATAAAATTTGCAAAATTTTGAAAACGTTAGATTTTCGCCGAACCTAGCTAGATCGGTTCGGCTGGTGATGCTGATCAAGAATATATATGGTTTATAGGGTCGGAAGTGACTCCGAAACATTTTGACGAAATAAATCCTTAAAAAAATTGCAAAACCAAAGTTTAAAACACTCATAACTCAGCCAAAAATGCCTTAATTTTAATTCGGAAAACGGTCTCATGTTAGTTTTTATTGGGTTAATAAATCTGCATACTCAAATTTTAGTTTTAGAAGATTTAAAATTTTATCAATTTTTGACAATTTTAACGATGTAACCCCTTATAAAATTTGCAAAATTTTGAAAACGTTAGATTTTCGCCGAACCTAGCTAGATCGGTTCGGCTGGTGATGCTGATCAAGAATATATATGGTTTATAGGGTCGGAAGTGACTCCGAAACATTTTGACGATATAAATCCTTAAAAAAATTGCAAAACCAAAGTTTAAAACACTCATAACTCAGCCAAAAATGCCTTAATTTTAATTCGGAAAACGGTCTCATGTTAGTTTTTATTGGGTTAATAAATCTGCATACTCAAATTTTAGTTTTAGAAGATTTAAAATTTTATCAATTTTTGACAATTTTAACGATGTAACCCCTTATAAAATTTGCAAAATTTTGAAAACGTTAGATTTTCGCGGAACCTAGCTAGATCGGTTCGGCTGCTGATGCTGATCAAGAATATATATGGTTTATGGGGTCGGAAGTGACTCCGAAACATTTTGAGGATATAAATCCTTAAAAAATTTGCAAAACCAAAGTTTAAAACACTCATAACTAAGCCAAAAATGCCTTAATTTTAATTTGGAAAACGGCCTCGTGTTAGTTTTTATTGGGTTAATAAATCTGCATACTCAAATTTTAGTTTTAAAAGATTTAAAATTTTATCAAATTTTGACAATTTTAACGATGTAACCCCTTATAAAATTTGCAAAATTTTGAAGACGTTAGATTTTCGCCGAACCTAGCTAGATCGGTTCGGATGGTGATGCTGATCAAGAATATATATGGTTTATAGGGTCGGAAGTGACTCCGAAACATTTTGAGGATATAAATCCTTAAAAAATTTGCAAAACCAAAGTTTAAAACACTCATAACTAAGCCAAAAATGCCTTAATTTTAATTTGGAAAACGGTCTCGTGTTAGTTTTTATTGGGTTAATAAATCTGCATACTCAAATTTTAGTTTTAAAAGATTTAAAATTTTATCAAATTTTGACAATTTTAACGATGTAACCCCTTATAAAATTTGCAAAATTTTGAAAACGTTAGATTTTCGCCGAACCTTGCTTGATCGGTTCGCCTGGTGATGCTGATCAGGAATATATATGGTTTATAGGGTCGGAAGTAACTCCGAAACATTTTGAGGATATAAATCCTTAAAAAATTTGCAAAACCAAAGTTTAAAACACTCATAACTAAGCCAAAAATGCCTTAATTTTAATTTGGAAAACGGTCTCGTGTTAGTTTTTATTGGGTTAATAAATCTGCATACTCAAATTTTAGTTTTAAAAGATTTAAAATTTTATCAATTTTTGACAATTTTAACGATGTAACCCCTTATAAAATTTGCAAAATTTTGAAAACGTTAGATTTTCGCCGAACCTAGCTAGATCGGTTCGGCTGGTGATGCTGATCAAGAATATATATGGTTTATAGGGTCGGAAGTGACTCCGAAACATTTTGACGATATAAATCCTTAAAAAAATTGCAAAACCAAAGTTTAAAACACTCATAACTCAGCCAAAAATGCCTTAATTTTAATTCGGAAAACGGTCTCATGTTAGTTTTTATTGGGTTAATAAATCTGCATACTCAAATTTTAGTTTTAGAAGATTTAAAATTTTATCAATTTTGACAATTTTAACGATGTAACCCCTTATAAAATTTGCAAAATTTTGAAAACGTTAGATTTTCGCGGAACCTAGCTAGATCGGTTCGGCTGGTGATGCTGATCAGGAATATATATGGTTTATAGGGTCGGAAATGACTCCTTTACATGATTTCAAGCTTCTGCCAATTACAATATCCCTAAAAATGCATCACAAATCCCTGTTGCCCTTAAAAAACAGCCACGTCTTGGAAAGTTATAGATTTTCTATATTTAAATGCCATTTTATTAGCTTAATGTTAGGGGTCCAATATGGTTTGCTGGGGGACACAGGAGACAATGGTCACAGAGGATGTAAAGTTTAGCTGGTGACAGAAAAAAATTGGAAATATTTACGATCTCTAATTCTTAAACTAAACTGGCGAAGGAAATAAGAGTTTGCCGTGCGCAAGGATCACGGATTACGGATCTGGGTAAGGTGCGCTGCCTGCCTGCCTAGCCATTGCGTATGCCCAGCGCCTGCTCCAGCTCCGCCCGCTTCTGATTGACCTTGGTGAAGAAGTAGCGCGAAACGGCTTCGTGCGTCCAGGGCTGATAGTAGAATTCGGCGCGTCGCTCCTCCTCCGGATTGCCCACCACGTCCGTCATGAGCTGTGGAGGCAAGAAATCCCCGATTAAAATGAGAAACTCCACGCAAGAAAGGCGAGTAAGTAATACTTACCTTCAAGTCCCTCGTCTGACTGATGATCCATCGGTGTATAAACATCTGTGGATCCTTGGCGAAGCTGAGGAAGAACTCCCGGTTCGTCTTCATCTGATTGATGGTGTCCACCGTCTCATGGATCTTGGTATCCAGACCCTGGATCTCCTGCTGGCTGGCGGTGCTCATCAGGAAGCTGTTCATCTGGTTCTTGAGCGTGTCGTCCACCTCAACGTCGATGTCATAGCAGGCGGTCTGCTTGTTCTCCGCCCCGCTCTCGATGAAATGATTGATCACAATGGGATCGGGCGGATGGAGCAGGGGATTGAGGCGTTGCGGTATCTCCGCGAACTTCATGCGCTGACAGCTGAATATCTGCTCCAGATACTTGTCACAGTTGATGTACTCCCGTTCGTGGGCATCCTGCAGCTTGTGCGTCTTGATGTACTGCCACAGGGCGGAGATGATGACCGGCCGGGTCTGCGTGTGCACGCCGAGGAGGCGGGCGAGGCGCGGGTCCAGCTTGAACTGCAGCGGCTGGTAATCGAGCAGCAGGAGGATGGTGCAGCGCACGTTGCGATCGCCCGGTCGCTTCACCTGGAATCCATCCGTCTCCTGGGTGGTGTGGGTGCGATGCCACTCCACCAGATGGTTATCCGGCCCATACAGCTCCTTGTCCAGCTCAATGACCAGTGACTTGAAGAACGATGAGAATTTACGTTTGATTTTTGTATTGGGATCACCCTTGCCGTCCTCCAGCAGACGACCCTCGACACGCAGCTCCCACGAGGCGACGGCGCCCTCCTCGCCATCGTTGGTCGGCTCCTTGCTTGGGTAGAATGTGTTCGAAATGAAGATGCGCAGCTTGCGCTTCTGCTTCATGGGTCGCTTGAGCGCCTCCTGGATGTCCAGACGCTTGCGCATGATCGTCGCGTCCAGCTTGCGTTCAAATGTCAGCAGATCCATGTACGCCTGCGACTCCGGCACCAAATCCCGCACCTTCTGCGGCAGTATCTTGTCCGCCAGCTTCTTCTTCTTCTTGGCCGTCACAAATTCCCCCTTGCCGCCCGGTCCACTGCCCAGGCCGCGTGCCTCATTCGAACGCTTGCTGCCGCCACCGGTGCCAGAGCCACCGCTTCCTCCTCCGCCGCCGCCGCCACCGCCTCCACCTCCACCGCCGCCACCGGTGCCACGCAGACCGCTCTGAAAGGCCGGCTGCTGGGCGGCGCGCTGTAGAAGGGAACCGGGCCCGGGACCGCCGGGCAGTACGCCGGGTACACCGGGAACGCCAGTCCCAGGCGCTGTGCCCGGCACCGGTTGCGTTGTGTTTGGATGCAAGGGAAAGCCCCTGGGCTGTTTGGAGTACAGAAAATCGCATTAGTTAGCTGGGGAGAAGCATGAACTGCAGGAAAACTCACCGGAAAAGTGGCGCCTGGCGGCGGATAGGGACGCATGCCGGGCGCCGGTGGCGGCGGCTGGTAGCGCGACTGCACCGGCGCTTGGCCAGGTGCAAAGCGTTGCGACATCTTCACTGGCTGTGCTGCTGCTTGTTTCTTGGTCTCGTTGCTGCTAGTGAAAATTGCAATTCACTTTTTCTTGGTTTTCCTTTTGTTACAACAACGCGTCACAAGAAAAACACACACACAAAAATTTCGCCTGTAAATGGCGTCAAAACAGGGTTGTATCAGCGTCAAGGGGTACCTTTATCGAAATATCGAAGTATCGAAATATCGAATATAAAAAATACTAAAAGTGGTTTGAGTCTAAGCTAACTTTAAAATAAAATCTGATTGCTGTAATTTTAATTAGTGCATAAACCTTCCGGTAGGTGCTTTTGACCATGTAAAATGTAATCTCACCTATTTGAGCATTTATTTTGATGCAAGCAATATCACTCAAAGCTGTGCCTCGGCCGGTCAATAAATTTCACTCAATGACAATATTTCTCAGAGCAGTGAATCGGCAAATTAAATGCCGGTAATGTTGTTGTTGTAAAACTCAAGTTGTTGTACAACACTTTTGTTGTTGTTGTAGGCCGAACCCCGGCCTCAGTTTGGCCAAATTCAGTACAAATCCATCGAATTCTCGATTTGAAGTACCAGGCGAACAGAAATCAGCAGATGGAGGATGCACTTTTGTACACGCTCAAACTTTTTACATTGAGTGAAAACATTGAGTGTAAAATATAGCATCAAGATCAAATACTCAACACGGCTTGAGACTTATATTAGTGCTTGAATCGTCCGACAGGTGGCTATTGACCATGTAAAGTAAAATATTTTTTACATCTAGATTTTTTACAATATTAGGACAATACATGGAACCTGGCTTGGAGAATACTAAGTTTCAACAAAATTCCGATAGGTGGCGTCCCGAAATTGACATTAGGTGTAAAAAGTTGTTAGACTTTGTATATTGAATACTTTATTTAATATTAATATTTCAGATCTGTTGAAGCATTTTACATTCTACACTATGTATGAGAATTCGGACCCACAGGGCGAGAATTCGTCCCAAGTATCTGTAAACATTTTAATGGCTTGTGTACGTGTAAAATGTAAAATGTTAATCTAACAACGGCGATGTTAAATCTCTAGAGAAAATATAGCCAGAAGCCAGCTATCGATGTTTTTATCGATGTTTTTTTGCGCACCTCTACAGCACTGCTGTCACTATTAAAATAAATTCTAAAAAAACGCAAGTAATGGACGAAACTTGGTGGCTAGCCCAGCTCAAGGCCCTGGAACCGAAGGGCCAGCGCCTGGAGACGCTGAACAGCATGTACACCGCGATCAACAAGTCGGCCCCGTCCAAGCAAATCGTTCTGCGCGTGCTCGCCGCTCCCGAATTGTACGAATGTGCGGAAATCGGCGGCGCTGCAGAAGCAGATGCGGCGGCCCCAAAGGATGGTGTGGTCAGTGTGGCCCTGGAGCTCCTGGACCGCTGCATGTACTTGATGGTGCCGGAGACGGACGTCGAGCAGCTGCCACAGCTGCTGAACCGCGGTCTCACGCACACGAATCCGGCCGTGCGCTCACGGGTGCTGAGCCTGCTAAACCGGGAGCTGGAACGCCAGGTGCGTTCGGGACAAGTTCACCAGCTGCCGAATAATGAGCTCCTCTTCCTTGTCCTCGACGAGCTGAAGCAAGCAGAGACGGAGGCCAGCGCCGTGGCCATTAAAATCCTTTCGATTGTGCTGGTTCAGCGCCTGAACGATGCCGGTGTCCAGGCCAAGCTGGTGGAGTTGCTGCAGCAGAACGAGATTGTGCGCTGTCGCGCCTACGAACTGGCCGTCAACCTGGCCAAGACCAGTGCCTCCTCGCTGGGATCCGTTGAGTTTATGCTGGACGCCGCGCTCAGCGAGCTGGACAACGACGATGTCCTGCTGCAGGCCAGCGTTATGGAGATCCTGGTGCCGCTGGCCGAGCAGAATCATGGCCTCTCATACATGGAGCGTCGGCAGGTGTTTGATGTGATAAGCAATCGAGTGCAGCGCCTGGAGGAGAATCCCCTGGACGCCCTGCTCGTGCCTAGCATTATGAAGTTCTTTGGCAAAATTGCCGCCGTGCAGCCGCAAAAGATCATCGTTGGCTATTCGCATATGCTGATTTGCTTGTTCGAGCAGCTGCAGTCGGAGGATGAGACCATATTGCCCACCGCCCTGGACACGCTGCCCAATTTGGCGGGGACGCCGCAGGGCAAAATGCTGCTGCATCTTAACTTCCAGCCGGCCATGGAGCGAACGCTGATGAAGTATGGAGCGTACACCAAAAAGCTATCGGCGCCGATTAAAGTGAGGCTCCTGAACTCGCTGGATGTGATTTATGCCATGGAGACGCCGCCCACCAAGGAAATTGAGTAAGGATCTGTAAATCACCTGGCTTATACCTTCTCTAACCTCTCTTTTCCTTTAGTAACGTCCTCAAGGGCTGGTATGAGTGCTTCGCTGGCGGTCTACAGGCCAATCACATCATGGATTTGGTCAATACACCATTCCCTGACCTCCAGCTAGCCGCCTTGGCCCTGCTAAAGACCCTGTGTAAATATCGCTGGGGTGTGGCGGCTCTCCGGAATACTGGCGGCGCCGTGGAATTTCTGCTTTCGCGTCAGAAGGATCTCCACAAGGATGTCAAGTTCTTGAAGTGGGAAATCCTAGAGCTGCTGTCCGTTAGCCCGGAGTTTTCGCCCACCGAAACTGTACGCTTCACGGCCTATGTCAACGAGGGACCATATCACATCCAGGCGGACCTCAATATAGCCACCGAGCCGCAGGGCGGTGCGTAGAGGGAGAGCGGGACTAAAGGGGATGCCAAGCATTCAAATCGGGATTCAAACTAACATCTGAATATGTATTTATAATATAGAATTAAAATAAAATTTAACTATTAGATCACAAGTAAGCGTGGGAGACCCTCGCTGGATCCTCTGTCCACCTGCCAAGTCCAGCCACGCACTCCGCCTTCAGCCATTCCATCCATTCATCCCTCTGCCTTTAAGTAAGTCTCTTACAGGTAACTCATCTGACGGTGGGAGAGTCGCTTTCTACCAGAACCACCACCTACACCGCCACCTAGATGGGCCAGACTTACGCTTAATCCTGACTCGTAGGCGGTCTGCGTCTGGGAGCGGGTCTCGTTGTTCAGCAGCGAGCAGCTGGGCAGCGTGTGGCAGTAGCGACGCAGCTGCTGCTTGAAAGCAGCCGTAGTCAAGGTATACAGCACGGGATTCAAAGCCGAGTTAACGGGCAAAACCAGGACCGCCAGCCAGGCATACAGATCGGGAGAGATCTCGCAGCCTGCAATAAGGATATAGCAATTAATCAAGGGGTTTCCAGCAGGATATGTTATATATTAAACTCACCCGAAAGGGCCGCCACCTTGACCACAATTATGGGCAGCCAGCAGGCGCAATCCGTGGTCACAATTATCGCAAATCTACAAGAAATCACAAATGTAACTCTATGTATATAAAAGTGATTACTCAAACCGACCTAGTGGCCACCACATTCTCCCGTCCGCTGTGTGTGCTCCGCATTCCTCCGCCAGAATCTCGAATAGCCTGCAGCATTCGCACATAGGAGAACAGGATAAAGACCAAAGACAACGTGTTGACGAAGATGAACAGCAACGCCGAGTACTCCCAGCCCTGTGAAAAATATATACTATCAATGATACAGTTTAAAAATAGGTAAAGAAGCAGCTTGCCTACCTTGGCATAAGGATCATGGATGTGCAGGGACAAGCAGACACCGTTGTTGCCATAAAAGTGGCTTCCAAAGTACGGATTGGTCAGCAGAGGGGCCGCTGCCAGGCCGAAACTGATGCCCCAGAGCAGCAGCAGGCGCAGGACAATGCTAAGGAATAAATAAATCAAAGGATTTAGACAAGATTAAATACAAACATATAAAAACAAAGAAGTATTTGCGCTTGCATTATAATTCTTAATGAAATTAAACATGCACACCCTTCAAATTTCTTAATTAAACAATAATAAAACCTGTATATTAATCAATTGAAACTTCAGGATATATGTATGTATGTATGTATATTCCTCAGTGCTAGTTTAACCGAATCGAACTACTATATCATATAGCTGGCATAGGAAAGATGACGTGGAGAACCTAGTTTCCGTTCTTGAAATAATAAAATATTGCAATGGCAATGAATAAATAATAATAATAAATAGCTCACTCCCCCTCTCCCTCCCCCTCTCACTATCTGGGTATGTCCAACTCTCGATATGTCCAACTCTCGATATGTCCAACTCTCGATATGTCCAACTCTCGGGATGCCTATCCCTCTGTGCCTCTCCAGAGGCAACTCTTTCCCTCTATGTCTCTCTCCCTATCGCTAGCGATATCGCTTGCTCTCTAGCGCTCTCACTCTCAATTTCTCTGCTCCTCTCTTCACTCGGGAACTATAAATAGAGGCGCTATGGGGCCGCGCGCCTCAGTCTGTCCTAGGGGTACCTAGTGTTAACATCTAAAGTGATAGTGATTGTGATTAACTTGCAACCCGAAAAATATGACGTGGCCATTTGAATACATCTGGATAACCAGGAAGAAGATCACATCGATGCTACACTGGAAGGAATTAAACAATGACGACAAAGGATGACGTGTGCCTTCGATGAGGAGGATGAGAAGCCAAATTGAAGTCATCAAGAATATAATACTGGGGTAAGTCGGAACCAATCAATATATTTATAATACAAGTAGATTCTAGAGAAGGTATAAGTCCTATTCCAATTCATTTCCTTATTGTCATTACCCTCATTACTTAATCTTAACTTAAAATGATAAAACAATTTGTATTAAGAATATCTACAAACGTAAACTCCTAGTCAACAGCCTAACTAGATTATAATTTATTCAACTTTTACTATATTATTATACCCTTGCAAGGTATTATGATTAAAGTCAGAAACTTGCTTTGAAGTGAAGGTGTTATTTCCGACCCTATAAACTATATATATTCTTGATCAGCATAAACAGGCGAATCTTTCTAGGTATAAGAGACAGAAACAAATTATTTGGCCAATATTTAAATTCAATTTAAGTAAGCTGATTTGTTAACCTATTCAGAACTAGCACAATGTTAAGGATTTAGATAAAATAAAATACAAATATTTAAGAACAAAGAAGTATTTGCGCTTGCATTATAATCTTTAATGAAATTAAACCTGCACACGCTTCAAATTTCTTAATTAAACAATAATAAAACCTGTAAATCAATCAAATGAAACTTCAGGATATATGTATGTATGTATATTCCTGGTAAAAACAAATAAACCTCCCACCAAATGTTTTTGTGTTGGATAAACACACAATTTAATTCTTATTCTGGGAATTTTGAGTGCTTAGAAAATCAACAAGAAGCAAATATGTATCCCTGCCAGCTTTTAAGGGTGCCGGAAATGTAATTTAAATAATTGGATTCCAAAGTAAAGACAAACTTTTTGTTGTTGTTTATCGTAATAACAACAAGCTCTGTAGAAAAGGAGCTTTAGTTAAGAATGTTTGATTAAAAAAGACAAATACACTTTCAATTGCATCTAAAGATAAATTTTTTGTAGAGTTTTCCAGGTAAGTATTAAGTACACAATTTCAATTATAAATAGTTAGACTTCTTGACTGTTTCTATTTCAAAGACTTGCAAACTATTATTTACTTGTATTAACTTGCTCTAGTTAATGTATAAAAAAAAAACACTTTCAATAAGTTTTCGCAACAAGCTAAAGTTTAATTAAAAACTCTACTGATTCTTCTGTGAAACTTTCTTAAAAAAAATAAAGCTGCATTCTCCTTTGTAAATTAACAAAAAATGTTCCCTTTTATAGTGCACATTATCCTTTGTGGAGCGTGACCTTTGCGGACAGTTCTCTTCCTCAACACTTACCGAAACTTTTCCGTGTCCCGCGGCTTGAGGGGTCGCGTCACAGACATCAGACGGTCCCAGGTGACCAGGGTGAGCAGCAGCGTCGACGACTGGCAACTGAAGGTGCTGAGGAAGCCTACGCAATATTCAACATTAATGCATGAAAGATAATTGCAAAAAGGGAGCAAGGAGGAGGAGCAGGAGCTGGAGGATACTTACCGGCAAAGGCGCAGACACCGCTGTGGCGCCAGGCCTCCTCATACTTGATGTACTCGCCGCGAAAGTTAATGTCCGCGCAGGCAATCAGCGTCAGGTAAATACCCATGAGAAAATCGCTGGCGGCCAGGTGTCGCAGGTAAAGTGAATGCTCCACATTGCTCCTGGATTTGTAGAAGTAGCGTCCGAGGAGCACCAAAAGGTTGCCCACAACGGCAATGGAGGCCATCACCCAAACGCTGGAAAAGAGGGAGAGAAGAGTTAAAAAAGGGAGAAAGCGAAAGTTACCAAAACTCTAATGAGAGTCTACCATTAAATACCCAGCATTGAGTATGTTTAATGGCTCAAAATAATGTCTGTGCTAATAATATTACAAATAATAACTTAATTTTTAGCTGTTTATATTATTAATTTTAGGTATGATTTGCTTTCTGCCTCATGAAATCTAAAAATCATGCACATTTAATGATCAATAATTATAGATCTAATTAATGTGTATAAATTTAAAGCTTTAATCATATATATTCTTGATCAGTATCTAAATCAGAGTCGATTTCGTTATTCTCTGCCCCTATTTCTCGGCCACACGCTTTCTCTAGCTCTAACTCCCTCTGGGAGTCTCTTGGGATTTTCCTTACTCTCTCTCTCTCGCTCTCAATTTCTCTGTTCTCTTTCCTCGGGGACTATAAATAGAGGCGCTATCGGGCCGCGCGCCTCAGTCTGTCCTAGGGGTACCTAGTGTTAACATCGATAGTGAAAGTGATTAGTGATTAACCTGCAACCCGAAAACTATGACGTGGCCATTGGAATACATCTGGATGACCAAGAAGAAGATAACATCGATGCTACACTGGAAGGAATTAAACAATGACGACAAAGGATGACGTGTGCCTTCGATGAAGAGGATGAGAAGCCTAATTGAGGTCATCAAGAATATAATACTGGGGTAAGTCGGAACCAATCAATTTATTTATATCATTTAAGTAGATTCTAGAGAAGGTATAAGTCCAAGGTCTAGAATCAGCTTTGCTAGCTGTGTCTATTTTCCAATTCATTTCCTTATGACCATGGACCTCATTACTTAATTTAAATTTAAAATAATATATCAATTTGTATTAAGAATATCTGCACACGTAAACTCACAGATAACATCCTAACTAATTATAATTTTTAAAATTTTCCTATATTGTTATACCTTTGGAGGATATCAGACTAACATTATCTGAAGGTTGAAACTAACTGAAGGAGTCAATTCTGACCCTATAAACTATATATATTCTTGATCAGCATCAACAGGCGAATCTTTCTAGGTATAAGAGATAGAAACAAAGTTCTTGGCAATTTTCGTTAAAATTTTCAATATTTCAATACAATTTAAGTAAGCTGATTTGTTAACCTGTTCAAAATTAGCACAAACAATTTTAAGGAATATATTTGTTAAAGGATTTAGACAAAATTAAATACAAATATTTAAGAACAAAGAAGTATTTACGTTTAAATTATAATTTTTAATAAAATTAAACATGCACATCCTTAAAATTTCTTAATTAAACAATAATAAAACCTGTATATTAATCAATTGAAACTTCAGGATATATGTATGTATGTATGTATATTCCTCAGTGCTAGTTTAACCGAATCGAACTACTATATCATATAGCTGGCATAGGGAAGATGACGTGGAGAACCTAGTTTCCGTTCTTGATATAATAAAATATTCCAATGGCAATGAATAAATAATAATAATAAATAGCTCAAAAATTAATGAATAAATAATAATAATAAATAGCTCAAGAATTAAAGAATAAATAATAATAATAAATAGCTTACTCTCCCTCTCCCCCCCTCTCTCTATCTCTCTGGGTATGTCCAACTCTCGATATGTCCAACTCTCGGTATGCCTATCCCTCTGTGCCTCTCCAGAGGCAACTCTTTCCCTCTATGTCTCTCTCCCTATCGCTAGCGATACCACCTTCTCTCTAGTGCTCCCACTCTCAATTTCTCTGCTCCTCTCTCTACTCGGGAACTATAAATAGAGGCGCTATCGGGCCGCGCGCCTCAGTCTGTCCTAGGGGTACCTAGTGTTAACATCTAAAGTGATAGTGATTGTGATTAACTTGCAACGCGAAAAATATGACGTGGCCATTTGAATACATCTGGATAACCAGGAAGAAGATCACATCGATGCTACACTGGAAGGAATTAAGCAATGACGACAAGGGATGACGTGTGCCTTCGATGAAGAGGATGAGAAGCCAAATTGAGGTCATCAAGAATATAATACTGGGGTAAGTCGTAACCAATCAATTTATTTATATCATTTAAGTAGATTCTAGAGAAGGTATAAGTTCAAGGTCTAGAATCAGCTTTGCTAGCTATGTGTCTATTTTCCAATTCATTTTCTTATGGCCATGGACCTCATTACTTAATTTAAATTTAAAATAATATAGCAATTTGTATTAAGAATATCTACAAACGTTAACTCACAGATAGCATCCTAACTAATTATAATTTTTTAACTTTTCCTATATTATTATACCCTTGGAGGATATTATAATGTTAGTCTGAAGGTTGAAACAAAGTGAAGCATTCATTCCTGACCCTAAAAACTATATACATTCTTGATCAGCATCAACAGGCGAATCTTTCTAGGTATAAGAGATAGAAGCAAATTTGTTTGCCATTATCGTTAAAATTTTCAATATTTCAATTCAATTTAAGTAAGCTGATTTGTTAGCCTATTTAAAACTAGCAGACAATTTTAAGGAATTTATTTGTTAAACAATTTAGACAAAATTAAATACAAATATTTAAGAACAAAGAAGTATTTACGTTTGCCTTATAATTCTTAATGAAATTAAACATGCACACCCTTCAAATTGCTTAATTAAATAAAAATTAAACCTGTAAATTAATCAATTGAAACTTCAGGATATATGTATGTATGTATGCATATTCCTCAGTGCTTGTTTAACCGAATCGAACTACTATATCATATAGCTGGCATATGGAAGATGACGTGGAGAACCTAGTGTCCGTTCTTAAAATAATAAAATATTCCAATGGCAATGAATAAATAATAATAATAAATAGCTCACTCCCCCTCTTCCCCCCCTCTCTCTATCTCTCTGGGTATGTCCAACTCTCGATATGTCCAACTCTCGGTATGCCTATCCCTCTGTGCCTCTCCAGAGGCAACTCTTTCCCTCTATGTCTCTCTCCCTATCGCTAGCGATACCACCTTCTCTCTAGTGCTCTCACTCTCAATTTCTCTGCTCCTCTCTCTACTCGGGAACTATAAATAGAGGCGCTATCGGGCCGCGCGCCTCAGTCTGTCCTAGGGGTACCTAGTGTTAACATCTAAAGTGATAGTGATTGTGATTAACTTGCGACCCGAAAAATATGACGTGGCCAATGGAATACATCTGGATAAACAGGAAGATCACATCGATGCTACACTGGAAGGAATTAAGCAATGACGACAAGGGATGACGTGTGCCTTCGATGAAGAGGATGAAAAGCCTAATTGAAGTCATCAAGAATATAATACTGGGGTAAGTCGTAACCAATCAATTTATTTATATCATTTAAGTAGATGGTATAGAAGGTATAAGGTCTAAATATAGAATCAGCTGCGCTAGCTTTGCATTTATTTTCCAATTATTTACATTATTGCCTTGGACCTCATTACTTTATCTTAATTTAAAACAAGAAAGGAAGCTAACTTCGGCACGCCGAAGTTTATATACCCTTGCAGATAGAAATTCTATGAATAGGAATCCATACAATATAAATTATATATATTTGTGTTAAAAAACAATGAAGTAATACCTGCTTTCATTTCATTCACCTATACATATTATATTTGCAGTTTTACATTCACAGATTTGCATTTTTCCTCTACATCAAACGATCGTTTGTATGGCACCTATATGATATAGTCGTCCGATTTTTATGAAATTTGCCACAAAATTTTAGACTTATATAAAATGGCTATACCTCAAATTTGATGAAAATCAGCTGAAAACTAAAAAAGTTATAAATTTAATTGTATTAATTTCTCGATCGTTCCTATGGGAGCTATATGATATAGTAATCCGATTTTTATAAAATTTTACACAAAATTTTAGAATAATATGAAATGGCTATATTTCAAATTTGATTAAATTCTGTTGAAAACTAAAAATGTTATCGCCACCGCGATTGTCAGTCTTCCGACAACAGCCACCGCCATTCTCATTCCTCTCAAATTTCTCGATCGTTCCTATGGGAGCTATATGATATATTAGTCCGATTTTCATAAAATTTTACACAAAATTGTAGAATAATATGAAACGGCTATATCTCAAATTTGATGAAAATCTGTTGAAAACTGAAAATGTTATACTTTTTAATTGAATTAATTTCTCGATCGTTCCTATGGGAGCTATATGATATAGTCGTCCGATTTTCATAAAATTTTACACAAAATTGTAGAATAATATGAAATGGCTATATCTCAAATTTGATCAAATTCTGTTGAAAACTAAAAATTTTATAATTTTTTTTGTAAAACTTTTCCGATCATTCTTATGACAGCTATATGATATAGTCGTCCGATCCGGCCCGTTCCGACATATATACGAGTGAGAGTATATAGAAGACTAACTGCAAAGTTTCATTCAGATAGCTCCAAAACTGAGAGACTAGTTTGCGTAGAAACGGACAGACGGACAGACGGACATGGTTAGATCGACTCGGCTGTTGATCCTGATCAAGAATATATATACTTTATATAGTCGGAGGTGCCTCCTTCACTGCGTTGCAACCTTCTGACTGAAATTATAATACCCTGCAAGGGTATAATGATACAACAATTTGAATTAAGAATATCTACAAACGATAACTCCTAGTTAACAGCCTAACTAAATTAGTTAGTGTTAACATCGATAGTGAAAGTGATTAACTTGCGACCCGAAAAATATGACGTGGCCAATGGAATACATCTGGATAACCAAGAAGAAGATCACATCTATGCTACACTGGAAGGAATTAAACAATGACTACAAAGGATGACGTGTGCCTTCGATGAAGAGGATGAAAAGTCAAATTGAGGTCATCAAGAATATAATAATGGGGTAAGTCGAACCAATTTATTAATTATTATTAGTTATATCATTTAAGTAGATGGTATAGAAGGTATAAGGTCTAGGTATAGAATCAGCTGCGCTAGCTTTGCATTTATTTTCCAATTAATTACATTATTGCCATGGACCTCATTACTTAATCTTAATTTAAAATGATAAAACAATTTGAATTAAGAATATCTACAAACGTTAACTACTAGTTAACAGCCTAACTAGTGAAAGTGATTAGTGATTACCATGGAACCCGAAAAATATGACGTGGTCAATGGAATACATCTGGATAACCAGCAAGATACCATCGAAGCTACACTGGAAGGAATTAAACAATGAACACAAAAGATGACGTGTGCCTTCGATGAATAGGATGAGAAGCCAAATTGAAGTCATCAAGAATATAATAATGGGGTAAGTCGAACCAATCATTATATATATTATTTTATTATTTATCCTTGGAGGGTATTATAATTTTAGTTTGAAGGTTGAAACTAAGTGAAGGAGTCATTTCCCTATAAACTATATATATTCTTGATCAGCATCAACAGGCGAATCGAACTAGCCATATCCGGTGAAAAAATACATTTTTGAAATTTTTTCTAAATTTTATAAGGGGTTACATCGTAAAAATTGCCAAAAAATTTATTAAAATTAGGATTTTTTTTAAATTTTAATTTGGGTATGTAGATTTGTTAAAGTAAAGAAAACTAGCATAGAACAGCTTTCCAAATTGAAATTGATTAATTTTTGGCTTTGTTATGATATTTGAAAAACTATGTTTTACACAAAAAATAAGCATATAAAAATATCGATTTAATATACCCATAATACACATATTTTAGGTTTCCTTATTTCTGTTTGCAATCATAATCTTAATAAATAAAGAATAAAACGATTGAAAAAAACAAAATTAAACAACATATTTAACTGGAAACTTAAAAAAAAAGTTTTGTAAGTAATGCAATAATTATCAATAGATCTTTGACTTAGTTAAGATCGATTTAACACTGGAACCCATGGTCCTAAGGGTAAGTTGTGAATGTTACTTCATAGAGTTTAAGCTGCCCAATATACCCTTTCGCTCCTCTATAACTTAAGGGAGTGTGGCAATAATAAAGCGAAGCTTTTTCGACCTTGACTCTGGACAATTGTCCCTATGCTACCGCTGCTACCCATAAATTCGGGCAATTAAAGGAAATTTAAGTAGGAACCCCCCGTTGGAGAGCCTCAAAAGCACGCTTCCTTTGTTGTCCCATTGTATGTTGTGTGTATGTCCTGTATCCTGTGTTTTCTATGTGAGTTGGTGGCAATAGCAATTGCCAATTGTCCGGGTGTCTGCCTCATTATTGCAGTAGTGACTGCGACTAGGACGAGACCTGGGCACCAACTACCATCCACATCAGCATCACCATGACCACCAAGCAGCAGCGACAATTGCTGATTTCAGGACAATTATAGACACTCTGTGGCACACTATAATGCCTAATTTATGCCAAACCAAGTGCCTGCTCCGCTTCCCATTCATTGCCCCTGATGATGATTGATGGCCAAGTGCAGGTTGTGGCGGAAATCAAAAGGATGCTTTGACCAAACGCATGGAAAATTGAAGGGGGGAAAATGCAGTCCTTGAAAACGAGAAACTAAAGCTTTAGAAGTAATTTAAACTAAAAGAATTTGCCAAAGGGAAAACCAATTTCGTGTGAAAATAAATTTCAGGAAGTGTAGATTACACACCTAGCAGACTTCATGTAATAAATTTAAGCAAAAAATTGAAGCGAATTTCGGAATTTCTATAAAGGTAAATCAAAAACCTGGCCACTTGGTGGGGGTAACCAGGTGTAAAGACCAGACAAAACAAAAAAAAAAAAAGAAGAAAGGAAATACTTGAAAGACCTGCAGAGTAAAGTATTTAATTTTTATGAAAACGTCAACTTGGCATAATGAAATAATGTACTAAGCAGCCAAGTAAATTCTCAACGGGCCACGTTGGCAGGCAGCCTTGAAGGCTACGTGGCCTGCAGGAGCAAGCCAACTCCTGCTCCATTTGTATGTTTGCTTGCCGGAGGAGAGTAAGTATGTGTGTGCTGGGAAAATGTGTGGAAAATGCAAACAAACAAGCGGAGCGAGTGAACGTAATTTTCATTTTCCAACAGCGAGGGGAGAGAGAAGGAGAGAGAGAGGGGAACAACAACACATCCTAGACGATGGCAGGCAGCCAGATAATCACTCAGCAGACTTGATGACAAGTGACTGCCGGTTGCCGGTTGCTGGTTGCCGTTTGCTGCTTCCTGGTTGCCTCCCCTTCCCAGTTAGCCTTATATTTGCCTTCTGCCAAGTAGCTAAAACTTGGCTAAAATATCAAAATAAAGACAGGCCACTTGAAAAGGCTCTGGGAGTGACGAAATGCTGGCCATTATCAGTCGCAGATGAGGCATTAATGTATCATTAAGTGATGGAATGATGGTTCTCTTTGATCCCAGGATGGATATCTTTGAATCAGATTTGAATATAAGACGCCAGAGAAGTTCACAAACACTTGGGGTAGCCATAGATACAAATTATATTCCCAAGGCTTAAGTAAACCTTTCCCTAAAAGTCTCATTTCAGAATATCTTCTTGGTAAACCCTTTTGCTTTGTTTTCCGGAAACATTTTTAGTAAATTAAGCAACTAAATTAAGTAACTAAATTAAGAAAAAACAGAAAAGGAAATTAGGAGCCATGTTGATTGAATTGAATGGAACGCCATTGATCAATGGACGCCACAGTGGTGGTGAAGGCGAAACATCTGTGATTGTATTGCAACCAGGCGGTCATGGTGAACCTTCAAGGCAGTTACAGAACGTGGCCGAGGAGCAGGACGAGATCCAGGAACAGGAACATGAAGTGGAACATGAGCCAGGCATTGTTCCCAGCAGCATGGAACACCATATTCAGGCGCGTCTCTTGGTAGTTGACAAGCGTTTGCATCAGGCAATGTACAACTCCTCCTGAGGAAGTCCTATTCCTATTCCTATTCTAATCCTTATTCCATTTGAATGCCATGCCATAGTTGAATGTTCAAAAATCAAGTTTCAAAAATAAATTCCCTTGATTTCCAATGTCGGATTTGCACATAATCCCACTTCGAGTGTCACAGGACACTGGAATGCTCCTTGACTTAATTGCAAGCAAAGCTCTTGGTTAAACATCGAGTGCCATAATGATGACAATGATTTAATTGCATCCTTAATGAAGGCAAGCTGACCACACACACACACACACACACACACACACACCATCTTCAACAAGTTCCCTCTCTCGCTTCCTTAGAGCTCTCAGGTTGATTAAATCGATATTTTGGACTTGACTCACCTGCCTCTCAGTATCTGGTTGTCCAGAAGATGCAGCTTGCTGCTTATGCCATCGCCATGCGGATCGCAGACGCGCACATGAAGGGCGGCGCTGCACAGATGGAACCACGAGAAGTAACTGCCAAAGGACATTTGTTTGTTTTTTATTTCAAGAGATATAACCATTACAGTGTGTGCCAATGGGTTGCAGTCAGTGGTGCCATATTTTTGCTTAGAAAATCGGTTTTTGTTGTCATTTCACATTTCGAGGAAGAAGGGTTTCCCTCTCTTTTAAAATAATTCTATTTGTTGAGCAGATTTAGCTTGTAATATTTTATATTAATTTATGGTTCCTATTCATTTCAAAACTCTTTAGTTTACTTAATTTTCTAGGCTTTAAAAAAGGTGCCAAAAAGTAAGCTTTACTATATATGATTTATATTTTTGTAAAGCAAAATTAATTAGTTGTATGTACAAGTTATAAATACAATTTGTTCTTGCTTAGTAGCAAAGTTAATCTTTAATTAATTTAAAGGCAATTTAAAAAGGCCTAACAAAATACTTGTTGCAAATCTTCAAAAGAGATTTAAGGTAAGGTGTAACAAATATAAAAAACCTGTGAAACCCTCCATTTGTAAAGGTGTCTTCTCTATTTTTATGGCAGCACTGACTGATAAAATGGCTTTGCGGTATGTAAAGCGGACTCACATGTAATCCAGGCTGCTCAGGTTTTGGAGCACCCGCGGATCGAGCGTCTGGAAGCGATTGCCCGTTAACAGCAGCGATGTGAGATTGCCCAAACAGGCGAAGGCCTCCAGTCCGAATCCCTCGATGCGGTTCTCGTTCAAGTGTCTGCAGGATGAGAAAAAGGAGCATACAGTGAGAGAGTGGAAATACGGTTACGCGGGTTTATGGCCTAAGGGGGCATAAAAAAAAAAAAAAAACAAGAGCCAAGTCTAAGCAAATGGGGACTTGCGTTGCGCCTTGTTTTCCTCGCTTATAGGCATCTCCCCCGTATGCTTATTTGCATTTGGGATTGGAATTGGTTGCTTGGTCGAGGCAGGAGCTTAGGTCCAGGCATCGATTTGGAGCTTAGAGCGCGGCACCCAAGCTCCAAAAGGAGGCGGGAGAGAGCTGTTTCATCATTAAAGTTGCGCCGGCAATGCTGTGGCACGTTTTTGCTTAGATATTTGGCCATTGATTTCCTTGATTTCATCGCCTCCTCACTCAATATGCATTACAGGGATTCGGTTTTTCCTATTTTCCTAGTTTTTCTGGGATTTCTATTTTTTTTTTTTGTGGAATGCGTAGTAGTTCGCAAGGATAAACTGTCAGCTTTCTGAATGGTGGTGGTAGTGGGATTCCTTTGGCCAACCCCATAACATTATTGATAAATTAAATTCCTTGCGAAAACTTAAACGGCAATAAATCCAAATGACACTTTCTGCCACAAGCTAGCCTAGGCAGGCAGCCTCCGCAGGATTTCTGCTATTTCAGGATCACAAGGGTGTCGAGAGGTCCGAGGTCCGGAGGTCCATGGAAGATGGAAGATGGCATGCCAGTAGGAAAAATCCATCAGAGGTCACACGAGTGACACTTGTTTGTTCACTTTCCCTTCATATTTATAACTGCCCAAATGGGGTATATGGGTTGGGTGTAATTAAGGGAATATTTAAAGGGGTTTCATTGGGTTTAAAACTACTTTAAATGGCTTATTTAATTTAAATTAAGTTGCTGAATAGTCAGCTATGGTATTTAAAATAAATAAGCTTATTTAAAGTGTGTCTTGGGAAGTTTATAAGACTGTTTTCACTTTCACTTAAAGATTTTACAGGATATTCAATAAGTTCTAAGCAAACTTACAATCCTTGAAGATTGCTGAGATTGCAAAAGGTTTCGTCGCGTATATGAGAGAGTCGATTGCCAGCCAGATATCTGAAATCAAACAAAACAGATTGATGTATTTATAGGTGTAGGTATTTTCTGATTTTTTTCCCCCTTTTATACTACAGTTTTCGCTCTACATATTCCCTCTATATTTTTCCATTTTCCCTCCTCTATTCTGTAGGTTTTCCCACTCATTTTCTACTCACAAATGTCTGAGGCGTGGAAAATGAAAAGTGTTGGCGGCAATATCATCGATTTGGTTGCGATCCAAGGACAATGTGTACAGGCTAAGCAAGGTCCTGGGAAACATTTCAGAATTCAGACGCGTTATCCGATTCTCGTTGAGATATCTTTAGGCAACAAATAAATATATCAATACATATTATTATATTTATATATAAGACCCCGACTTACAAGAATTCCAAGCTGGTTAGTTCCGCAAACACTGCCGCTTCGAAGCTGTCAATGCGATTGCCTCGCAGGTCCCTTTAAAAATATATATTTAATAGAAATAAATATTTTTATAAATAAATTTAGTTTCTTGTGGCACTCACAGCTCCTCCAGATGCTGTAGATTGCGGAAATCACTGCGATTCAAGCTCTGCAGGCGGTTGCGTGCCAAAATTCTACGAAAAACAGATGGAAAAATCTCATTTTAATGCAACGAAAAAGTTGGCAACAAAAGCCGCCATCAGAGAGAAGTCGTCGTCGCATATATCTCGATTTTAATTAGCCATTAAGCGCCAGTAACACACGACCCAGGAGGCCAGGAGACCTTCAGTACCCACAGTATATCCTCAGTACCTAGTATCTCTCCCCCCACAATTGTCCAAAGTTTTCATTCCAACGCCAAGTGCAGCTGTGCCTCCGAATCCGGACCATGGACTAAGGACTACGGACTCCGGTCTCCGGACACCGGACTACAGAGCATCCTCCGCCGTGGTGCCGCAAAAAGTGTAACTGAGTTGTTTATGTGTTTTTGTGTGTCGGCAGTTTTGTCTATTTGAGCAAGGACTCTGTCGGTGGGGTATGATGAATGCATAAAGCCTTTGGCACTGTAAGCCCTACTTAAAGATAAGCTTATAATCAAGAAAGTAAAAGAATTAAATCATTAAAACTTAGGATAACTTATTAAGAGTGGATTTAATTCTGAATATATTAAATATTTAACTTAGTTCAGTTCAAAGAATTCAAGTTCCTTGAAATGCCCCTAAAAAGTATGCTACAAAATGATTAGCCTGACAAAAGACATTTCTTTTAATTAATTTTGAAAAGAAAATCAATTTTAAAACATATCCAGAGTTAAATGAATACTGGAAACATTAAATATTTAATTAATTTCAGTGATCACAATATTAAAATGCGCTCTAAAAATCGTAACAAACTTTTATACACATCTTTTAATTAAGTTTAGGTCTTTAATTCATATCTAGTTCTTATTTAAATTACTTTTATATAGAAAATCAATTTCCAGTGCATTATCCTTGTGATTTTTCCACTTGACAGGTGATATATAATTTTTCTAATATTGTTTTTTTATATATTTCTAACATTTGGTAAGCCTCTAAAGATAAAGAGCAACCCGTGATGAAACTCTCTCTCTCTTAACCTTGTTTTTCAGTCTCCTGCCAGCTGTCGTGTGTTGTTGCTGCTGTTTTTGGTTTATTTTGCGGGGGCGGTATGTGTCATAGGATGGGGCGTGGCAGCTCCGGTGCGATTCAATGCACAAAACAAGCTGGGAAAACTTTTTTTACCGTCTGTCTGCTAATATTTTCATGCTTCAAAGGCCGGAAAAGAATAAATAAAAATAAAAGTGTGGGAAAAATGTGGGGAAAATGCGGCACAAGAATGCCAGTCGATTGGGCAAAAGGTTCGCTTTCCTCTCTCTCTCGGTCAGCCGGCAACAATGGGTTAAGTTTATGGGCCACAAAAGGCTGACAGCAATGATTGCGATTAGCATCAGCTTCGTGTTTATGGGAATGTGTGTCTCTCATATACGGCTTATTGGCAATTACTGGATTTTTGTCATTTTTACCGGCCACCTCGGGCTGAATCTCTATTTTAATCGCAGCATAAACTCGGCTCTTGGAATTATACAATGCTCTCTGCGGTACAGTTGTGCCTTAATTTAAACCCAAACATGTTCGAGCTTAAACTCTGTTTAATTTGATTTATGCTTAATTAGCATTCGAGTGACACAAATCGGCAATTGTTCCGCCATTTATGACTGTATTTATTAGCATAAATTGAGGGCAAAAAAACACAATTGGCTAAAATAAATTACTAAGGCACTAAGTCAAGGGCTAAATCGATGCTCTAAACAAGCGGAAGTACAGTAAGTTCCGGTAAAATCGGTATATATCGGAATATAAATTTGTTTAATATGTTTCTTCACATATTCCTATTCTCTATTTGAATGGCAACCGGAAATCGATCGTAAAGAACATGGCGGACACCGGAAGTGTCGTATATCGTATGAGAGAGAGAGTGCTACTTACAGAATCCTCAATTGATTGCCTTCGGGAAAGAAGTGCTCCGGCAGATGCGGCAATTTATTATCGTCCATATAACTGGAAGGACATTAAAAAAAGGAGAGAGAAAAAAACGTTATTAAAGAATCAACTGCAGCGAGGAGTGAGTCGAAAACTGTTAAGTGCACATAAATAATGCGACTTAATTATGAGTTATTGTTGGGAGGGAGAAGGGGTACAGGATACGGGATACTCACAGGGTCCTCAGTGGGTTGTCCGCCAGGCGATCGAAGGCATGCGAGGCAATCTCACGGATTCCGCAAAACTTCAGCACTCTGCAAAGTGAATTTTTTGTGAGTGAATTAAATAAATAAATGCGAGATTCAATTGTAAACTTCACACAATGGGGGCGAGGACAAAGTTTTCAACTTTTCCTGCGGGGTACGAGTTATGGCCATATTAATGCCATAATGCTTTGTTTTCACCATTGTCTATTGTTTTAACCCAAAAAAACAAAAAAAAAAACAAAGAGAGAAAGAAAGTTTTGGCCTTATTTGTCTAAGCAAATAAGGGGCCAACAGCAAATTACGACTTGCAGTGCCACTTCTCAGTTATCATTTGAAATGGAATTTAAAATTGAAATCTGCAACAAACAAACAAATTGCAAACATGTTTCATGTTCATGTAATTTAAAACGAACAGTATAGATTGAAATGTAAAATAAATTGGTACTTGATTAGACCAGTATTATTCGGAAGTATTCTAGAATCTCGCCATACAACTCCTTCTCGGTACCCAAAAATCGGCAATCAACACCGCATTGTAATTCGAGTTTCAGGAGCGGCTCTTTCCCTGGCACTGTGTACAGTACGCCAGTGGTTGATTCAAGCTCCAGGGCGTCCAGCAGGCTCATCACTTGCTCCTTGAGACTGGTGTACTTCTGCGGACGGTAGATGACTTCAAAGGCAGCCGCCTTCAGGGCTTGCGGGAAGTTCTTAAAGTAGTTGTGGCGCTTGGCGAGAGGCATGAACTTCGGCTTCTTGCGTGAGAAATGACCGTGCGTTGGAACGGCGATCATGGATAACATTGTAGTGGCTGCCTTGTGGCGCGCCTGCTCCTTGCTGTCCGCCCAGGCACGGCAGGACAGAGTGGCCACACAGCAGCGGGCCACATAGCCTTCACTACACTTCTTTACCTTGACGATGGGCAAAGGCATCTCGCGGTCCACACAATGATCGTGGAGCTCTGATATAGTATACACAGGCTCAGGGTCAATTTCACGATCAGAGTCAGAATCCATTTTCTTGAATTATTTTCTTTTTTAGGAATGAATATTTCGACTTTCCTCGCAAGGTTTTAATAACAACTGAACAGACTATATATACTTGACAGTAAAGGGGAACCTGACACAGAGCCTACTTAGGGTTAAAAATTGTTACGAAAAAGCTTAAAAATATTATTTTCGCAATTATACCAACAACGTTTTGGTCTCAATTCTCAAAGTAAGTATGGGTCTAACAAAAACTTTCGACTTTAAGCTGTTCTTTATAAGCGGGACTTTAAAAAATAAACCAGAAATTAACCTAACTAATATAAAACTAAAATATTCCCATCCTTTTAATTGATATTTTAATATGATGACTTTATTCGACTAATAAATGTTTAAAAAACTCATAAATAAGCCAAAAATTCATTAATTTAAATTCGGAAAGCTTTCCTATGTTAGTTTTTATAATGTTAATAAATACTGCATACTTAATTTAATATTTAAAAAAATTCAAATTTTCATCTTTTTTTTTCCAAATTTAACGATGTAATTCCTCATAAAATTTCGAAAAAATTTTAAATTTTTATTTTCTGCCAGAGAAGGCTAGATCGATTCGGCTGTCGATTCTGATCAAGAATATATATGATTTATAGGGTCGGAAATGACTCCTTCACATCGTAACAAGAGTCTACCTAAAAGATAATTCTATAATTTGTATTATTCCTAATCATAAGACCTAAAGACTTTAATTTAGTAACCTAACAAGTCAAATATATTTCTTATTTCCCTATACCAACTCAATTAATAAAGCTAACTGCCAGCCATTAGTAAAACCACAAAAAATAAACCGAATTTGTCTACCATTTGGCGGCACCTAATGGGGCAATAAATTTATTCTTACTTTTATTTAATTCTTTTTGCATTTAGTATTTATGTCCGAAAGAAGCGGGATAAACCTGTGTGGAAATGTCACCTATTTATAGCAAGTTTCAAATTTCCCAGAAAGGCAATAAAAACAAGACAAAAAAATAAAAAATAAATAAAGGAAAAGCGAATCCCTGCCTGCAGGGATGCTTCTGTTGTGTCGTTAAAATATTCATTTCCGCGAAATCTGGCCCACGAATTCGAGGCAAGATAAATGTGTGCAATTGAATGACTTGTTGGGAATATCCTTGGGAGAATGAACGTGGTATGAAGCCACCGAAATGGCTCCTTTATCCTTGCCTTCTGTTTCTTGGCGACAATTTTCACGGATGTGTAACTTGAGGTATTTTACAAAACTTTCGATTTAAATTTGAGACCAGGAATACATAGTAACAATTTTAGAAACTAAAGGAAACCACGCAGAACACCGAAAGAAAGAAGAGCTTTAGCTTGGTTGAATTTCAATTAAACTATATAGAAGCTTCATAAGAAGTTTCATGAAAAATTTAATAAAAACTAATAAAAAAGTGGTAGTCTGCAACAAGCAGAGAACAGAGAATCCGTTCCTTTAAGAACCGAATGAAATTCCAAGCTCTTAAAAGGGAGAACTCCTGATTTAAATCCCTGTTAAGTCTGTACGATTTCATACATTTTCTCCCCGTGTATAGGCAATATAATTCACCTAAATTTATACCTAGTTCGTGCGTGAGCTTAAAACAACAAGGACCTGCTTCGAGGACTGTTCATGTCCAGCCCGAATGCCTGTATTTAGAACGGCCAGAATGTCCTTTGGCATAGTGACACATAAACTGCAACACGACGACGATGCCGAGGGCTGCATATGTTAAGGGAACTTCTGGCGGGTATGTCCTGGTGTCCTGCTGTCCCATCTTGGGGCTTATCCTTCCTGCCTGTCTAGGCTTGTATGTAATTTGTATGTACGCCCGCATGTGATGGTCACCAGTGATACTGACGCAACGACGACGACGACCACTTAAAGGCACCATTAAGGACACAGCATGGCGCTAATATTCACTGCGGTCCGGACTAAGGATCCCTTAAAAATTTGAACATCTCCGCCACATTTTCCTCCCCTTTTTTGCATTCAATTGCAACGCCAACGCAGTCAGAGTCATCCTGCTTGTATTTCAGTTTTAATTAAGACCCAGAAGGATGAAATGGTCGGCGATATTACACATCCCTTACTGCCTTACTTATGTACATATACCGGGGAAACACAACCACTACTATATGGTATATTCCATTTTAAGGGGCTTCCTTGGAATAATTTAAGCCTAAGAAAAGAGTAAGTGTGTGGCTTTACTTACAAGCTTTTCACGTTTGGCAGTCCCTCGAAGAAGGTTTCATTTATGATTTCAAAGCTGCTGCCGGTGAGATCACTGTGGAATATAAATAATTTAATTAATTACACAATTCTTTAAAATAAATTAAATAAAAAATTTTAAGATTAAGCCGTAAATACATCAAAATAAAACAAGTAAAAATTCCAATTAGCTTAAGTCTAAAATGTACTTACAGTGTTGCCAGATCATTTTGCGGCAAACGAGCTGGCAGTTCGGTAAGCTGCTGGAAGCGGCAGAGAATCTGGTCGCCGCGACACGGACAACTGAAGTTCTCATTCTGCCATACTGAAAAATACATATGTATGTATGTATGTAAGAAAAGATAGGAAGTGAGGTTATGTGAAAGCTAAATTGGCTTGCCCATTTTTTCTTCCTATTTTCTTGTACTTACGACAATCACCCAACTTCTTGTCGTCGCCAGCACCAAAGATGTTCTTCCGAAACAGATGATCCCAGTACTTGGCGTCCACCTCGTTGTCGCAATTGAGTTCATCGGACTTGTCGTCGCAGTCCACTTTGCCATCGCAGTTGGCTCGCTGCGGCACACACTCGGCGGAGCTGTTGCAGTGGAAGTAGCCCTGCGGGCACTTGTCGTTCTCGTCGGGCACTAGGATCACTGAATCCACCAATCCCACGCTCACACCCAATGGAGAGATCACTTCGCGTGCGGCCGCATCCGCGTCTTGCTGTCTTTCAATTGGTATTTCTGCCGTTTCTACTGGCGTTACAACTGCAGTACGCGTTGTCTCTACGGTTGTCCTTGTCACTCCCACGGCGGGGGCGGTTCCGACGGCGACGACGAGCAAGATGGCGTGTATTGTAGGGATGGGCAGGCGGCAAGCTGTAATAAAGCCAATAGCGTCGCAGATTATCGAAAAGTTATCAAATTTAAATTGGACATATCTAAGAAATCAAAGAATTTCTCTAGTTTCTGGTTTTTGTATTTATAACGAACAGAATTGATATACAATCGATTTGGAAATTGATTAGACCAGCATTGTTGTGAAGTATTTTATGATGTCGACATATATATCCTTCTCGGGAGCGATAAACAAGCAATCAATCTTGCACTCCACTTCCAGTTTATATAGCTGCTCGTTTCCTGGTATTGTGGGAAATTCGCCGAAGGTCGATTGAAGCTCCAAGGCGGCCAGAATGCTCATTGCTTGCTCCTTGGTGCTGGTGTACTTTTGCGGACGGAGGATGACTTCAAAGGCAGCCACCTTGAGGGCTTGGGGAAAGTTCTTGAAGAAGTTGTGGCGATCGCGGAGATGGACGGTCTTCGGTTTCACGGGTGCGACTTGAGTGTCCTCCTGAATGGTGATCAATGCGAACATTTTCTTGACTGCCTTGTGGCAGGCCTCCTCAATGTTCTCAGACCCGCCACAGCAAGTCAGTTTCGCCACGGAACATTCGGCGATAAAAATGTCGTCGTTCTTCCTTACCGTCATGGTGGGCAAGGGCAGCTCACGGTCCACACAATGGTCATATAGCTTCTTTAGGGCCTGCTCCTTGAAATCCATTTTCTTGGGTGTGTTAGGAATGATTTTTCCGACTTTTCTCGCAGTGATTTGACAGATTACGCGTGACTACGCACAGAGCCTACTTATGGTAAGGATATGGCTAAAAAAAGATTATCGCCATATTCTACTGATTTGGCCAAAACAAATGAGAGAGGTTTGGCCTCATTGGCCTAGGGCAAATAAGTATGCAACAAAAGGTTGGAGCTTGCAGTGCCAGTTATCGGAAAGTTATCATATAAATAAGTATGCAACAAAAAGTTGAAACTTGCAGTGCCAGTTATCGAAAAGCTATCACATTTGAATTTCAAATTTAAATCTGTGATAAATAAACAGAAAATTTCTCTTTCTTCATGTTCATGTAATTTAAAACGAACAGTATAGATTGAAATTGGAACTTGATCAGACCAGCATTATTCGGAAGTATTCTAGAATCTCGCCATACAACTCCTTCTCGGTACCCAAAAATCGGCAATCAACACCGCATTGTAATTCGAGTTTCAGGAGCGGCTCTTTCCCTGGCACTGTGTACAGTACGCCAGTGGTTGATTCAAGCTCCAGGGCGTCCAGCAGGCTCATCACTTGCTCCTTGAGACTGGTGTACTTCTGCGGACGGTAGATGACTTCAAAGGCAGCCGCCTTCAGGGCTTGCGGGAAGTTCTTAAAGTAGTTGTGGCGCTTGGCGAGAGGCATGAACTTCGGCTTCTTGCGTGAGAAATGACCGTGCGTTGGAACGGCGATCATGGATAACATTGTAGTGGCTGCCTTGTGGCGCGCCTGCTCCTTGCTGTCCGCCCAGGCACGGCAGGACAGAGTGGCCACACAGCAGCGGGCCACATAGCCTTCACTACACTTCTTTACCTTGACGATGGGCAAAGGCATCTCGCGGTCCACACAATGATCGTGGAGCTCCGATATTGTATACACAGGCTCAGGGTCAATTTCACGATCAGAGTCAGAATCCATTTTCTTGAATTATTTTCTTTTTTAGGAATGAATATTTCGACTTTCCTCGCAAGGTTTTAATAAAAACTGTGAGAGATGTATGCCAAGCAGGAAATATAAAGTCTTACTTAACAGACTACACCTGACAGGAAAGGGGAACTTGGCACAGAGCCTACTTAAAGTTTAAAGAAAAAGGAGTTAGGAAAAATAGTTTTCAAATATTTGAAAAGTAACGGAAAACAGCGGAAGCTTTACTGAACCAGGAAGTAATCTCAATTTAAGAATTTGTACATATTTCGACAGAAAGAGAAGGAAACCCAACATCTGGTCTTGTGCTACATAAATTTTCGTTGGCCAAAATATTTGTTTAACCAATTAAATGGTTTAATTAGCAGTCTGATTAGGCTGCGGCGGGGCCAACAATGGGATACGAAAAGATGGGGTTTCCAGGCCCGTTCATTGATGCTTCACTTAATATGGCAGCAGGCCGATATTGTAGAAATATATACCATATAGTAGCAGCACTTCTCCTCCTCCCCCACCTCTGTTGCATTTATCATTTTTAACGATTTCATTTAATGCGACGCCATTTCCATGCGCCCCCATATGTAGATGCATTCGCCAATCGTTTGGGGACCCATATTCAATATCGATATACCAAGTATATACTTATATATTTATATTACAAATATGTGTAAAATGTGTGTGCCATCAAATTGTTTTCAATAAAAATTATGCACAGTACATTTGGGGCACCAATGGTCCGTGAAATCCCGCGACTGCACCCCATTATCCTTCTCAATGCTCCCCTTCCCAGTTCGATAAGGCATCAAAATCATCAGCATGACTCGATGACTTTCTGATGGACACCAGAGATAGGCAGAAGGAAAAAAAAATCATAATTATATTGGCGAAAATGGGAAAGGTAAACAAATGGGAATGAAATTAAATAGAACCACGGGCAAGGTCGGATTTTAATAAGGAATGAACGCACTGAAGTTTTTGATTTTGTGGTACAAAAAAAAAACGATTTAAAGTCGATTAATGTCGATAATTTAGGTCCATATTGGAGAGGTAAATAAAAGCGAATAAAATGTAGTCCTATATAGGATAATATTGGGGAATGGAACGAACAGGGTTAAGAAAAATGTCCCCCCTTTGGTTTTATAGATAATTAACAATATTTTTAAATGAATAATTTAAAAATAAAAGTAATTAAGAAATAGCTTTAAAAACTTAGTGTATTTATTATTTATATTATTATGGCTAATTGTATCAATTTTTTTCTGGATTTCCCTATTAATTAAGTTTATTTTCAAGTGAAAGTAAGGACTCAAAAACCCAATCTCTAGGAAACCTCTGTGTAATGAGATCCTGAACAGAAATCAAAAAGGGAAAAAGGGAAACAGGCACAGAACCAAAGGAGATACACAACACAAACCCAACCTCCAATGACGACAGGATTTTCCATAATTTGCTTAAAAAACATATTTCGATGAGAATCGAATGGAAAATTCCATTTCTGGCCGAAAACATATGGTTGCAGGAGCATGAGACCCCAGCAAGGATTGCATTGCAGGTCATAACTCAGACAGCGGAGAGGAGAACGGATTGCAATTACAAATGCGAGATGATGACAACACCGACGTCGAAGGAGGAAAGGACAATGGCAATGTGAATGGGGATAGCTATGAGGATGTAGACGTAGTCGTAGGATGACTCCATAAAAGTGTAATTAAGCGCGGCATTCGAGGCGCGGATCCAAAGGCAAGGACGTGGACTGGGGACTGGGCACTGGGGATGGGGACAGGGACAGGGACAGGGACAGGGACAAGGACATGGAGCATTTGACACGTGTTGCTAATGTGCCTGAAAAGGGGCAAAGTCAAGGGTTAAAGGCAGCTGCGAGTCCCAAGGAATAGCAACAGGATCTCATCTCATCTCATCACATCACCCATCACCCGACACCCATCCTGCATCCTGTCTACACAATCCCCTCTAAGCCCGCCTCCATCATCGGCGGCATCAACGTTTTGTCAACACATTTGCGGCGAATTGAAATGTTTGATGAGTGCGGCTCAGGCACCCGGCTACTGCCATTTGATTGATGAGCCAGATCCCAGCCAGATCCTGGCCAACCGGGGCATTCCCCTTAACTTGGCAATGGCCTCTGCCCTTCGTCCTTCGTCCTTGCTTTGCTTTCTTTTTCATTTCAAGTTGCTCCTGCTCCTTCATTCTGACTGGCACCTAACGCACGGGGGCCATTCTTCGAGAGAAGCGAAACTTTTACAACTTTGTTGCTCATAAATTCCCATTGAGCCACTCAAATGGATGCCTCTCCTTGGAGCTGCTCCTGCTTCTTACTAATATCCCAATAAATGTATTTACACTGAGACAAAACGGGAGACAAATAAATAAATAAATAAATAAGAGTAATTGGTAAATCCAAAACCTCTTCAAAATATAAACAACCTAAGCCCTAAAAACCTAAACTTCGCTTTAAGAATATATCGAAGGAAAAAATATGGAATATATCCATATTTACCAACGTTTAAATATTTAGTATTAAGATTGGAAAATACCCATAAAATATTAAGCATGTTTATTAATTTATAATTATTGATTTGCTAACAAAATCATTGATTTTTTTCAGCTTTATTTTTAAGTTGAAACATAAGATAGTTTTAAGCACATTTTCTGTTAGCTTTCTACTGATTTCAATAAGTAATTTATTTTGTAAGCTTATGTAAGTATTTCTTTAAAATTTACTTCAGGGTAATGTAAAAAAATTTCAAATTAAATTTTCAAGTATCATTTAATAACTTCATAATAATAGTTTCAAAAGAAAATAGAACTGGGATGCCTTGTCTGCTTGGAATTCAGAAAATGTAAAAAAAATAAAGGCAATCTTTAAATAGGAATTTACCACCGCAGACAATTAGCAGAATTTACAGTGACAGAAATAAAGGGCAATCAAAATCAAGATGATTTAAGGCCGCTTTATGTAAATAAATCATAGAATATAAAGGCTATTTTTAAGGCAACTCAACCAAGAAGTTGTATGCCTTTTATGGGTGAAATGTGTTCAAAGAAACACATTTTAAAATTACAGAAATAATATTTAAATATTTATTTCAGACAGTGTACACACAGAGTGTTGGAGAAAGACATTATCGAACCCCTCCCCAAATTATCTTGGATTTGTTTATATAGTCTGACCCTTACCTGGCCGCCACCTCCTGCTCACCTGTCTTGGGCGTCGAATCGACCGAAAATAGCCGCAAGAGGTGAAAGTTCGCACTGTTCTTGTTTCTTATTCTTATTTTTTTGTTGTTCCTCTTCTTTTTTTGGGAGGGGCAGCAATTAAAACAAACGAAAACTTAATAGGAAAACTCACGAAAATAGAAGTCAATTGCGGCCAAAGTAAACAATATATAGTGTGTGTGTTCAGACCGATATCTGTTGTCAGTTAATCGACATATGTCCGTCGATGTCGATCAATATCTATTAGATTTGCGGATGAATCAGATTCTTTTGAATTATCTACAATACAATTATATTAAGTGGCTTCAAGGAGAGGAGATTTAACACTAAATTGTGGCTAAGACTTGGAAATATTTGCAAAATGATTTTTAATTAATAAGCATTGAAAACCCCCTAAAATTTGTCACTGGAAAATTTATCAATTGAATATAAAAAAATTTATTAAATTAAATACGAATTTTAAAGTCAGAAGCTTCAAACTTAGCGAAGGAATCATTTCCGACCCCATAAATCATATATATTCTTGATCAGCATCAACAGCCGAGTTGATCTAGCCATCTTTGAAAGAAAAAAAATTTTCTCAAATTTTTTCAAAATTTTATAAGGGGTTGCATCGTTAAAATTCATAAAAAATTGAATTTTTTTACATTTTAAATAGAGTATGCAGATTTATTAAACTAAGAAAAGCTAACATAGGAACGCTTTCCGAATTAAAATTAATGCTTTTTTGGCTGAGTTATGAGTTTTTTAAACTTTGATTATTCATATAAAATTATCGATTTTTGAAAATGTAAATATTTTAAGCTGATGATGATGATGACTGATTTCTGACTCGATCCTATAATCTGTAAGTGTATATAAGCTTCATCTTTTCTTTCTTCTTTTTAAAATCAAATTAATACTTTTTTTGAGAGCTTCATATACTCAAAAAAAATAATCAAATAATCCCCAATTAGGACTTAGCTTGTGGCATTCTTAGTTTAATAATTATATTAATTAATACTTAGTTATAAAATAATTGTCTTATAATTATTTTACCTAGAAATAAGGTAGATTTTTTACTAAATCTCTTAGCTAAATATGTATGTATATCCATTACGACATGCACTAAAAACAGCTGAGAAATTCCATAAGCTTTATTCACTCCCCCAAGATATCTGTTCATCTATATCTACATATATAATTCTTCGATTTTCGACTGTTTAGATTCAAACCGAGAAACCGAGAATGGAATTTTTATACTCAACGAAAAATTGGAAATGGAAATGGAAAACAAAAACAGAGCAGCAGAAAACCCAGAAAAGTTTTTGGCTAACAACAAAGTTGTAAACAAGAGAAGAGAATCTTCTCCCCCTCCCCAAGGAAAAAATTAAAGAATTATAAAACAAACGTGAATGATAAACAGAAAATTCGTGCCTCAAGTGCCCATCCTCGCCTATATCTATATATTATATATAGATCGGTCAATCTCTCTATATATATATTTAGAACACTTTGCAAATCTCTGACGGAGTTTTATTTTTAAGCAAGGCAAGTGGCCAGTCCGTTTGGGTTAAGTGTTTAACCCATTTCCGCATTTAATTACTGCCAGGAAATTAATCATTTCATCGGTTCTGGTTTCTGGTTTTTTCTTTCTAATTTTTCTCCTACTTTTTTTGGGGCCTAGAAATCCCCATTTTAATGATAAGGAATGTCAATATAGTTTGGTTGGTGCTGACAGGCGGGGTGTCCCGGGGATACAAATGAAAATAAATGCCATGCGAAATGGTTAATGCTTTTTTTCTGATGGGCCAAAGGTCATGTGACACACACACACATCCAAGCAGGGGAAGTCCCGGCAAAATTAAGCGCTTTTCTA